TAAGCTTGGTAAAACCAGTAGCTAATAATATTAGGCGGCGCACCGAGAACTGGTGAAGATACTGAATGCCATATTTCCAAGTTACTGGAATCAGCTAGTTTCCCCATCATTTGGGAACATAGCGTCCTCCCATTTCTTGTCGAATTCATCCCGAAATGGTGTGGCCATGGTCATGTCATTTCCGTGGTGCGTGGGAGAAAGCCCAATTCCAGACGAATCTGTATCATGACGAGGCAAAACGTCTCTAGAGCTCGAAGGCTGGTCATTGCAAGCCACGTACGAGACCTATTGCCAAATAACCACCATGATTTGGTCACGTTCGTATTTTCCGTTGGCGAAGTAAACCGCGTATGGTCGCGAGGTTTAAGTAAGGATATGCCGGATGACATTTGCCTCCCGCGTAATCCTTTCTGCTATACGAACCCGTGCATGGGGGATAGTATTGGAACGATATCAGAGGATGGTGATGAGATCACAGCAACGTTAGGACCATGTTTGGCAGTTGGTGGAGGGAACTTTTGGTTGGTTAATTTTCATCCATTTATCGACGTGAGTAAAGGAACCCAGCCAGTACCTATCGAGCACCCGTCTCCGGCGGACCGCATAAGGTGCTTGGATAAGAGGCACGAGGCTCTGATTGACGGCAACCTCAACTTCTTTATTGGCAATTTGACGGCAACTTCCGGGTTCGACTTGGAGACTACTCGGGTTTCTCACGATCCGTATTGGGAAGAATGTGACAAGGAACCTCCATTGGTCGTTACAGATTGGGCATTGGTCTCTACGAAGTGTCAGAAGGCCAACATGCTGCGAAAGTTCCCTGCTACCGACCAAAATCAGGAGACTCCAATAATTTCGATGAGCTCAATTGTGCCTGGCGCATCAGTGTGCTCTACAGGACGTACTTCGGGGTTTCAACGAGGTCAGGTTTGTGAGATTCCTGCGTATGTCGATGGGTTGGGAAACGGCACAGGAAAGGCATCTCGGGAGTGGTACGTAGAGGAACCTTACCCCTACGACGATGAAGAAGCTTGGATTTGCGGTGGTATAGGGGTTGAAGGCGATAGCGGTGCTGCCATCATCGATTCTGAGACTAACGCTATGATCGGCCAACTTTGGGGGCGAAACAAGTATTACGGCCCTGGACCGAGGCACACTTTCTTTACGCCCGTGTATGACATTTTAGACGATATTCGAGAGAAGTGTGGCGAGGAGCGACAACCCCAGCTACCGCCCTATCGCGACGAAGCAGAATGTTGGCCTGTCTATCCGGTTTGCGAACAATGTTTTAAACTTCGAGAATATCTCGAAAGTCGGCGTAGCTCCCGAGAATCATTGATGTCTATGGTCGGGGTGCACGATGGAAGAGCTGGGGACACTGACAACGAAGTCACATCCGTATCAGAGTTGGCAACACCAAGAGAAGCCTCGAACTTACTTCGTCATGTAGGACTCGAAGCAACGAGCCCGTCATTCAGTGGCATGGTATCCCCAGCACCAATCCACACTTTCTATCCGACTTCACAAACCCTCTCCCCTGGCAATACCGAGTTGAGGAGTCCCTATGCGCATGCTCTAAAAGATGATGACCTCTACGAAAAATGCCCGGAAACCAATGAGGCCGTAACGGGTATATTGCCGACACCAATGCCACGTACTAGTAGCCGACCGCCAACCAAAAGACGAAAAGTAATGCCTGTCAGCAACAATCCTTCTTTAGGATCTAGTTAGATATCTCTGAACAGTGTCGCCTGGCTATCCGGCCAAGCCCCCACGTGCCATCTTTCTTGCGCGCTGGTCTCGACGGTTGTGATTAGCCCTGGACCCCTTGTTCGCTTCCTTACGCCTCCTAGCGCTTTCGGTATCTTTATCACCGGATGGGCCGGCAACATTTCCTCCACGACCACCGCCTCTACCTCGTCCTCGACCACCACGGCCGCGGCCACGAACGCCGGATCCACCTCGGGGATTGTTGGGATTATTGCCCCCACCGTCAATCTCCGAGTCTTCTGCTGCCGATTCTGCTGGGCTCGCACGCCAAGCAGTTGGGGCTAAAGCAGGCTGGTCGCCGCTAAACGCGCTATATTTCATCTCCAACTGTCTCATCTGATGCGGCGTTCTCGTCAGCATCAAGGCCCAACCCTCAATGGCCTCGTCAGTCATTCCCGTCTGCTGTTTCAGTTTTGATCTGCTTTGGCCTCGTCTCGTAGCCGCGTCTCTACCGAACACCTTTGAATCTGACTGGTAAGCCCTGAAAAGAGCTTCCTCACTTGCGTCCTTTCGTTTTTGGTCATCCGCGTCTTCTGGATTTCCGTCGTTTACTACCAAACCAGCATCTGCAACGTCGTACGTGTCGTCACGTTCGTCGTCGTCTGCGTCAAATGCAGAAAGCGCAGAGAGGATAGCGGCCTTATTAGGAGCGGATGATCTATCATTTAAAATATCATCTGCTGATTTCTCCGGATTTCGTTTTCCAAAATGAATATTAGACATGTCCACTGCCAGCTTGTCGAATTCATCATCATCAAATACATTGTGGCGCGTAGAAGGCGATAGTGGCGGGGTCGGCCGAGGTGCAATATCGCGGCTTTTCCTTCTGCTTCTTTCCTGAGATCTATAGATAAGTTAGTATATACGATGAAGATGGCATATTCCATGTAGACGAACAACTCCTCCGTGCGGTCTGCAGCGGCTAAGTGAGCCGGTAGGGAATCTTCAAGTAGGTGCGCGATAATTCGTTCGGTATTGTCTTCGTATTCATCTAGCAGCCTCGAGACGAAGCCAGAACCTAGATTTGGGAACAGGTCTTGTATTTGGGATATCTGGCTCATGCGATGTATTTTCATCTCCCCCAGGACATCATCGTCCTCGGTCATAATTCCCTTTCCTTTATCAATCTTCCGTTTAACCATTTTCTTCGGTCTAGCATTACCACCGGGTTTTCGGAAGCCTTCCAACCCAACGATAATTGACTTCCATCGTGTCGCGCTCGACCCAGACTCCTCAAAACGGTGCTGAACCTGCTTTAGGATGGGAGTAACTGTAACCAATTCAGCCACCATAGAGTCGTTCACGTTCAACGGCCCTGCTTTATGGCTGTCGGCAGCGGCTTTAAGAGAGTAAAGTTGGTCGGTAAGCATAGAAAAATTAGGAGGATTACCCTCAGTCAACCCAATTAGACATAGATAAGCTGTTGTTACGATCGTTTTTCTCAAAGGAGGGTTCATGATTTTGTAGCAACTGATGAGCCCATCAAGAAAATCACTCCCGGCCAAGAAGAACGCAGCTACGTCAGGAGACGCGTGGATAAGGTGATTAAGTCTCCTCAACTGTGACTCCAAAGTTCTGAGGTCACCCTTTAGACCCGAATCAAGATCTACGATCAATGATTTCTTGAGGACGGTCAACGAGTTTGTCACTTGTAGTTTTTGGGAGACCTGGCTGATTAGAATGGATGTTCTCTTTTTTGGAAATAGGCGGCTAAAGTCGGAAAGGAACTCCCACCGAAGCAGCGGAGGAGGCGGAGAAGGCATTCGCAGTAGTCTAGCAACTAGAATAAAACATTGGCGGAATAGAAGCTTTGCGGATGGTGAGGTGCCGAGCACGGTAGCACCGTTTGCTGAGGCTTCTGCCACAAAAGAGACGAGGAACGATAGTAAGGTTCCATCAACGGCGGACAAGCTAGTAAACTGGTCCTCGGACAAAGAAAGATGAGCCTCTACTAATGCGAGCCAATTAGCTAGGCAGGTTTCCCACTCGTCAGGGACAATATGGTTTCTCCATGACGCCTCCGGGAAAGGCGCAAACTGAGGGAGAGCCGCCATGACATGCGGAGTGAATAAACCGGTTCGACTGGCGTCTTTAGGGGAACATATTACGTTGTGTAACATCCAATGCTTTTTGAATCGGTTCGGGATATTAAATAGTAGTATTCCGTAGTACCAAACTGGCCGTCTGTTAGGTCCACATGAAGGATGTTCACCGGATGACTCTTTGCAGATGTTGGCCTTTAGATGAGATCAATCATAAGGCGTCAATACGTAAAATAAATGTACCTAAAGTATAACGAATGAAGTACCTAAGTACCTTACTTAGACACGGGAGCTACATCATGTAAGCAGCTGAGGTATGTATGCAAGTCCACTATCAGTGATTCTTATCCTTATCGGGTGGAAAGTATAAAAGTATAAGGCTAGACCCACTCTAGCCCTTATCCGAACCCACATTGGGGAATTCCAAGCTCATTATTTTCGTAAAAATATCGCGAACTTTTTGTGCTTCCCCTCTACAACCCAACACCAAAAGGTCGCCTTCATCACTTTGCCGAAACGTCATACCGTTCGAGTCGTGAGGGCAAATTCGTAGAGCCAACCGAAGCAAATACACAATCTCTTCCTCTTGACGAAGAAAAGACAAACCCAACGCCAACATGTCGTACAACAAGCCCGAGAAGGACTACGCCGGCGAGCAGGCCAAGACTCACAAGATCCGCATCACCCTCAGCTCCCGTAAGGTGACCGCGCTCGAGAAGGTATGCAGCGAGCTCATCGAGCGTGCCAAGAGCAAGGACCTTCGCGTCAAGGGCCCCGTCCGCCTTCCCACCAAGACTCTCAAGGTGACTACCCGGAAGACTCCTTGTGGTGAGGGTTCCAAGACCTGGGACCGCTACGAGCTGCGTATTCACAAGCGCCTGATTGAGTACGTCGATTACCTCTACAAGATTTCCGCTGCTATCGTGCCTTAGGAAGATGTACTAACTGGCCTGACAGTCTGAACGCCCCCACCGAGACGGTTAAGCAGATCATCGTTAACATCGAGGCTGGTGTCGAGGTCGAAGTTACCATTGCTGCTTAAAGCAGGGTGGGGAAATGGGAAAAGGCAAGGCGGCGGATGGGTATTGGAAGGATTACCTAGACTCAAAGATACCCGTGTTATTTCAGCTGCGTTCTAGAGATCGCCTGCAACTACACATGCCTGCGGGGACTATGCTGCAGCAGAATCCAAGCCTAAGCCAATTTACGAGACCAATACCCTAACTGATAGCTTCCTGCCTTTTGCGTAAACAGTGCTGTTATTCGTGATCCATTTTAGTGTAACTCCAGGGTATCTAATTACCACCTCTCAAGACCGCAAACCTTGTGGCCTATTCCTATCGGACCAGTCGATATATGCCACTATTTTCTAGATAATGCATGCTAGTCACCCCCGGACGCTTTAAAAAACAGCCTCTACTCTCAAAAGTTCCAGACGCAATCTTCCCTCAGAGGTGGCACTTCAGGCATATCTCCTTCAAACTTGCCAGTAGCCATCATGGTAGCATACGCTGCTTTGACACCCGCGGTGTACGTCGCGAGGTCGGGCTCCGTGTCCTTGTTGTAGCCGGGCGGACCAGTAGGGAAGAAGATTTTACGCCACGACCCATCCGCGTTCCGTACGCCTGGTACCGGATGATATGTGCCACCGTCCTGGGGCGTCTCGTCTTGGTATTTATCATCCACCTTCCACTTATATATCACCGGCTGCCCGTTGAACGACACGATACGCCCATTTGCAGCCTTGGAAATATAGCTTTCAGGGGGTGGGTGCTGTCTGGTACTATTCGGTGCATATGGGCCTGTTGATGCTGCAGACGTAGCTTGTCGCTGCGTTTGCGGTTGCGGTTGTATTTGCGGCTGCGCTTGGGTTTGAGCGAAAGGGTTACTTGATGGTGCGAATGCGGACGGCTTCTGTGCCGTGAATGGGTTGGTAGTCGGTGGTGCGAAGGCGTTGGAGGATGGTTGATTAAAGGGATTGCTGATAGCTGGAGTAGGGGCCGAGGTGTCCATCTGTTGATCAGAAGATGGGACATTCGTCGGTTGGAGAAAAGGATTGGCCACCGGTTGTTGGCCAAATGGATTAGGAGCCGAGGTTGATGGTCCCGAGGAAAAAGGGTTGGGGGCGGAAGAGGGTGCTGGCGCGCCAAAAGGGTTCGGTTTCTGCCCTAAGGCTGATGGTTGCCCGAAGGTGTTCTGAGTGGTTTGGCTAAACCCAGTTGGCCCCGAGGCGCTGTTTGCAAAGGGATTTGGCTTCTGGCCCAAAGACGAGGGCTGTCCGAATGCAGGAGCGCCTGGTCCCATCTGTGAGGACTGTCCAAACGTCGGTTTCAAAGCCCCCATCGTGGAGGGTTGGCCGAACGCTGGGTTAGATGGCGCTGCACCGAAAGGGTTAGGTTTTTGTCCTAGTGCCGACGGCTGGCCAAAGGAAGTTGTGCCGCTGGTAAATGGATTCGGCTGGGGATTCGACTGGGGAGCCGCCGAGAAGGGATTAGAAGCGAGAGGATTGGCAAACCCCGTCTGGGGGCCAGACGCTGCATCTCTTGCAAATATGCCACTGGTATTACCTTGTGTACTGCTCTGCTTGCATATATCTATACGGTTGGGATGCTTATTCTCGGCAGAGAGGATGAAATTGATTGCACCATCGAGGTTGCTAAGCGCCGTCTGATTCTGCTGTTCAGCTTGTTGGATAAGAGCTGCGATCTCCGACATCTAGCTCGAAAGTCAGCAGTGCGAAAAGAAACAATATCACCAATCCATACCGCTTGTTGCTGATTACTAGATCCTCTAACATATAGCATGACTTCCTCAGCGCTTTGCTCCCGTGGGTATCCTCCGAATAATTGCTCCGGGGCATCCCTCCCGGGGCCGTAACACGACAACATCCATGATGGCCTCTCAATTCCTAAGTCCGCTCGTATAATATCTTTAGTGATCCTGTAGGGTGTTTCTTGGTTCCTATTTCCTCCTGTATTTAGGGCGCTAAAACGGTTCGTATTGGAACTAGGAGCTCCGAACGGATTCGAATTCGCGTTAGTGTTGGCGCCCGGGTGCTCGAAGCGACAGGCGGCTGTGGTCACAGACGTTAGTATTGATACCTGGAAATAGGAAGGGGAGTATATCGTACTATCATTTTTGCAATAGCCTCGTTGCCAGAATTTGCAGATAGTCATGTCGATAGGATTGGTGAAGTGATGATGTTGTTGTGTTAATGGACAAAGCTGGAAAAGCTGACGGATTTTATCAGCCTTTTCAGCCTTGCAGGAGACTAATGTAGGTCCCGGGTGTTCCTCAGTGGAGATTTAAGTAGTACCTATTTTGATGCCTGTACCTAAAGGTACGTTTAAAGATACGATTGGATCATCTTTAAGGGCATATTCGAAAATTATAATGTTTTTTTTTTTTAATTGAAGCTGATGAACATGCTTCTGTACCTCTTTCCTTTCGAAATGAGCGGATCCACTTAGTACTACCTAAGCTAATATCTACCTTCAAATATTCCGTATGTTGTACGGAATACATGTATCTATGTACATAGGTACCTTTAAGTATCACATATAAGTGCCATTGATCGATCCATGGCAGCTATGGCTTCAATGCTCTTTGTGATACTCCACCTGTCTCAACTTTATGAAATCACCAAACAGAACATATATTACCAAACAGAATTTATTCATAGTCTCCAAACCTTCAAATACTTGTCGAAAACCACTACCAACACGTTTATGCTCGCGGCATACCTACAAGTATTGGCTTACATATGGCCCGTCTCAACTATCTCATCCATCTCATCCTTGCGCAGTCGCCTTCACAAGAGGCTTCAGTCCTCCCTCAATATAGGCAGACGATCTCCAATCTGACCAATCATGCTTCAGGAGACCCCATGTCTCTTCAAAGTCCTGCGTTCCCGAGCGGACATAGTAACTACCTGAGATGACCCAGATAAACCATCCGGCCTTCTGCTCTGCCAGGTAGCTGGCGATACAAGTAGCATACGTTCCCTGCCACGTGTTACCCGTCATATCGAAGCCAAACTCGGTTAGCAGCACCGGGAATACGTTAACCGCCTTAGAGTCGTCCGCGTGCAACGCCTGGAAGCCGCTGTTGTATAGCGAGCTCTTGAGACTATTGCAGTTATTCGCGCTGTTCTGGTAGTTATGAATCTCCAGCACTAGCTTGTTGGCATAGCCCTGGAAGTCTGCCGTGCTGAACTTGGCGCTTCCCGGTGTGAATGCCGTGCCCTGAACTACTGGCGTCACGTATGTATCGTAATCAAGACCCGAAAGGAAGATAAGCAAGTCCGGGTTTGCGGAGTTGATCGCACTTGTTCCTTTCTTGATGTTCGTATACCAATCCCTCCAGTTGTATGATTGACTGCTGAGCGTGGGATTGCTGTCGGGTTTGCGAAGCTCATTACGTAGCGACATCGACGTCAGCGCCGGCCAGTTTTTCCCGTGATTTGCCATGTACGAGAGACCTCTGGTCCAATTTTCCACATCTACATCTATGTTAGCTGCGCGTACGAAAACTGAGGAGTCCAATGCCGCATTGCTCGCGGATCAAGGTACCCCAATTTGCATATATAGGCCATATACATACTATAATCTCTGTCTCCGAACCAAGAGTTGCCGTCGTTGGTAGAACAGCACCAAGCAGCCTTGGACATGTGGTTATCTAAATGGACAAAAACATTTTGCTTTGCGCACTCGGCAGCGACGGCGTCAAAGACTTGAAGGCGGGTGGTACTATCGTTAAAAGAAGGATTCTTCGCAAGAAATTCTCTATAGACTTTAGGTCCGTTTGTCTGGCCGAGCGCCTTGGTAAATGAGTCCTTCACGGTCGTATCCTTGCCATTGTTGCTGTAGATCTCATCTATCATCTGAATGGCGTACGTCAGGCGAATCGCATTCATGCCCACGCTCTTGATCTTGGAGACGATGCTCTCAATAGACTGATAGCGTAGTCCGTCTGGAATCATTACTTCTCCGTGACCTGGCCAATTAGCCCCTGCGTAGACGACATTTTCGCCTCGCGCATTTTTTATGTCACGACCAGATGTGACAAGCGGTCCATAGGGCCAGCTATCGGCACGAGCAGCAATATCCACCTTCAGTGGTGAAGCCCAAGAGAAGGATGTGATGCCGCCCAAGGCAAGCAAAGACACAAGAGAACGACGCAATCCCGAGCTCATCATAGTGACAGAATGTATTTCCTCAGTGATGATCACATCACTACGAGAGACCGTATCCCACGGGGTGTCGTAGATTATATGCTGTTTGCCAAGAAGAGCTTCACCGCATACTACACATTTCTTCCGTATTATTATTGTTACCTTTTCATCTCCTAAAGTCACATACAAGAATATTAGTGCTGCCCTGGAACACCTTAACCTAGCAAACTAGGGTACACCTGTACGAGAGTATTGTCCGGGAAAGTTCCAAGATTCAGGAGCTCGTAGGAACATCTTCCCGAGCGGCCGACTTTGCACCACCTCTCATGCTACGACGGATGGAGTTTTGATTTATACTGCGGTATAATCACAGCTTACGTAGTATTTACCCAGGGATGAAGAGGATCTGGATGCCTATTGAAAATCAGAAAGTGTGGGGGACCGGGGTAAGTCTTGGTGGCGCCAAGCTGGCCGCCGATGAACAAAACAAGATACTATGTAGGAATAAATATTTCCGTCGTCATTCATCCAGATTGCCGGCATATCATCTCCACATTCGCGTTCTCGGCCAGCGGAAGTTAGAACTTTATCCTAGGCTAGATCAAGCCGGTCCGTCCAATATTAAACTATTTATCTAGCTATTCTTGGAATCTTGGATGAGAGACCGTCGCCAAACTCGATCATCGAATATCGACTGCCAGACTTAATTTATCCCGTCCAGTTCCATAAGAGGAAAAGCAACCAGGGTTCCTTACCATCAGTGAATGCGATAGGTACGAGGGATGCCCACCGCCAGGTTCTAAATATAATCCGGGCTAGGCTGGCTTCCGGCTTGCATAGGTAGTTCCAATCTCATCGGCATAATTCCTTTTTATCATGCCTGATGGAGAACACCCAAATTTTAAATACGCTTCCTAAACTCGACCATAGGACCATCTTTAAAGCTCGTGAATTGGTCGATCAGCTGGAACTCATCCACGCGTCGCCGACCCCATTCAAGATCAGGATTGCCCTCGGCCGGATCAAAGCCGGCTGACTTGCGTAAATCGTACATGTATAGCGTTCTAGCCAACGTCGTCATCATCTCAATATATGCAAGGCCCTTTCCTATACACCCTCGAGGTCCGATGGAGAAGGGACAGAAAGCGCTCTGTGCCAGCGATACGTCTTGCTCTGTCACATTACTTCCGCTTAATTCTCCAACGGTCTTATGCGAACCCTGAATCCAACGCTCTGGAACGTACGAGAACGGACGCGGGTAGTATGTTGGATTGTGATGAACAGTATAGTGAGGAGTGCCAACGACGATCCCTTCGGGTATAAACTCGCCGTCAATCGTGATACCGCCTTTTAGGACTTCGCGAGGCAAGATTCCGCCTACCGAGGGAGACATACGCATAGCTTCGTCGATGCACGCCCGGAGGTAGGTACACGAGTTTAGCGCTGGGCCTTGACAAATCTCTTCTACGTCGCCAAATTTCTCCCGCACTTCTTGGCTTGCTTTTTGCAATGCCACTTGATTACGGACCAGATAGAATAATGTTGCCGCCATCGCGGTCGATGTCGTGTCACTTCCTGCGATGATCCTACAGCACTGTTAGCCAACGCAGCTTATACATAGGTTGCCTGATCGGATACACACAGCAGATTTGATTCTCCCCATAACTCGGTCATTGCAAATCCCTGCCCGGTTTCAGGGTCCCGTGCTTTAAGCAGATGGTAGAAGAAATCGCGACGATCCGTATCGTCGCCTAACTTGGTGCGCTCCGCAAGCTGGGCTTTGCTGTATGCCATGTACTTCGCTCGACCAGTCGCAATTCTGCGGAACAGGATCTTATCGAGGTGAAGCTTGCCGACGGCAGACATGGTTCCGCACTGCTATAGTTAATATATGGATGCCTTCTAAAAAGAAAATGATAGGTTCTGGATACTTACGATGAGGTGCCTCGTAGTAGCAAGAGATACCAACTCGAGTGCATATCGATTATCGGGCTTTTCCAGCATGTGGAAGGCTTTACCAAAGCACAAATCACCGAGTATGTCCATGGCAAGGTAATTACACCAGTCAGCCATATTCTTGGCTACGGTCCATCCCTTTTGCTCGTCGCTCGCACCGAGGCCGATTTGCTCGCAGAAGGATCGCACGTTGGCTAGGATGTACCTCTCCATCTCCTTGACGGCTCCATCCGAGAATGCCTGCGAGAGGACCCTCCTCTTCCGGGCGTGTAGGGCTTTATCTCTCGTATTGTGAGTGTTGGATGCCGGGTGTACGAACGCATCGTAGAACTCGGCCTTCCGCACGTTGGATTTAAACCCATAGATATCCTTCAGGGCCGTGTTTGAGTTGAAGGAGACGCTGTTAGGTCCGAACCGCACGACCTTTCCATATTTCTCGTGCAATCGCCAGAATTCCAGGTGTCGGTCCCCTTTCCAGGCGTGATATAATTGGTAGGCATCTGTGATCTTGGCTATAAACGGACCTGGATACTTGGCTAGAGGGTGGAAGAATAATCGATAGATAACAAGTCCAACAACCTAAAGCATGCGCTAGTTAGTGTGCTCGGGGTTGGCTTATATAAAATTGTAGGTTTCTTACATAGATTGATGCTAACGCAGCTGTAACAGTAACGAAATATATCAAGTTGACGAATATCGTAGTCATATTCGGTTCTACTAAGTAGGAAGGATACCTAGATAGATATCCTTTCTATAACTATAACAAGATAAATGATGATTTTATCTCCGTCTTTCGAGTTTGTCGTCGCTGGGAGGTTAACAAAATTTACTTGTCATGGTCTCGCGTTTATGCTCGCTACGTGTTTGTGTAGTAGCCATCATCTCTATCTATTATACACTAGCTATCATGACATAGTTTTAAATGTATCCAAGGTAGAAGATCTCGGCTTTTCGCGGTAGCAAAAATGCGATAGCCAGCCGAAAGTACGGAACCCGGACGGAACTGACGTCGTCGATTTTACCCAATGAAGTTTAAGGCCGACGCGGTTACCAGCGGAATCGTTAGAGCCGCGTCTCCAATTTGAAGTTACTATGCTTCTAGCTTACCATCTTTTCTACCTATCACACTTTCACAAATGTAATCATTCTGTCACGAGGTCCGAATTGGTTGAGTACTTGGTCGTATATGCCGATCTGTGGAATTTGTTAACCGTTCTATGCCGCTGCATTTGATGTTAGGGTGCATAGGTATTCACCAGTCTTACTTGTCTACCTATATGAGAACCCCTAACTTGGCTCGTTTATCATTATGTTGCTATCTTGCCGGTAAGTATGTTGAGGGAAGGGCTACTACAGACGGTTATTCCCACGCGCTCAAGATGAACTGTAGTAAGATTACTTTTACATAGTCACCTTAAGTAACAATGTACCTAGGTAAGATGATTTGGATAGGTAGACTGATGACATACCTATTGTAAGGCCCTTAGTCTTAACTGTTTTAGTTGGTATTCTTAGGGCTAACTTTGTTATAAACTCAAATAAACCAAATACCCGGGAAGTAAATTCGAGAGGGCGTTTTGTTCTGGTTTTATACACTAATAATACCTGAAATATACCAGACCAATAACCAAATACCCGGTAAGGCAAAGGTCGAGAACCTAAAACACCGTAAGAAGCACAGCTAGATGAGACAATTATAACTGTGCATAGTACCTATTATTTCCCCTGATAGGCTACTTAATCATATGATACTAACTTTAGATAGCGAGGTACCTAATGCACTTATCAAAGTGTAACGTGAAAGCCCCCTAACTTTCGGTTCCAATTGGATCTTCAGGGATCTTCGTCGGTTTCCCCCCTTGGTCGGTGAAACATTATGTATCATGGCCTGTCAGCCTGTACCTCCTTGTAGGAAGGGTTGTGCATTCATTCATTTTTGGTAGTTAGTTATTTATTTTCCATCCTTTCTTCATACGAAACATCATTATTCATCTCATCCATTCTTTTCTGCCCTTGCAATTCCAACTATTGTACTTTCTTTTTTTTTCTCTTTCTCAGCTTTGCTTTCGCAAATGCCAATCCTCAAACTACGCCGAGGTCACATTCATTCTAATTAGCGTTACTCGTTACTCGGTTACTCGGAAGCACCCGAACTTGCAAATCGGCCGTTTGGGTAATGAAGAAGACGATCGTAAAGTACAGCACCGAACACCCAATTGTTACCTAATCTCCTACGTAATGAGTCCTCTTCCGATTAATCCGTCGATACCGTCGGCGACATCGCTGGCGTCGCACTTTGCTCGAGCCATCTCTCACGTCTCCCACGTCTTGACGACGCGCGACGAGGACGAAGATACAAAGTGCCACCCGCGACCTGACATAGACCTTTGCGAAAAGCCCCAGGCATCTCAACACACGACTGCAATCGTAGTTGGGGTATTAGGGTAAGTCGATATTTTGGTGGTGAAAGCTGAAAAAAGGGAAGAGGATGAAGGGAAGAGGATAAAGAAGACGAGACCTATAACTTGAAAGGAGAATATCTGTTGACGAGACCCTTCTATGATAGCGGCCTCCTTGTTGTCTCAACAGTCGGGATCCTTTCGGTTCTGCACATCCGGCGCCAACGGCAAGACAAGCGAGAGTTTCCCAAGAACAACCAAGAACTTGATGATTACGGTATCGGCCCTATGCCCCCTACTGCTACTGCCAAACCTACCAGACCTCAAAACGCGTATCGCCCGCCGCACGTAGAATCAGACGATGGCGACGACCTCAAACCGCCCGGGCGGCGGGATTCCCTAAACTCTCTGGCCCGCTCCATTCGCGGCAACCCAGATGCTTACAGATCAAGGCCAGACGATACATCGCACGATATGAAACCCGTAGAGCCCGCAAGTCAGCTGTGAGAAGGAAGAGGAAGAAGAGGAGGGAAGAGGAGGACGAGAAGGAGAATGTGATACCCATCGTCAACCCCTGATTTGTGAAGATCAATAAGTGAAATAAGTAGATCTAGCGATAGATCAATTTGTAGTGGAACTAGTTTTCGTCTTCAACTACCTAACCTAGGTCCTCGCCTAAAATGATTGTGGATTTTGCTTCACTTTTGTCTACTGTGTATGGCCTCGCATCATTCTTGCTAAAAATTAGCTTGTTTAGCAGATAGAGATGACCATATTCGATATAATACACACTGTATGGTAGCCGAGACTAGGTAGCTATTATATTCACATTCAATAATAGGAATGATTAAGTTAGGTACCTAGGTAGTCAACCTGGATCCCTACCTATAAGTGTCGACACACTGACAACCTCACAAATGAGGTTTTCACTCCAGGGTTATATTCAGTTAGACTTATCAACAATAGCTTAAAATCGAGACATTTGATCGTCTCACTCTCAATTCGATACGTCGTCGCTGAGCAAGTCTCGACACCCCTAAAAAGCACACTCATAAGCTCCGGGACGGAACGCCTCTCGCGGAGGTGGCCTGTCTTGCTTGTACAACTTGCGACGCATAATCTATACGTTTATACATCTCCTTGTACGCTGGTCTACTTTGTACATCTGATGCCAATTATCTAATTCCTAAACGCCACGCTCCCATGAGGGTCCGATTGCTTCAACCTAGTCTCCAAACCACGGGTACTACACCCGTAAGCCACGTTTCATCGACAACCGCTTCGCCATTGTATGAGCTACCTTGTTCGAATTACTCTAAACACCCGATCATTAAGCTGCTATGAATATGGTCCATCATGTAGGCGCAAAGCAGCTCAACTTTCTAACCCAGCATATGTACTTAATTGGTTAAGTAAGGATGCCCACTTGGGACTCTTGAGACTTTGCAATGCTCCAAAGAGACTGTCTCTCGTGGGGAGAGCATTTGCTGGAATACTGGTCGGGTTGTTTGGATCTCTCGCCTTCTCGCTTAGTTTCCTAAGAGTGGAGACACTGCAGGTAATGATATAATGTATATCCATGTCTTCGCGTGGTTGTGACCTAGAATTGCCACCTATACGGGGAGTCGGTTCTGCTTGTGTGCAAAGAGTACGAATAAGACGGAAAAGATTCTGCGCGAAGCCTTCCCCGGATGACAGCCAAGCGCGCGTTACCCCAGACTCATATCCCGGCGCTAGCTGGGCAATAATGTCGGCGGCGAGTAAACCTTGCATTAACAGTGCTTTGCGCGCCTCGACAAATGATGGTAGATTTGCTGGGCGGCTCTCTTTGTTTTGATCAGGAATGGGTGAAACAGCGAGACCAAAAGTCCGCGTGAGAAGCTCGTAAGGAGGTGACGCGGCCGCATCGGTTGCGAAGATAATTTTATAGTACGTTCTGTTCGGCTCGTCGCGCGCCAGAAGTTTAGCTAATGAGTCAACAGCGTGTGGGAGATACGGATGAACCGAGGGCTCGAATGGTGAGAAAACCACCCGCTCTGTCGTTAGGGAAGGCCCCGGCGACGGAGCGAAAGCAAGAAGAAATTGTAGGAGACAAAGTGCTTGTTCGCGACCGGGTATCTCGACGGAGCTGGCAATATTGGATAGCAAAATTATAACGTCCTTCATGAAGTCGAGCGTATTCCTTGGAGCTCGTAGCAGGTTATCGTGAGTACCTAAAGATCGTATCACGCCACAAAGGAACTTGACTACGATCTCGTCTGCAAGGACCGCTTGGTTAACTTCCATGAAGGAGAAGTTTCGTAGTATCGTAGTAATTGCTAATAGACGATCGGCGGCATGTTCAAGCTCGTACTCCGCGTCTCCGAATACGTGAGGTTTACGAAGACTTATGGCTTCGAGGCGGCAGCTTCTCATGACATCTTCATATGAAGTAAGATCTATTTCATCTGAAACAGGATCTGCCTTGTCCGCGAGTAGGTCAACCTGCTCTTCTGCGCAATCTATAAGAGATTCCACCAAGTCGTCGCAAGCTCGCAAGTCGATTGATAGGTTCGGTATATACTCGGCTGCGCGCGATACAGATCCGAGAACATCAAGAGCTAGCCGTACTTCTCCATGTATGCCACACTGCAGGCTTTTTGTGAGAGCGTGGAGATCAATGTTACCAAGCTCCTGAGGTGGTGGAACATCTGGCCTCCACTTTTCTAAATCGTTCCCTAACTTTCGTATTGACTCGAGATCAAAGCCGCCATAGAGATCGGGGAGCATCTCTCTAGAACACGGTGAATATTCGTCGGGATCTGACGAGAATGGTCCTGGAAAGGGTAAGTTGGCAGTGGTACCATTCGTATGTGTCCCATCCGTCTGCTGAGCTGGGGGCTGCACCGAAATACTCCCGCCCTTACCGGTAGACGCGGGAGATTGTACGGAAAAGTCGCTACTCGCCTGTCTGGCGTCAATACTTCTTGACATACTATTTCTTACATGCCCTTGGTTTGCATTAGGCTGCTGCTGACTTATTCGTGGCTGCTGTGGTGTTGAGAAACCGTTGGCACTGGCCTGCTGCATAGCAGATGTTATCTGCTTAACAGGCGTCTGTACATGTGGCTGCTGCATCTGAGGGACCTGTCCGGGCTGCATGGGCTGTCCGTGTGATAATTGGCCCATTCTTTGTGGTACGCCTTGACCTGGTACACCAGGCATACCCACCGGTCCGCCCGCCTGCTGCTTCATATGTTGGGTTCGTTGTTGCATCGTCCAAACCTCCTCGAACTTTAACAGATTTTGTTCATATATACCTCGTACTTGGGCCGGGGCTGAGGGAACTTGCTGTGGATTAAAGCCAACCGACGCGGCAACCTGCGTCCAGAGGTTGCGGCCCGTTACATTCCTATAACCACCGTATTTAGAAACATTCTGGAAAAGTTGAAGGAGGTGTAGAGGTCGGCCTTCAATGACGGGATTTGTTTCTAAGGGAAGTTGCCTCATAGCCATAAACGTTGTTAGGTTCTTTAAGAATCCTTCGGGGTTGTTAGCTCGTGGCATCTGCGAGGCTTGCTGAGGGTGCATGACGCCGGGTGGCATCTGGCCATTCTGCATGGGCATTCCTTGCTTGGGCATCATGCCCCGGCCTTGAGCCATGGTCTGAGCCTGTATCTGTGCTGCCATCGGCATGCCGCCTTGCTGAAGTTGCTGTTGTAGGCGCATTTGATATAACATCTTTTGCTGGTCCATCGCGCCACGCCCTTGCGCTGCCTGCATCTGTTGCATCTGCTGCATTTGTTGGGTGAGCATCTGACTGGGGTGGACCTGCGACATCTGCTGAGGCATTTGGCCCATCGACGGAGGCATCATCTGTTGCGCCATGGGATTCTGGGCCGAGGGCGGCCTGGCAGGCGACGCGCCAGGCGTGTAACCCGAATTGAATCCCTGCGGGAAATTTTGCGGGTTCATAAACATGCCCGGTTGAGGTGTGCCGCCGTGGTCGGAGGGGACCGGCGAAGCCTGGGGGCCAAACTGTTGGGAGGCCGGAGAGAAAGGATGCGGTGACGCGGTGTTGACGCGTTGCGGCACGCTTCCCGGACGCAGCTGATTACCGGCCATTACAGGCGATGGAGACGCGTTCGTCGAGCCATTGGGTTGCAAATGGGGATAATGCTGCGGCTGATTGGGATTTTGCGGCTGCATCGCATTTGGCTGGAAGCCTGGGAAGGGCGATTGCTGAGGCGTGTCGGCGCGCGACGTCGGGAGCATCCCCGGGTTTTGTCGGGGAGACGCGCCAATGCTATCCTCCCTAGGTCGAGGTCGTTTCGAGGGGATGACGGGGTTGGTCTGATATGCGGGATTCGAGAAGGAGGGAGAGGCGTTGCGCATCGGGCTATTCTGCATAGCAGCGGCCATCTGTTGAGGATTAAACTGGCCAGCAGCCATATGATTGAACTGCGCAGTATTTGCCATGAAGGCCGAGGGATCCATCATGCCTCCCGGCCCAGCACCCATTCCTCCGCCTGCTCCCATGTTATTCGGGTCGTTCATGTGTGGGAAGCCGTTGCCATTGTGGTTTTGGACGGCAGCGGCCTCGTTAATCCAAGAGCTCATGACGGATATAATCGCGAATGGGAACCCATCTGACTGTAATTTAAATAAAGTTAGCGTTTACAATGGATTGTGACTAGTGCATTGAGATGAAATAATGATAAATTAAAGCCAGTAGTGTCACGGGCGACGACTGTCGCGATGGAATAGAAAAAAAAAAAGTCGCGTCGCGAGTCGATTAAGGAATTTTGGGGGGTGAACGGCCACGGTGCGATCGGGGAAAATAAGTTGGTACGGTCGCAGGTTTTCGGTGGTTGGGGGAGATAGATTTGCTTGGGAAGGGCACTCTAGCAGAGCCAAGTTTAGTGCTGCGACTTGCTGCAGTCGCTGGTAGCGCTGCGAATTGGGGCGGGGATTTGAGCATTCGCCAGCGAAGAGTTCCCTAAACGCAGCGCTATGCTAAGCTGTATCATAGGTATCATAGGTATCGTAAGTACCATATGTACCTTAGTAGTGGTGATAGGTACTTTGGCACGTACATAAACAGATATATACAGTATGAGTAGACTGTATATACCGTGCTACATACACCTTACGAAAATAGAAGGGAAGTGATAGCGATAGGTAACAACCTGGGCCCTGGGCAAAAATGTACGGAAACGGGGACGGGAACGGGAATGGGACATGAACGGCAAAGACAGGGAAACCTCCACCGGCGAACGGGCGGCGCCCACTTTCGCAATTGGCAGATCCGAGCCTGAGTACGGAGGTTGGTTCTATAATAGTGATAATACGGAACTGACGGACGGGGTCGTATGTACGGCCGTGCCAGGTGCGTCAGTCGCCCACCTTGTCACTGTTATCGCTGTTATATGTGCCAGTGACAGTGACAGCGACAGCAACCGATCGTTTCAATGCAGCACTGCGCATCAACCCATCAGCTCATCAGCCCATCAACCCATCAACACCATCCGACACTTGAAGGGTGCTGACCGAAGTTGTGACGGGGGATAAGGTTGTTCTTTTTTTCGCAGTAATGGTGTTCATTATATTTGGACACAGTACATACGGAACACCCGAATGCCACTCGAACGAGGACCAGTGAGTTTAGGACGGACGGGATAAATAGGTAAACTGGTAGACTGGTAGACCAGGTAGAGACGACGATAACGAAAATAAGAGACAAGAGACAGATAACAAGGTTTTACCTACCTAAGCTAAAAACTAATGGTGGTGAGTGACGACACCTCAATCACACGCTTTCTCTTTCTCGTTTCTCCGTGCGTGTGTTTGCTAGGCGCGAAAGGATGGGAAGGGCGGTAAGTAGGTAAGGAAGAGGCACTTGTCTTTTTGGCGAGCTGGCCCGGTCCTGTTTGGGCTGCGGGCTAAGAGTGCTGGCTGGGAGCTGGGAGCTGAGCGATGGGATTGAAGGTCTGGGTAGGTCAAGAAATTTTCTGACTGCTGGCACCACCTTCCATCCAAGAGAAGCAAGGAATGGACAGTACTACTTGGCCCACCTACGCTAATCCTAGATAGGTTTAGAGGGGAAACGATGAGAAATCATGCGTCGATGCGCGATTAGAATTATTTTAGGCTGTTAGGGGTGGTCAGGGAAGAGGGAGAGAAAAAAATAAAAAATAAAAAAGGAGGCGGCTTAGTGGTGAAAGGAAACGCAGGAGCTGTGTGGCCTGCGGGAAAGAATGGCAAATGATTGGCTCAAGAGTCACAGCCCAACGTTCCACTCCGTTACTCCGTGAGGTCACACCATTGGTGGGATAACAAAGGACCCAATAATAGATAAAACAAGATGTACCTACAAGATGTACCTAGGCCTGCTAGGATGATAGATCAGTAACCCGAATATTACCCGACAAGTTAAGGCCGAAACAACTGTAATTCTTCAGTTGCTTTGATAAAAGTGCTCTTGGAACACGACATATTCAATATAATAATGAAAAAAGAAAAGAATTTAATAAAAGACGTACCTACCAAAATCATGAAACCGACAACTATTCGATCTAACCAAATGTCAATGTAAGAGACAGAGAAAGAGATAGAAAAAAATAAAATAAAAACTTGCTGCCCAGGACGAGAAATCAATGCCGCCTCTCCGCAGATAGATAAGGAGCAACTAATTATCAGGCACAGGATATAATCATGGGGCTAGATCGTCCAGATCCAAAATTTGCTGACTCCTGTCCGGTGGAAGTCTCACTCTTGTCGCCAACTCCTGCTAGCCAAGGGAGGCCCTTCATATTCTTGTCGAGCACACAGAAAATTCTCAGTACAGATCGTGTCCGTAGAGATCCTGGCCCTATCTTTCGAGTATCCGACCAGACTGCTCCCACGTACCAAAAGTTAATTTTAGCTTCGTCATGCTCTCTGAACGCCCCCTAGCGTTGAGCCGGGAAGCTAGGGTAGCAGTTCATTTTGCAATAATAGGTGGCCTCGTAGGAAGTAAGTGTCTCGAAGCTCGAATTTCTATGGCAGCTTAAAGTCTTCGTAAGGTAGGTACCTATATTGGTTGAGACATGTCAGTTCAATATCTCGATAGTCCTAGCCAACCTAGAATGTCTCCAAAATTATCAAGCGTGCCGTGGGTGACCTTTATACTCGGTGCTTCCCATCGTGAAGGAAGCGGAGACTCAAACGTGGCTGTCGGCCTGCAATGCTAATGCTGAACAGGTACATATACATACGGTGTAGTATATATACTGCATACCTGTATACCTATGCATGCTGACATCCGACTCTGTGCAGATGCATGTATAAATGTAATGTACCTCGGAGTGTACGTAGAACCAATAGGAATTTCCCAAAAATCCAATGCTATGGACTGCAAGGGTGGACAATAAATGTGGCGGCCCCCAGGTGCCGGTCAAACGACGAAGGTGCTTTTCCGGTAGGTAAATGTACGCGAGAGCATCGGCCTATAATTTTGCCTGCCGATCAGTCGTAGACCGAAGACTTCTTTTTCAAGCCCCTCTTCATCCTTATCATTCATTCTGGAGAGCCGGAATCTTCTAACAATTAGCTATTACCAATAGTTTCGGGTGCTTCGTGTTACAAGTGACAGAATAGAGATCCCCATATCATATCGCAAGCACCTCGAAAAGATGCGTACGCCATACGATAGACGTAGGTAGTGTCATTTTGACTCAGACCTACTCGTATCAGTCTTGATGAGTCGTCGAAAATCAACTCCAAGCGAATCATTTGGGAGATTGGTAGGAACTTTGACTTGGAGAAAGCATCGCTGATTTATACGAATCTCCATCAATGTTCCGTAAAGCCGAATGGAGGTGGTCGTCGCTAAATGTCTAATGAACTGATGAACTGATCCCTGTAATTAGTGTATGGCGGAGACTACCTACCATCCCAGTCGAAATTCCAATGTTGGTTGTGGGCCGTTTTGCGTGACGTTGGGTGCCCATACGTACGCTGTGCACTCCAGTCCTCGGCCAATTTTCCTCCCATGGGATCGAGTAGACGATAGAAGCAAGCTTCGTGAGCCTAGATCTTTAGGCATATAAAATAGAGCTTGATTTTACTGCATCGCTGATGCTGATGGTTTCTTCCAGTTTAAGAAAACCCCCCTTCCGTAGTTCGCACGTATAGTATACTCAATCTGCTCCGATACCGTTTTAGGTAGGGTAAATCCATGTAAGTGGGAAGCAAGCTTGTCGTTCAGGACAGAACAATGACAGCTGCACGGCTCAGAGAAACAACACACAGAACAAAAAGAAGATTCGGGAGAGAAGGTATGTGTGAGTAGGAAAGAAGAGCGATGGGAAAATCCGGAGAAGACAGAAGATAAACGGTCACAAGGGAACGAGCAAGGGTGGTAGATGGGCCTTCTGAGTACGGTAGGGCGAGAGAGAAAACGGAGAGCCTGAGGGAAAATCGGTTACAATACCTGCTTTTCTCATGTACCGTACCGCGATCATTATTATCATATTACCTACATACTTCCGAGTCATCAAACTCGGCTGAATAATGACACTTCCCGGTCTGACCAGCTGTTTTTCTTATAACAGGTACTGCTCTTTCGTTTAGCGCTTTTCATCGCTGGATGTCCTGTTTCGAGCTTCTCTACTAGTGTACCCAATTTGCCAACAAGAATACTATGTAGATGTGCTTTGTGAAAGCTTAAGAAGCGGCCAAATCCGTCAAACTTCCCCCGCCAAGTCGCCTTTAATTTTCCCCACCGAACGCAAGCTTCGCTCGTAATGCTGCTCTATTAGCCAAAGGCCTATTAAATCTTAAACCAGATCTCAGCCACATTCTGCAAGTTATCTCAGGGCCACAGCGTATCAAAAAGTTTGTTCCCGACCGCCCAAGCGATGTTCGTCTCGTCGCTTCTTTATATCCAACGGCATACTTGTCATCAAGATCGAAATCGAATCTAAAGGATCTTACCTCCGCAAAGAGCCTACGAATAACCTAGCTTAGACAAAGGCGAGCTACCACGCTACCACGATAGGCTAGAGATATGTACGTATGGCGGTATGCTATTCCCTCAATTGGCCATAACTAACAACTTAAATTCCGGAGTTTGACTTTTGATCTGACTCGACTTGACTTCATTTTGTGTTCCAATTACACGTTACTTCTCTAATACGTGAAATCCCCCCCCCAATTATATCGGTGTATATCAGCTTGATGTAGAAACAGAGGATCAGGGGTTCATAAAGTTCCCACAGCACACTAGGACATGGCGAGCACGGCTCATCGATGAATCCTACAGGCAGACAGGCAAGGACGTCAAAAAAGGTGGCGCGCCTACCAGGATAATTGTTAGTAGAGGTGCGCCAGCTTTTTTGACGCCTTTCTGACCGGCGAAAACACATTGCTGCATAATTGTAGTCATGGTCATAGGCATAAGTAACACTCAATTTTTACTTTGACTTATTCTAGAATTCTATACAGCCTGCTAGAGCTGTGAACGTCTCGCCAATAAGGCAAAATGCCACAATACAAGGGATAGACGATTCCTTTGCGCTTGTCAAGTAGGAGAAGGAGATTGATATTTGAGATTAGCAAACGCATTCATAAACCAGGTAACTAGGCCTTATTTCCTTCTACCTCATTAGAGCATATGTTTCATTATATAATTCTCATTATGAAGCTAGTCGTCGGTGACTCGAATGGCTTTGTAGGAGAGGAGCTTATCCGCCAAGCTCTTATATGTCCAGCTATCACGTCTATCGTTGCCCTTAGCCGGCGCGAGACCCTCGGACAGCCTAGCTCTACGAAGCTGCAGCGTTTTATTTGCGACAATTTCGAAAGTTACGCCGATAGCGTCAAGCGCGAGCTAGAGGATACGGACACTTGTATCTAGTACATATGACCCATACTTTTATTGCCTTGCACGTCTCCGAGCATCTCTTCTATCATGTTTAGTGAGTTGAGTTAGGTCAGGACCATTGCCGTGGCACCGTCTAAACTTAAGACGGTCACTTTCGAAGACGCCTGTAGGATCTCCCGCGACTATGCGGTAACAGCAACCCGGGCTCTCGCGGATCTACGTCACAACCAAGACCGGCCGCTCCGTTTCATCTACATCAGCGGTCATTTTGCCCCGCACAGCCCGGCAGAGGTTCCGAAACAGCTACCTAATAACGGTTTAATCAACTACGGTCTAATGCGAGTACGTAGAATACGATGCTATCCTCAACCTCCACTCCGAATTTCATTGAAGCTAATTCATTGCACCCCCCCAAGGAGAAGCCGAGTCGCGGGTTCTTGCATACGCGGAACATTCTAAGGGTTCCGTACGGTCCTGTGTCGCTAAGCCCGGGCATATTGAAGTTCCGAGTTGGGAGAAGCAGATGATCCCTGGGCTCTCAATCATTGACTTGCGCGAATTCGCAGCGGCACTACTAGACCAAGTTGTCAATGGATTCGAGAAGGACACGCTGCTAAACGGTGATATGGTCCAGATTGGGCCGCGAGCATTGGGTGAAGAAAAAAGCTTGAATACTATTTTAAACTTACTAATAAACTGAGATGTAATATGCTCACGAACCTATCCGATCGATTCAACATTGTTGTTCCGTATCTGCTAATGTATACCTGACTAGATACTATATCCTATAACGCAGTGTATGATTCTGTATAGATTTCATGTAATTCTTGTTACATATTACCTATATATACTGGGAGTAAATTGATGCAGTTAGCTAATGTTTTTTTTCCCATCATTCACACGGACAAAATCACACTAGATTTATCCTTCTTTGAACATACCTTGCAATAACTTCTTAGACTACTAGATCGTAATTCTTACCATCGAAAACTATAGTCTTCGTGACTAACCAACTAACAAAATGTTGTCTGCAAACATCTTTGTATCGGTTATCTCACTGATAGCCGGTATGTGCCATGGCCATACTCAAGTTTCCGAACGCCACGGAAGCCTACCAAGTGGTTATTCGCTATCCAACCTCACTTGGGTTGGCAAAGCTTTCAAATACGGCTCTGATATTTCCGTCACTGGTCCCAGCATGAGGAATATCGAAGCGCAAATTCGTGAAATTAACCCCAATTTCTCGTGGGACGACCAAGACAACGTCAATTCCACGGTTTCAATCCAGAATGACGAAACGCATATGACGTGTGATCCAAACAACATCTGGTGGGCTCAAGTGTTCAGGATCGAGGAGGGGATCGACTACCTAAAAGGCATCCAGGGGAGATGCCACATGGGCCCCGGTCCTCGGGTATGCACTCGCATAAGTTGTAGTTATAAGTCGGCAATTTGGTGGTGCAATGATAACGACCATGATATCTATATCGACTGCGCACTTTGGAACCAGTACGCTCAAGATATTGTGGATGTTTGCCAAACGCACGATGCGAGCGCCCGTGTGAGGGGTCAAAAGTTCCATAACAAGCAGAATTGGAATGTGATGGTAGGGTTTGACAATGACCATTGTTAGAGGGTGTATTTTGAACGGAGTATTCGACTTCTAAAATAGTTGCCTTCGAATCTCCTAACACGCCTACCATTAGTAGATCATACCGTTGGCCGTATTTCGCGCCGCTACTTTAGTTAAATACCTAGATAGATAGGAAGTAAATATTAATACAATAACTTAATATCTTTGTATCTACTTATGAAATGTGCAAGTTGAAAGTGAATGTGTCATGAAGTGGAACCAAACAGCACGGAAACAACTTCGTTGTTTTGCGAGGAACTCTAACCTAGTTATAGGTGCCTGAACATGTCCTTTGTTTTAGACGTCTCATTTGGAATCCTGACAATATGTGATCGTGGTAATGAAACTGATCCATGTCTAGGTATCTAGGCACTTAAAACAATGCTTTTGCGATGTGTGACGAGTAAGATGTGCTTTTTATTACGATGCGAAGGTTCTTGACAAGTGTTCCTATTTTTTACAAGTACAATTACAAATTACCTAACAATACCAACTAGAGTCCCTAATCGTCTTCCAAATACCTCTTAACCCAATATTCTTTTCGGTTATGCATAAGGATATTCCCCGTTTTATTCGTCAATTATATCCAGAGCACCCTTATCCACTGCCTCCAGGGCCGGCGACGTTTCACGCTGTATCCTGTCAATCTGGTTTTGAAGCTTTTGGTGCCTTGATTGTTCTTTCTCCTTAGACTCTGCGGCCATAAGCATTTCCATGATTTCACGTCCCTGTTCCCTGTCTGCGTCCCTACTAACGTGGAGACCCCATGCCTTTAGGAATGTAGCTTCGCCCCTGTAGTTTTGATGCAGCCATAGGACCTGTTCCGCTGTGAATCTCTTCCTACTCTCTTGTTTTCCAGTATCTAAACTCAACAGATTTATAGATGTGGTAGCCTCATTCCTATCCTCATTCGTAGTCGACTGGGGCTTCACAGTCGGTCGCTCTTTTCTCTCGGAACTTTCTTCAGTCGACGGCCTTTTTCTAACCGCGGGAACTGAGGATGATCTTTCGAATAGCGAGAGCTTTTGGTTACCCTTTATACTCGCTGGCGGACTTCCTGTTGGTAGCCGTGTTGGTCGAGAACTCCTTTGCTTTGCTATGTCTGCTTCCCTTTGTTGTTTATTTTTGCATTCTAGTGGTCTAGCCGGCAGCGGCTTCATTTGGGCAGGATTTCGAATGTCGGCCGCGGATTGGGTACGGCGGATAGTGTGAGCTGATATTTCGGCAAATTCGCCATTGCCGTTTCTTCGAAGGTCTTCCGCGGACGAGGATGTGGGTGGGGCTGCAGAGGAGTAAGGGGAGAGGCTGGGAGAACGGAGAGTACTAGCTGACTTTGATGGTGGTAGGGGAAATAAGAACTCTAGAGAACCACTGGAAGGCGAATTCTGCCTCGTAGTTTTCGTTGGGCCGGATTGCTTCTCGGGTGGAAGCTTCAATGGCTCTTGGTTTAGTTGTGACCGTTCTACCCGCTCATTGCGATTTAGCATGTTTACTACTTTCCCATATGTTGATTAGAAAGAAGTACTAACTCATGTCATCCATAGATAGCGGTATAAGGCTATCTTTTCTAAGTAGTTGATCAACTAACGTACCCATCTTCGCATTCGACATGTCAAGGTTCTGCAACTGAGACTTGGTCGAACGTATATTTGGCATTGTGTAGTTCATAGAAAGATGTGACGAAAGATGCTGGGTATTACTCAAGATAGTAAAGGAGTATACTTATTGGCCCCTTAAAGAAGCAAACATGTAGTTAGAAGGGCTCCTTTCCCTTATTACGAAGACAATATGACGAAAAGTGCCGAGATAGTTATTCAATATCCCCATTACCCTTCATCATACGATGCTAAAGTAGTAGCTTAACCCGTATATGAAGATATATGATTCCTGACTGGTCAAAGGTAGATCAATATATGTCAAACTTCTTAATATTATTAACTACCTTATACGGAGGGCCAATGCGGCGTCTAGATTAGTCTCTGTTAGTTAAAAAGATGTTTGAACTAGGATCTACAAGGACCAGGGTGTTACCGACTGGATGGAAAAGACATGGTGTGCCCTGTTTTCTTAGGGCCCCCTTTATCCCAAGAGAAGTGATCTGAAGCAAATAAGCAGGACCACTTAGACCCTTAATATGTTTTATCTTTCCGGCGGTATTTTATATGGCATTTTCCTGTAAGACTCAATGTTTCTTTTGGATTATTCATAACTAGATTTCTCACGATACGTTCGGTTCTTCAAGGGAGTGCGGGATAGGGCACTACTATGGGGCAAGTAGCCAGAGGAACTCCATAGTATTATACATCTACTTCGTAAGGGAGTTAGAAAAACGTAGCAAGATGAGTGATTTCGATCTCCTTGAGCCAGTACCTACATGTATGTTGTCCAGTATGGCTACTAAATTAGGTGCTATCTCATATATTAACAGCTAGGTAGTAAAGCAGTTCCTTTCCTCAAGCTAGCTAAAGCTCCGGTGATTCGTTCAAGTTATCTAAATTAATCTTCTCGGGGGGTGGGTTTTGAATTTGAAGTGCAGCGAAATCTTATCAGTGATAATGAAAAATGTTATGATTCATTCGCATTAATTATAGACACAACTTTGCAACTAGGTAAAACTTAAACGTACACACCTTAGGTCGAATAGGCAAAGTAACTTTCGCCAAGATAAATCTGTAACAAAAGCAAACAATCATGAAGTTGAATCGGATAATCTCCGTTGCTGCATAGCCTTTGGTCCGAAGTTAACGATCTAGCTTAGACAAACTCGGAGTTTAGACTCGGAGGTTGGGTAAGCTGGAAACTACCAATCGGACGCCGCCATTAATGCCAAAACTTCCAAAATAGGTAAAACACCGATGTAAGCTCAGGCGGCTCATGTAGTCGTCGGACAATACGGACAATACGGATATATGCTCCAAACTAAGCGCGAAATGGTTAAGCAGACCCTGAGAGTACAGTACCCTTACATCTATTTTCATTAACCCAAGTTTAAGTTCGATTTTGTACTATTAGAATTAGTAACTGGGGACCTCCTTTTCTTTTGTTGATACAGAAATAAAAGGGCTTATTTAGGCTAAATGACAAAGTGGAAAGATACTAAATACCGACCTTATACACAGAGGTTTCGTCATTGTATTAGCGGTATCCTGATGCTGCTGGTCTTTAAATTTGACAAGTTCACTTGATTTGAATATTCTATCTATATCTTACTGTGTCCCGTCAATTATGCAACCGACAAATTAACCTATTAAGGGATGAACCAAAGTGTAATTGCTTAATATCAAACAAGTTCTTGGTTGCTCGATAGTGCGAGCCTTAATCTAAGCTCAGGTTCTCATAATGTAGTTATTCGGCTTCCACAACCAATTTCTTTGATGAAATTCCCTTCTTGAAGATATCTAATGCATCCTGGATACCGTCAAGACCTTTCCTCGACACTACCTCCGGTGGTGGGGCAACCTTGTATACTCCTTTATGTAACGCATCCCGAAAGTATCCGCCGAAAGTGACGGGGCGCGTCTCTGCAAAAGGGTCATCACCCCCGGTACCCAAGGTGAACTTGGCTGTGACGCCCTCTGGAACGTCTTCGGGTACCACGGGGTTGGTAGAAACGACGAATGGCTTCTGCTTGGATTTATACGCGACTTGGCAGGCTTCGGCGACGCTTCCGGCAGCCATATATATTCCGGCGCACATACCCTTATCGAGCTCGGCGGCAACGTCATCGACGATAGTGGGACTGTTACGGTCGAAGACTTTGTCGGCTCCGAGGCTTTTCACATAGTCGAAGTTGCTAGCGGAGCAGGTAGTGATTACTCGGAAACCCGCCCCTTTGGCTAATTGGATACCGTTGCTGCCGCAGGCTGAACTGCCTCCCCAAATCAAGAGCGATTTATCAATGGATGCGGAACTTAGAGTCGGGAAAGGTAAGCCAAGGTAGTCTTTGCTGAAGAGAGAAAAAGAACAGGTAGTGATGCACAGAGGGAAGACGGCAACTTGGGCATAGGATAACGAGTCCGGAATCTTCGCAGTAACTCTCTGGTCGAGTGTCACATAGTCCTGGAAGCCGTTGTTTACGGTAAAGCCAAAAACGCGATCCCCGGCTTTGAAATTAGCCGCGGCACCAGAACCAACGGCTTCGACGGTGCCAGAAACATCCTGACCAAGAATGATAGGGTACTTGAAGAAAGGCAATGCCTTGTCCTGGATGATGGCGTCGCAAGGATTGATAGCCCAAGCGCAGACTTTAATTAAAAGCTGATGTTCCTCGAGTTTGGAAGGAATTGGGCTTCTGCGGATGACACCTGGTACGCCGGGCTTGTCCTGCCAGAGGGAACGGTTTGCAGCGGGCATCTTTGTGATTATAGTTGCCTTGTAAAGGTTGAGACTCGATATTGTAGATGTAGATAGGAGTTGAAGCTAGTGGGCTTAGGAAGAGATAGAAATCCGATACTAAGGGAATATGATAATCTCAGGCGTAACTAATAGGAGCTTGTGGGGTTTCTATAGTACGAAGCTGAATATATATTAAACGATGACTTGGTAGATAATACATAGAACCCGATAATAAAGAGAGTAACTAGCGAATAGAGAAGTCACGGAGATTGCGTGCGGACTTTAGTACGTAATTACGCTATACTAATGCGACCTCCCTCCCTAAGGTAATTACCTAGGAGGTAGGTAGGTAGTCTGAACGCCCAATCGGCGTTGACGAATTCATTACCATTTCGAATGTTATAAATGGTTCCGGTGTAATTATTCCTTTCCATGCAGCTTAGAATAATCCTAACCTATCAAGCTTACCGCAAGAAATAATTTCGGTACTATGTTAGGTACCTAGTCATATACTAGGTAGAGGAGAGGGTATGCTACGAGAATATGGTTGGTAAAGGCCCGATACCCTGTGTCGTCGACTAATATTCTTGTAAAGTGAATGGAGCAGGGCAGATGTACCTGCTTGAGCGATGTGGTCTGGATGATGCCTCTAGTTCTTTATTTATTGGAGATGTTCGTATGCTCAACGCATAAATATCTAATAGCCTTGCGTTGTTTGGATTAGATATTGTTTAACCAATTAAGGTACCTAATATCCTCGGACGAAAGGGGGTGGCTAGTTCTGTGGCGTATGTTTGTGGCGATGTAAACTTTTCGTAAGGTAAGATTCTTTACCTACTTCCATACATGTACCTATAGGTACTCGGGATACCTTAGGTAGGAGTCTATCCTCGTCGAGATTCCTCTATTACATATGTAGTACTTTATTTTTATGTCATCTCATTATCTTTGTGAACTGATCGATTCCTCAGTAGCCTATGGGTATTACTTGCGGCTGCCTAAAGGTAACATCTTACTACTTCTAGCTTTATAATTAGGATCCATTCCACTAACATATTTAGGAAGTGCTTTTCTTGTAGAGCGAGATGTACATGAAGGATCAGCAAATAATTCGTGCAACTACCTACGGATATGCGAACGTTCATCTCCAAACTTTGCGTAGGTATATCATACCTACCATTCTTCCGAATCCCATTCGTTATCCTCTGTAGAACCATCCCACGGCACGTGTTGCTGCTGCTGTGAAAGTCGCCGGGCGGTTAGGCAAAGGTCTCTTCCGGGGACATGTCCTGGTATGTTGCAGTCGGTGCAGTAGACTTCCGGGCTCTCGGCGCAGTTTACCTGAAGGTGGTCTCCTCCGCAGCGGTAGCAAGCCTTGACTGATCCGAAGTGACCGCTGTAGTGTCCCAGCTCTCCGCAATTTGGGCAAGACGACGCCACGTGGCCAACCTCATAGCACCTGCTACACTTCGGCTTTTCGACGCAACCTCCACCTTCGTGGCCCCAACCAAGGCAGTGATCGCAGAAGGTTATCTTCAAGACGCGGCGTTTGTTCTCGAGATGGTCGTAGATCATGTGGAGGTTCTTCGTCAGCGAACTATTGGCGCTGTTTTTCTGACTTGCGAAACTTGATTGGTTCATCAGTATTATCTCCCCTTGAATACTGCGTGTATGCGCAGTTGCGTTAAGGTGTGAGTCTCCGGTAAATCCTGGGCCTTTGGTACGCGTGTAATCGATGATCACGAGGTCTGCTCCTTCGCCGTGGAAGCTGCCTACTGTGCCAACGCGGACCCTCTTGGCCATCTCCTCAGCGGTAACGTGAAGGCGGAAATCTAGCACTTCTCGACGATAGAGAACAAGCTGTATTTCCGCGGCTTGTGCTTTGTAATAAGAGACGACGGCGATGGTTCCGGGTTGTTTGCCGTCTACCGATGTAAAGGTAGGGCTGTTGAGGAAGAATTCGAGAATTCTTAGTATATAATGAATATGATAGTCGTTTTTGAACGATGTGTTAATACTCTGTTCGTTAGAGTTGGTAACGTCAACGATGATACGGACGCTCTTGCGGAGGCCGGTTAACTCGGCGATCATGCTATGAACGACCCTGACAGGTGGTGGGAAATGACCCTTGACGCCGGACTTCATGAGATTGTCGTAAAACCAGGCACTTGGCTTCTTCTGCAAGTATCCATATTGGCGATGATTGTAGAGTAGCGCGGGGAGGGCGGCCCCGCCGCGTTTGACCCTCTCCAAGCACGATAGACCAATTTGCTTGTCGAAAGCTTCAGGCGTGTCCTCACGGTGGTAAGTTACCGGGGCGTGCTGTTGGGGGTCGCCGAGCAGCATGAAAAGTTTTGCCGAGGGGAACGAGGAGATGGCCATGATGGTTGTCAGCTCTCTCGTGCGCGCATTCTCGTCCATGATGACTAGGGTTGGATGAAACTTCCGTCTGAAAAGAATACCGCGGGCAGTAGAGGGAGTGGCGAGGACGATATCGGCTTCCCGTACCTTTGCCTTGTAGATAGTATTGATTGGGTCTGTACGCTCGTTAACACGTCTGCCGGAGGGATTGATGACGTCCTTGGTAATGGAAACGTGCAGCGGACCCGAACCGAAATTCCTGGAAGCTCCTCCCTTCGAGCCCTGCACCGCAACCTGACGGAATTCATCCAAGAATGACTCGGTGAGATGCTGGTCTATCTTATCGAGCTCGTTAGGTACTTGACTGGAGGCCGGTTGGCTCGGGGTGTCGACAGCCGCTCTAATCTCCGCAGATGTTGTATAAGCCCTCTCTATCCGGGGAAACGTGTGGGGAGGTGCTCCGTATTTCTCGAGCGAACGCCTAAAGCTTGGTTCATAATTGTCAAGAACCTGGTGCTGCTGTGCTAGGATCAAGACTTGGTTGCGAGAACCAGGGGCAGGCTGCTCTGCTAGGTGCATCAGAGCGTAAAATTTGACGAAAGTCGACCTCCCAGATGCGGCTACCCCTGGAATTACTGCTAACCCACAGGGAAGATGCTTCATATGTTCGCTAAACATCTGCTTCTTAGATTCGTCAAAGTCGTTGTACATCGATTGTAAATGAGCTGGTGCCGCACCGACCAGAGCGCGTACCATTCCGGGAAATATGGCGAAGTGGTTAACCACGGAGTCGCGTTTGGGACTTTCTAAGCTGGGCAACCATCTATAGATATCTAGTGCTAGTGAACTAGGCGTTAGATTGCCGCGTCGTGTGGAAGCAGGGTGTTGAATCTCTCCGTGAGCTTCCATCTCCTGTTCGAACGTCTTCGGAACGAGCTTAAGTGCAATATTACAGGTTCTGATGTTATCGTCCGTCAGCATTCTTTGGATGTAATCACCGTAGCTCTCGCCCTCTACTGCGCGCTGGAGGTTAAAGTTGGCTCTTCTCTGAAGTCCGCCGCACGATTCGTACTATGGCTCGAACGGGATCTTTGCGAAGAATACCCTAAATCTACTTCCGAGAAGAAGAAAGATGGTATCGGTTGCTCTAGCATTCCACGTTGCAAGCTTGCGTTCTAGAGTCTTATCCTTTACTTGGGGCATACGCAGATAGTGCTTGTGCTTCGCGACGAATTCTCTTAGATCTAGGATGTCCACCGTATCCCCGGACACCCAGAACCTTGAATGAATTTCTTCTAGCTCTGTACGTATAGCCTTAACCTTCTCAGCACCTATTCGTTCTGCATCGTTGATCACATTGCAATAATTGACAAAGTCTTCGGGATTTGCTGCTGACGTTTCGTCAAAACTTTCACGCGCAATCCCGCCCAGCACTTCGGGTAGTTCTTTAGCTATGTCGACGTCGTATGATGGGTTCTTGGTGCGCTCAACCCCTAAAACCCGAATTTCACATTCGGTAGCTGAGCTCGGGAGGCGAGCGGAGCCGGGACCTACGCGGACGGCGACAGCGACAGTTGTAGGGTTGTCTAACGCGTCGAGGTTCTCCGGCAGAACGAGTATGTGGCATTGAAACTCTTGCGGCGCCGTCCTATCGCTAAGAATTCGAGTATGAATTGCATTGTCGATAGTACCGTAGGCCTGGGTAATCTTGAACTGCCGGTCGTCAAAGAATTTGACGAAGGGCTCCATAGCGGGAATAGGGGGTCTGACAATGTTCCTGATACTTTGGTGGGTATATTCCTCACCAGCCCCAAGGATATTACGGATGTTGATAACCCCTTCCCCCGGAGAACGGGCGAACCAAGGAGCGAGCGGATCTGATACCATGCCCGAAACTAGGGAAATGGCTTTGAAGACATTGAGGTGGCTTGGTTCTTTCGCCAAGCAGTTGCCAGGCTGAATTGCGACGATATCTTGTAGAAGGTCGGGAAATTTCTCTCTAGCAACACCTGGGTCTTCGGCAACTAAAAAGGTAATCTCACGAGGAGTGTCGGTACTGACCGAATCGGCGAATTCCCGAAGCTGTTGAATTTGCTGCTTCTCCGTCTCGCCTACTAGTCGAACCTCTTCGTAATACAGGAGTGCTCTAGAGAATTGAAATGATAGGCGAAGCGAGCCCGATGACGCCTGTATCGGACTTTCGTAGAGATCGAAGGGATTGAAGATTTGGTTGAGATAAGATGTGGTACCATCCTGTGACAGTCTTGTGCAAGACACACGCGAGATAGATTGGAAGTAAAAGTCCATTCCAGCAACCCAGGTAGTTTTCTTGCCATTCTTTCCGAATTTATTATTGCGGTACATGCTCAGATTGATCATGCGGTACATAGCGGGATGCGCAACGAGCCTGAGTTTGAACTCGAGTTGATCAGTCGCGAGTTTACCGAATTCGAGGATATTGCCATTGGTGTGTCGACTTAGGGCGGTGGCTTCGAGAAAAACAAGGCAGGGAAGGAGAGTAGAGGGCATCGACTCTTCAAGATCCGTCCTGTCGTTATGGGTCTTGGATGCCATTTTTAGCGAAATATTATCCACAAAGTCTTGTAACGAAGGGATACTTACACCACCCGGGCCATTATGACCGGTAGAGCTCGGGTGTTGAGAGATATCCATGCTGCTTCGACGAGGACTAAGTAGAGAACACCCTGCATACAATTAGCCGTGTGCAAGGAAAAAAGAAAATATGCAATAGACTAGCTAAAGATTTTGCAGTTTAAACACGTTCCTGATCTATGTAAATCCCTCGTTAAAACTGGGAGTCAAGAGGTACCTGAGTAGGCATCGGAGGGAAATACGCAGATAACCCCGGGCCGCTTTCCTTTGAAAAGAGGTTCTTGTAGCAGCGCCAACATTCACGAGTCTTAGGGATGGCTCTATAGATATATGCTGGAGGACAGTACGGTGAAGAGCATGCTAGAATGGACGTCTGAGATGAAGAAGACTTACCTCAAGTCAAGTTTGATCAAGTGTGTGTATGATTAATACCTCAGTCTACAAAGCTGTTAACGTGTGTGATTTCGTGTCGAGGAAGGATGCGTGCTTACCTTAAGTGCCTAGCCTAGATGTATTCTCGAACTATGTCGCCTGTAAAGTCGGTAGAAATGTTGAGATATATATTGTGTGGTGAGTGACTTGTTGAGGGGTTCTTTGTAAATATAACCCAATTTAAGTGGATGAACGACATGAATAGGCACCCACAAGTCACCTTAGATGTCTTGGGACTGTTGAAATCTTTTTTTATAAATACAACACGAGGGGTACCTCCCCGATCATGTCAGCAGCGGTTTAGCCTTGTACCCAGGAGAGCGTCAGATAGTTCCGGCAGGGTTTTCAACAAATTGAACAGGCTTTCAATTTATAAGTTTGCCTTACCTTTTATAACAAATGACCTTACTTAACCTTGTAACTGTTTTCGTCCTAAATCAACAAAATTGTAGCCAATGTCTTACTGGTATACTGAAAAGGCGGCGAGAGAGGATTGTGCTATCGATGCAATGTTTCTAATAAGGATCTACCACCATAAGTAAGCTTTAATAATTGTCAGGGTATAAGTGGATCAGGGGTAGCTATAGGGGCATGTCTGCTATATAAGAGGCGCGTAGTGTCTTCGTAAGATTCTAGAAAGGCAAGCGTTGATATATTCCTACTACTACAGGGCTACTATACAGCAGCTGCACCGCTGCTTCTGATATTTACTTTACATATGGCATACATCAAGGGTTTTCTTTTGACATATTCTCAGGATATGAATGGGGGCTGTGAAGGGGACCATCTTTATTTGCTTTGAGCGTATTGATCGTGGTTAGAGATAAACAGAAGGCTATCAACTAGTCCCACAGGGCTACGTACGCTACCTTATTGTGCACTCATCAGGTAGCTAGCTAAAACTTACTCTCCTAGTCTATACAATATAGTATTATCATACTTATACCATACCCTCACCCTTCAGTGACTCCTGATATGGCACATAGCGCCGTTGCCCCCTACTGATAAGCCTCGGAAAGGCTTACCGTTATTGTTGTCACGACTGCTCAAGGTCCTGTAAGAACCGGAATAATTGTAATAATATCTGATTTCAATACCAGTATTCTGAGTCTTTCATTCCTGGGACTTGAAATCTATATGGTTATTTCCCTAGCTATGACTTAATTCTTAATTACTAGGTATAAAACCTTCCATGAAGATAGAGATGGTCTAAGTGATTATGATAAGCGCCCCCTTTTAACTAGTAGCTTGAAATTCATAGAATGTTCCTCATAGAATGTTCCTCATAGATATCACCTCCTCCCATGTGTTTCGTATTTCCATCCTGCCTATTGGGCTGTTCGGCTACGGATGGACTATACAGTACAGCGTATCTGGATTGAAATAATCATATTCACTGGCTTCGTAGGTTCCTATTCCAAAGAGGTAAATAGATCAAAGATCATATATCAAAGTCCGTTCTATAAGTAATTAAGAAGCAACCGTAGACTAGGATCATAATTCGTAAATTATAGCCTCTAATTTCCAGTCCGTTCAAATAGCAACCTAACTACCTAAGGTAGTTGCCATGTCACTTGTATGATGCGGGAGGAATTATTCTAAAGTATTTACTACAGTAGTTGTTGTGTTCTGATCGAGATTGAGACACTCGTTAAGACCTGTTACTACCTAAATATCCATTCAGCTGCGGCTGACGTGACGTATCATTTTCTTTAGTTAGAGTACCTAAAGAGAGGATTGGTTCGGAGTAGCCGGGGATTCCCCGCCTTAGTTTCCCTATACCTTGAACTGGTACATCCTATACCTACCATCTTACCAGACAGCAGGCGGATGCCTTAATATCTTGTTGAAGATAAAACTGATCCACAGGCGTATAGGTTCGCTTATTTCTTTTTTAAACAGCTTCCCGAAATATTGAATCAATCATGGTACGAGGAGTCAGCCAGCTTCTTAAATTTTCCCGGAAGAGCACGCCAGACGACCCGCTACCTCCAGCGTCCGTGCCAATTGATTCTGCGCGCCGCAAGATGGAGCAGAGGGTACCGCTCGCTCGCTCGATTCTAGACCACCCGGAATCGATCGACTCTCAGTTACAATCTCCTCTCTTCGGAAAGCTCCCCAGAGAGCTGCGCGACCTAGTTTGGCGCTTTTCTCTAACGCGTTACGAAGATCTCGACCGCCTCTACGATATCCGGAAGCCCTATGCTAGACCCGGGCAAGCTGCCCCGCTACGGGTTGCTGTTCAGCTTCTTCGAACGTGCCGGGCTGTATATGTCGAAGCCTTTCTTACGCCCTTTCAAGTCAACCCGATAATGATATTCCACGGCGACGACAACGACATCCCCCCGGGTATCCCGCTAATGCGCACGACGGAGAATCAATTTCTATGCGGGGAGCTAAGATTCTGGCAATTTGCAAACATATCATCCGTTGAGACGACATTGCAGCAGATAAACTTGGAAGGTGGTGAGTTTATTCCCAGATATCTCGATATTGTCTATTGAAGAATGTGTACTCTAATTCAGTTGCTGATGCGAATATCAGGTGGACTCGAGCGAGTGTCTCGTCTGGTCGGAACGATAGGTCGGCACCACGGGCATGAGAGTAGAGGCTACGCGGCTACAGGTTACGCGTGTTTTGTATCGCCTACTGAGTCCAGCAGAAGTACCAGTGAGGTCAACTGGAAGGAAGAACATGGTGGCCAACTATCATCTCTACCGAACCCACTTGTGGGTAGAAAAATTACACGTTTATCTATCCGCATGTCTCGCACCGACTGGTGGGGCTGGGAGAGTAGACCAGAGGAGGGTGAAGCATCCCCTTCGGAGAGGCTCCGTCTAGAACCAATGATTAATGTCACAGATCTCTGGAAGAGACCCGCCAACTACTTAGCCATGACGAAAGGCTACGAAGCGCGAAAAGCAGGCGACGAGCCTGACTTTCAACTAGACGATTTTGAAAAGCAGGGGCGCTGGGGCTCTCAGATAAGAGAGTATTGGCCAGACCTCACAACGCTCGAGCTTGTTCTGGAGACGTTTTCATGCAAGAAAAATCAGCTGGATCATGTCGTGCAGTGTGCTAAATTATGGACGTTTCCACTAGATGAAGGATTCCACCTTGTGTGGGATGGTAAAGAAGAACTAATCCGATGGCGCGGTGCCCATTCTTACGAGTACGAGTATCGAGACTGGTTTACGGCTCACAATATACCCCAAGGTGCCGAGGCGCAGAGTTCAACAGCGATTCAATGGAGGCCCTCTCAAGGCAATAGCGGGAGTGATACGAATGGCCAGGAATTCATTATTCAGACATTGACTTTTAGACGGGAAAGGGTTAAGGACCATATCGACGGGGACAGATCTTAAACGTCGCATGAGAGTGGAGGAATTTAGGTTGAGTTCAGGGGCTGGGGTGAATTTTCTATCCAACTTTGATCGTCAGCGTCTCAAATCTAGTAGGCATGGTATGTCATTTATGAAGCTTTTGTGGCGTCATTCGTTTGTTACCTCTCTCTTGCGGTCTCGAGTTATTCTATGTATAGTGTTACGTTACCAATACCCAGGCAATTGGACATAGATCTAACCTTACTAAGTGTGCTCTCTATAGTGTCTAATTAGTTACCTAAGTACCTACCTAATCTATCTAGGTATAAGGTGATTTCTCCCGTTAACTCGTAGGAGGTACTTACAACCTTGGGTGATCCACACACTGTTATATGTATTCCGTACACACTTAATCGTTTATACCTGGGTACACATGACTGATCGTATATAACAGGTAACACAATTTATACTATTCCTACTCCAAGATGTCGCCTATTAAAATACGTAAGCAAACTTGAATACCGAATGCTCTGGCTTATTTCGCCGAGGATAACCTTGCTTTACCCCGCATAATTACCTAAAAGACTGGGGTATTCCCCGCACATAACCTCGAGCTTCCCCAAAAGAGACAACGTTACCCGGCTGGGGAAGTCATTTTCATTCGTACAATACGAATTAAATTAGAAGCAGGCTGCATGCTAGCTAAGAAAAGGGCCGATAGAAAATGAGGATACGAATTGATTGTTGTCAATGAGAGACCTTTTTGGATTGGGAGATTGCAGGTGGATTAGATAGAGTTGGATACTTGTCGTCATAAGAGCTATTTGTTGTGGAGGTGCTTCTACCTGTTTGCTAATTAGGTACCTATATAACATCTAAAGAATTAAAGAAGGCAGTACAACTTAAGAAGGTGTTTATGTTACGATATAACGGCAAAACGGACGGTATGTGGAGCAGCGTTGCAAGGAGGTATCCAGTGGTCCCGGCACCTTGGCACGCTAAATTATAGTGTAATTTACTTGGTAACATGCATGATACTTCGTACATGGCCTGATGGCTCAAGGATATAGGAGGTGCAAACAACTTCATTTCATCGTGTTTTGCAATACGCTTTCATAGAATAATACGTCTTCTACACGAGACTATCCATACACGTATATACTATGGTAGATGCTATGAGGGATATTAATTATGTTGAACTCGATTTCCCCTGAAGATCTTCCCCTGACACTTCATATTTATGGATGTACCTCATGTCTCTAGTTAGTCAATGCGTCATCCTTCGAGGCGAGAGCTGTAGGGATTTCCCAATGTAATCTTCCTTGTTTTTGACTGCCCATTAATGCTTTGTTAAGATGTACTACTACCACCCGTTCTTGGTAAGTCTCGCCGATTGTTATGACGCCACAAGACGCGTATTTCTTAGTCTCTGTATTATGATAATGCCGTCTCAGCTCGATTTGTCCCGTCTAGTTCAAGCTTCCCATCTCGAATCGGATCCTTAGCTAGCCCCCCAAGCGGAGAACCCTGCTCATCGTGGGTTCGCCGTAACCTTGCAGCGTGCAAAATTGTGCTGACGAGGAATCTTGAGAATCCAATCTCTCACCTTGATTAGTCGCATGCAAATTGCTGATCACTTGATCCGCAGGTTTACAGGGGTAAGAGCAACTTTCGAAGTTATTAATAGGGAGACTTGTGCTCGATTTTATTGTCCTTTGGTGATCTATCCCTCTCGGACCCTGCCTTGTCTTCTCATCGGATAGGACGAACTTCATACGAACGATAACTACCGTATGATAGCCGCGATGCGTTGCGTTCCGTGGGTCGCCTTATTGGCTGTGACCAGGTATACAGCGGCAAATGCGGTCAGTCACCCCATCCATGCATTCTCCTGTATTCCCCTCGGGCGTCTTCGCACATTCCTCTTCATATCATCCACAGTACCGTGAAGACTGTCGTGGAGTTTATCCCCATCGATTTAGCATCGAGTTCTAGATCCCCCCACGCCAGTCGTATTGCATGTGAAGCAGCTTGAATTCAAAATCTTATAATCTCTGATGTCGTGATCTGATCACGGTTGAGCCAAGGCTTTTCAACATGCAGCTCCGCAGATTTTTGGCACAAATACTGCCGATTTCGCAGTTCGTAATATCTGACAATTCGCAGGTCGAAAAGCGAGATCTCGCCTACTCCGAGCCGCACTACCCTTCTCCTTGGATGAACCCTACTGCGCAAGGATGGGAAGATGCTTATGCCAAAGCTAGGGAATTCGTCTCCCAGCTTACTCTAGCAGAGAAGGTCAACCTAACAACCGGCGTCGGGTGAGTATCTACATTCTGACCATTCACAGAGCCGTATCGGCTGACGAAACCTAGTTGGCAAGGGGAGCAATGTGTTGGTCAAGTTGGTGCTATTCCTAGATTGGGGTTTCGTAGTCTTTGTATGCAAGACTCTCCGCTAGGCATTCGTTTTGCGGATTACGTCTCAGCTTTCACGTCCGGTCAAACTGTGGCGGCTTCGTTTGACAGAGACCTCATCTACCGGCGAGGCAAGGCCATGGGCGAAGAGAATAAAATTAAAGGCGTCGACGTACTTCTAGGGCCAGTAGCTGGACCTATCGGGCGAACACCTGTAGGCGGACGTAACTGGGAAGGATTTTCTCCCGATCCATATCTGACCGGCGTCGCAATGGCCGAGACCGTTAAGGGAATCCAAGATGCTGGCGTGGTTGCTTGCGCTAAGCACTTTATCGGTAACGAGCAAGGTTAGAAGGATTAGACGAACCCTTTTGAAGTGTAATTGCTAATACAGGTGCAGAGCATTTCAGACAAGTCGGCGAGTCACAGGACCGTGGATACAACATATCCGACACTCTGTCGTCAAACATCGACGACAAGACGATGCATGAATTGTATTTATGGCCATTCGCGGACGCGATCCGGGCCGGTGTCGGTTCTATCATGTGCGCGTACACGCAAATCAATAATTCATATTCTTGTCAAAAGTAGGTACCAAGTGGTTGGTTGCTATTTTATTTCCGTGCTAACGCGCTTTTCCCGTTTTATAGCTCGAAGGCGTTAAATGGGCTCCTCAAGAGCGAATTGGGGTTCCAAGGATTTATCATGTCAGACTGGCAAGCTCAGCACTCTGGCGCGGCCAGCGCCGTAGCCGGGCTTGACATGACGATGCCCGGGGACACCGTCTTCAACTCCGGATTTAGTTTCTGGGGCACTAATCTTACTCTTGCGGTGCTAAATGGAACAGTACCTCAGTACCGAGTTGACGATATGGCGATGAGGATTATGGCGGCTTATTTCAAGGTCGGTAGGACGTTAGACCAGACTCCAATCAATTTTGATTCGTGGACTCGGGATACATTCGGGCCCATCCACTACGCCGCCAACGAGGGTCATCAGCAAATCAACTGGCACGTAGACGCCCAAGAAGATCACGGAGATTTTATCCGAGAGATAGCTGCCAAGTCAACCGTGCTGCTCAAGAACAACGGTGCTCTCCCACTGAAGAAGCCCAAGTTTCTCGCCGTCATCGGGGAAGATGCCGGTCCTAACCCGTTAGGCCCGAACGGCTGCGCTGATCGAGGCTGTAATCAAGGAACTCTCGCAATGGGATGGGGTTCGGGAACCGCCGACTTCCCTTACCTCGTCACTCCTATCGATGCTTTGCAAGTACAAGCTCTCGAAGACCGTACCCGTATTGAAGCTGTTTTGGATAATTCCGCGTCGGCGACGATTGAAACCTTGGTCAAGCAAGAAGGGACTACCGCTCTAGTATTTGTCAATGCCGACGCCGGCGAAGGTTATATTAGTGTTGATGGCAATGAAGGGGATCGTCGCAACCTCACACTTTGGGGCAACGGTGATGAGCTTATTAAGAATGTTTCTTCTTTGTGCAACAACACAATAGTTGTGATACACTCGGTTGGGCCTACGCTTGTATCGGACTGGTACGATTCACCCAACGTTACTGCTATCTTATGGGCTGGTTTACCCGGCCAAGAAAGCGGTCGCTCAATCGTAGACGTACTATACGGAAAAGTCAATCCTGCTGCCCGAACTCCTTTCACATGGGCTACGAGTCGAGAAGACTACGGTGCTGACGTTCTCTATGAGCCTAATAATGGCAACGGTGCACCGCAGCAAGACTTTACCGAGGGTATATTTATCGACTATCGGGCCTTAGATCGTGCTAAGATCGATCCTATCTTTGAGTTCGGATTTGGGTTGTCGTACACGACGTTCGAGTACTCGGATATCCAAGTCGAGAAGGCCAACGTCGAGGAGTACAAACCCACAACAGGCACAGGTGCTGAAGCCCCAACCTTCGGCAACTACTCGACAGAGCTTGAGGACTATCTCTTCCCAGAATCCTCTTTCCCTTATATATGGCAGTACATTTATCCGTATGTGAACACAACGTCATCGCTCGAGGATGCATCTATGGATCCTGAGTTCGGCAAGACTGCAGAAGAGTTCCTCCCTCCAGGAGCGCTAGAATCCGCCGCACAAAAGCTCGACCCCGCCGGACCAGGCCTTACGGATCAGCCAGGTGGTAACACTAGATTATTCGACGTCTTGTATACGGTAACCGCTAAAATTACCAACACTGGCGACGTGGTGGGCGATGAGATCCCGCAGCTGTATGTTTCCCTCGGTGGAGAGGATGATCCGCCGGTAGTCCTCCGCGGTTTTGATCGAATTCGGATTGATCCGGGCTGCACCGAGGTTTTTACAGCAACCTTAACACGACGTGATGTCAGCAACTGGGATGTCGAATCTCAGAACTGGGTCATTACCAGCTCCGCCAAGACCGTATTCGTCGGTCCCAGCAGTCGCAAGTTGCCTTTAAGCGCTCCGTTATCATAGGATATAACGACACATAAAATCTAATTTCTGGCCAGGGGATGTCAACAAGGATAGAATACCTGCTAACATAATCAGTAGTTAGCCAGATGCAAATATTCTAGTATATAATCTATAATATTAATTCTTGGGCTATATGTGATAGGTTACGACCCTCGATAAACCAGTATAATATGTAAGTTTACGAGGCCTATGTATTAGGATGTAGTTAAGAGAATAGGTTCCCATCGGGAGGTGGTCAGTTCCGGTTAAAATAAAACTAAGTTCAGAAGATTGGGGATAAGACTACATTGGGAAACAATTTTAGGTATAGCGTATACCCATTGTATGTACATATGAGTAGGTGGGTTTTAGATAGTGACTTGAAGTTAACATTGTAGGTACAATAACTACTGTGAAGCCAAATTAAACATAAGGTTTTCGGCCCGCTAGCTTGGACCCACATCCGCAACCTAACTGCCTAATACAACGACGCACATTCAATTCAATACGTACCTAGGTACCTAAGTACCTATGTAACCCATATAATTTCCGTCTTATACAACCATATCTCTTCTCATGCCGCCGAGCACAACGACATTACATATGTCGCCGAATGTATCCAAGAAAAGATAGTTTACCAGCCAGGGAGACCGGGGAGCCCTAGGTAAGAAGAAGGATTAGCATCTGTCTTATATGAAATTAGGGAGACCACTTACAGTCGTCACCAATATCTTCCTGAACACTTTGTGACTTGACGCAGTCTATGGCAGCCTGGTCTGTTTGCCTCTGCAGCGGCGAGCAGCGGTCGCCGGAGCACTTTCCATCCATAGCCCTCTGAAGCGCATCGCCTTTCCAGCCGAATAGATAATCGCCGTGCAGGCCATATCCTGTAGTGTCGTTCATGCTCCATACAAAAGGCTGAGAGCCATCTGCAGGCCACTCGGCCTTGTTGTTGAAAGCACGTGTGTCGAACATGATCTCGTACATGATCTGCGGGATCTTGACCGGGTGGGTTGAGGGACAAGCACCACCGCTCTCAAACGTTCCCGAAGCAGGGTACGCCACGTGAGACTTGTGGTCAGGCGAATCTAAGTTCTTGCCGTCCCAGCATGAAGGGAAGTGCACGGACACTCGCCATCCTCCGCCGCATGGCTCCTTGGGGAACGCTTGAGTGTCCGAACCTGTGCAAGGGGCACTACGATGAGTTAGCATATATATATTAACTTAGATATCAAGTTAACTTACCCCCCCTGCATGTATAAAAGCATTTCATGTCAGCTTTGCAATAGTACAATTCTAGGGTCTCCGCTTTATTCTTTCGGTGGAGTCGAAATGATAATCATCGTATACCTCACCACGGCGGTTTCGAGACCATTCTTCGACAAGGGGACACGAAAATAACTACATACAAATGGATTTTGTGCAAGATTAACTTCACATCTATAACAGAGGCCCTTCTGCATTGTGCTGGCTTGTCTGTTCATCGGGTCACCGACTAGCATTCGGAAACCCTGACCAAAATAAGCGAATTCTTTTCAAGACTTCAGAACCCACTCACCGGCGGGAATGCAGTCACTTTAGCATTCGGTTGATAGCCACGAATGTAGTAGATAGTCATGCCGGCCTCGACATTAAGTCCTAGGTTGGCGAATTGTGGTACTCTTTTATAGGTGCCGTTGCGAGCCCGGAAATATAGGTTGGCCGTCCAGTAGTTGGAGAAGTCTTCGGAATAGGTACAACTAGTACAAGTGGAGACCGTAGGCGGGTCATGATCGACAGGTTTCATGGAAGCGTTAAGAGAGTTTCCGCCGATGATTTGGTGCATGTGCGCCGAGGGCATATTACCCGGCTCTACCAGCGGGTCGATTCTGTCGATAGTAAGTTGGGAGCATCCGAAGCGCATAAGTTCTTGCGCAGCAGCCATGTGGACGGCTGCTGCCACGGGAAGAAGAGATTTAAGCAGCATCTTGGCTTGGAATATGAGAAATTACTTAGAGAAAGCAGAAAGATCAAAACAGCCAGCCGGTGGAGGCGAGCAGGCCTTCATGCTTTTATTCTTCGCCGAGACGGCGTAATTCGTGGCTCTCCGGATAAAGCCAAGACGGACGGAGTGGTAGGTCTCCGTGGTTATTGGTTAGGTTGATATGGCAGTGCAACTGCCGCTCGACGAAGCCTTGCCGGTTAATAACCCTAGAATCTGGGGGACAGGGCCGGGCAGCAAATCTGATGGGAAGCCCAAATTACTTTTGGCGGACGCATTCCTATTCCGACATATTAAGCGGGGGCAAAAGACTCGGTAGTGTTCCAGCAACCGAATCAACCTTCGCCTAAGCAGTCCAACGTCATTGAGCTTCAGCTCAGCATCGCACGAAGACTCTTTCTAGACAGGACGGAACAGGCTTCCTTAGAATATACTGGCATAGACGCATCTCAGCATATGCCGAGACCCCCTTTGCAAGTTTATTTATATCATCCTAGCAAAACTAAAGTGCAATCACCTGCCCAGACATTCTCTGGGTGATAGTATCGAGAGAGGTGAATCGCGCACGTGTAGGCGCATATGAGATTTAATATACTACAGGGCCTATAAGCGATTATAAATCTACCGGATCAGGAAATTTTGACCAGTCCGATGGATAGCATATACAATTTTATCATTTCTCCTCCCCCTTACTCCTATACTGACACTGCCTCATAGCATGACAAATTATTGTGGCGAATAGGACGAGCTCTTGCCACTAGAATTATCAAGGGGTTGCAATCTTAGGGCCAGCATAGTCTCAAACGTATGACGAGGAAGTGCCATGATGAGTATTGATGTTTGACACTCGGATCCTTTGTTGTTCCTACTCGGCAGCGTTTTGAAATTAAGGCACCTATATTCATCACTACAATATAATCATAATTCCCCGTTGGTTGGTAAGAGCTTACAGCGCAGATAGGCATCTTGAACTATACTTTTGGAAATTTAATCCTGGCCAGACGTACTTGATAATAATTTACCTACTTAAATACCTTTACCTAGGCAAGAAATAAAAATAAAACTAGACTGTGCCCCAATCCTCTACGAATACCAGCTACTAATGGTTTACGTACCATATAGGGGTACCTAACTAACATCATGAGCTATTTCCAACTCTTCCAGCTATATCGCAGGGAAGATAATATGGACAATCTCGTTTCCTAAGACTACCGTCCTTTGTTTATAGCGAGTCTCCGGAGTCATGCAACCTTATTTGAGCAATATGGCATCCTTTTGTACCATTCATCAATCCAACAGATTTCAAAACCAGAGGGATGAGTACCTAGGTATATAACATGCAATCCTACTATAGCTGCAGATGACAACTTATTTATCCCGAGGCCTGGCCCTTTCATCAACGAGCAAGCCTTATTGCAGGACGATTAAGCTTATGAGTAGCCATTCATGTTACTTTGGCAGGTTCCCGGGGAATGTGACTAGGTAGAGCTTATCTTTGATTGCCAACGTGATAATTAGGGTTTTAACATTATACATCTTAATCCCTCCAAAACTATAACATATAACAAAATAGCGACGCATTCTTGGAAAAGCACCCAAGGTCCTTAACCTATTCTCCTCCATGGCAACAATGGTATATAGTTTCCATTATAACCGCCGCCAAGAAAGTATGGACCTAATATACTGGGAATATGAAGAATAAGTAGGTGTCATTCAAAATATCCACAAAGTCATGACAGGCCTCGAGACACGACGAGAACAAAATAAAATCTTACTAAACTAATACAAGTATTCAACAGCTACGGAACTACCCTGCTAAAATATATTGTTCATCCTCCAAACCACCGGGGTTATGCTACTAGCACATACCGTCTATACATACTTCTCTGAACAGCACTTCTCACTCCAAATCTGGATCTAGCTACACTACTAGATAGGTGGTAGGTTATAGCTTAAGCTCAGGATACTCTGGTAGACGCCACGCGTAATCTCCCTCTGGCTTTGGTCGGTAGGTTAGGGGTTCAATTTTAGATACCGCCCATATTACGTTTTGCAAAATCCAAACGCCCAACTTGGAAGACGGGAAAAAGACACCCATAAGCTCTGTGGGAAGTTTCTGGATCTCATCAATCCCAGGCCGTACTACCGTATCATACGCTTTTAAGGCACTGGGGACATCGTTATTATGTCGTGCCAATTCTCCCGCAAGGACGTAAGCGCCGATAAGACACCCTGTTGTCCCCATTCCCGTGAATGGAGTAGGGCAATAGCCTGCGTCTCCGAGTAGCGCAACCCGACCCTTGTACAGCTGCTTCATTCTGATTTGAGCTAACTCGTGCGCCCAAAAATCTGTCGTTGTTTTCATACTGTTTAGCAATCGATCGGTCTGCCAACCGGCACCCTTGAAGGTCTCCGTAAAAGCTTCCTTCTGCTTCTCGACTGATTCTTTGTACGACTTTCTCAGATTATCTGAATCTGCCATGGTAAAGAGTAGGACCTGTGTCACCGGTCTGCCACTTGTTCTGGTAAGTAGCATCCTTCTTCCCGGTGCGTTATAAACCCTTGCAAGTGTGCCCTCGTCTTCGCTACGTGGGATGCTGTAGTAGGCGGCGTGGACTCCGATAGACTTGAAGGCTTCGTCGTTAGCTTCCTTGCCAAAAGCCATGCGTCTGGTACGCGATGCTTGACCATCTGCCGCTATCACCAGGTCGTAATTTTGCTTCTGCCCGTCAGAAAAGGTAACGTCTACCCCGTTATCGGTTTGTGTGAGTTCTGTAACTTCCTTGCCGAATTCGTACGTCAGGCCCCCCTTTCCCCCAAGCTGCTTCGCTTGTTCATTCTGCTCAATACTTGCGTCGTAAAGCACTTTAACCATGTCACCACGCATGATCTCAAACTCGGATGTCAAAGTGCGACGGCTTTGACCAGCAGGGTTGATGCCTACAAGCGCCTTCCGTCGTCCACTCGAATCTATGACCTCAAGGCCGGTTTCGTCAACGCACGCTTTTTTGATCGCATCGAAGATCCCCATCTTCTTTAGGACATCAACACCTTGGTTCTTGATATCAATTTGTTGGCCTGCCACACGTAGCGAGGAAAATCGCTCTATGACGGTGACCTTGTGATTGGGATCGGATTTTTGTAGAAATATTGCAAGGGCCGGGCCAGCAACACCAGCACCTATAATCAAGATGTTCAAAGGCATCCCGACTGATGAGTGTAGTGTTTTGTTATTGCTAGAACTATGGTGGGAACCGTTCGTGGCGAAGAATCGAACAGTTGATCGCGGAGTGTACCAGCCAAGGCGTCGACTTGATATGATGATGTTTCTAGCTGCTTTGACGGTTGTCAATGTGGATAGATTTGGGAGAAGACGCTCCATACTATGTGGTGTTAACGGTGAAGTATAGCTCTCGTCTTGCGGACTGCTGGAGTTGCTGGACTCGGATTACAGGACAGAGATAAATGTCGTTGCTCAAGAGAATGAAGCTGGTCATAATGCCATCAAAACTCAGCACGGTATAGGCGAGGCCAATGATTATATATTAAATTAAACAGCATATCACCGAAGGAGATTTACTTGGTCGCCCAGAGTCTATTACCTCCGTCATTCCCGCTTACGCCCGCTTAGGACCGTCTCGCACCTAAGCACAATAACGCGTCTCCTGACTCGGGTTTAATTTTTCGCCTTTACATTTTCTAGCGCGTTCTATAGTATGTATTTTGGTCCTTTTACTTTTGAAAAAGATTTGCGGTAGGTTGTCGGACATAATCTCGATGGTGCAAGGGCTAAGGACGAATTCGCACTCGTCAACGAAGAAATCCGACCCATCCTTTGCTCCTTAACATTCGCTAACTATATTATTGTCTTATTTCTTGGCTACCTGAGATGCCCATATGTGATTAAGCGGAAAGCGAAATACCAAGTGATAGTGAAAAAAAAAAGGCGATATAGAATTATTTACTGTCCTTCCAGTTACGCTTGTTGATACGTAGTTACATTTTCTATTACGCGCCTTGAGTTGCAAAGTGTGCTGGCCCCAGCCAAGCGTTGTAAATAGGTAGTCATCTTCTACTTTAATAGACTCATGAGCCAATACTCGCCATGAGTAACTTGAAGAGCGCTCCGGCTGCGGCTCACATTTATTTCCCTTGCCTTATATCTCACTACTGGCCTGTCTTAGCTATGATAATAGTTAGGGATGCTCGCATCTTACCTACATAAATAACTTCGCGAAGACATACCATATTTTTACTCGAAATAAATTCGCACAAGCTATATTACGCGTTACAATGTCTCAAACTTGCAGTCATGGTATATTTAGGGCTATCTGTCCAATTGGTGGCAATTTCCAACTCTACATGCGGTTCCTCTTGTTCAATCGTGAATCGTATGCTTTATAAATTCACCAACTCACCCTCATACGCCACCACGCCCGCATCGCCATGCATAACGGAAATGATAAAGAATTAAGGCTCACACGGAAGGGGTGGAAATTATACCGGTGTGGAGATAGGGCGTTGGTGGAATGCTGCAAATCTTTAGCATTCCAGTATCCGCGCACGCCCGCCAGTTGATATCCCATAAATATCTCCCCAAGTCCCACGGATGCTGTCCTCAGTTACCAGCCAAACATGTCGAGAATGCCTTGAGCCTCTGTCTTTGCCATGCACTGGATGCCTAGCTGCCGATGCTGGGTGCCCTGGAAGAGCTTTCGCAGGCCCTGTGCAACCTTCCAGCCCTCTTCTTCATCAACAATAAACAAATGTCTCCTCCCGTCCTGATCTCGGATTGTGGCGCGCAGTACATGGAGACCTCGTCGCCGCGAACTACTAACATTTGACGACGCAACATCCCGTCTTCCGTGAGGCGCATGGCGGCACACGTCCCCGCAAGAATGTAGCAGTTCGTTAACACAGTCTTCGGCATCTTCACCTGTCAGAGTCTTGGGGTCGCCACGAATTGATGATCGGAAACGGCTCTTAGGCGTCACTTTGGGAGTAACGTTGGACTCGACAACGCAATGTGCGGGGCACCATATCTCCATCGTTTTCAGCGTCCAGGCCTTGACGTCCCAATCCCGCTGCGGCTCGTTGCGAACATCGTCGTCGATGAAAATACCAGCAGATGAAATGCGAAGAATTAAACCGTCTGTGACAGGTGCCACACCGTTAATGAGTTGAGAAGCTGGTGTCTTGGAGAATTGGTTGACAAAGCTGTAAACAGCCTTGATGACGATTTTGTCTGGGTCGTTGGTCCGATAAGGTGGGTGTTCCGAAGGTGGCGGCGTTGTCCTTGCTGTTGACTGAGATGGAGCATACGATGACTCTGTGAAGGTCGTCTCGCCCGACCTCCTTCGAGTATGATTCTTAGGCTGGTCGTATGGTCGAAACGAGTAAGTTTCTTCGCTAACGCCGCTCGAAGTCTTGGTTGTGCTAGGGGCTGGGTTCGGTTGCTTGGTAGAGGCAGCACTAGGCTTACTAGACGTAGTACTCGGGCTCGGCCTAGGGGGGCTTGATCTAGCAGGAGATGGAGGCCTAACGGGCGGTTTTCCGTTCGGCCAAGGGTTTGTTTTCTCCCCGACCGACGAGTAGGCGTAGGCACCTCTCCTACTTTCGGCTTCCCTTAATCTAGCAGCTTCAACTTCCCTGATTCTGGCTTCTTCTGCCTCTCTTAACCTAGCAGCTTCCTCCCTCTGTCGAGCCGCCTCCAGTTCCCTCTGTCTCTCAACCTCTCTTTGTCTCTCGGCTTCTCGCTGCCTTTCGGCTTCTCTTTCCCTGGCAGCTTCTTCTTCCTTTCGCTTAGCGGCCTCAGCTTCCCTCAGCTTAGCAGCAGCTTCAGCTTCTCTTTGTACGGCAGCCTCCGCTTCTTTCAGCTTTGCTCTCAAAGTCGCGGCTTCTTCTTCCCTTAGCCGAGCTGCCTCCGCTATAGCCTTCAGCCTAGCTGCTTCGATTGCTTCCTTGATTCGGATTGCTTCCTTTTCCTTAACTTCCCTCTCAAGCTTTTCTCGGAGCGCCCTCTCTTGATTCAATCGTTCATGCAGTATACGTTCCCTAGCTTCCCGTATTCTGGCTTCTCTCTGTTCCTTCTCTCGCCGCTCCTTCTCCTGCTGCTCCTTTTCGCGCTGCTCCCTTTCTCGCTCTTCCTTTTCGCGAGCCTCACGTTCCTGCTTCTCTTTCGCTTCTTGTTGACGTTTGGCTTTCTCTCGAGCATCCTTCTCGCGTAGCTCTTTTAGTCGTCTAGCTAGCTCCTCCTTCTTACGCCTTTCGGCCTCCTTCGCTTTTAACTCCTCTTCCCTAGCTTTTCGTTCTTCCTCTTTTCGCCGCGTCTCCTCTCTAGCTTTTTCCCATGCGCCTTTAGGTGGGTCTCTAGGGGCCTCTTTAGGAGTTTCCTTGGGGGTCTCCGTAGGAAGCTCCTTGGGAGGCTCCTTAGGAAGCTCCTTGGGGGGCTCTTTGGGAAGTTCCTTGGGGGGCTCTTTGGGTGATTCTTTAGGTGGCTCTATGGGAATTTCTGGAGGGGGCTCCTTGGGCTCTTTGGATGGCTTCTTGGGAGATTCCTTGAAAGATTCCTTATGTTCCTTGTGAACCTCCTTGTGAACCTCCTTAGGCAGTTCCCTAGGGGCTTCTCGAGGAACCTCTTTAGGAGCTTCCTTGGGTTTTGATCTGGGTTTTGGCTTGGGAGGCTCCTGCGGGGGTTCCTTCGCAGGTTCCGGAGACGGCTCCCGGGGCGGTTCGCGGCGGGGTTCCCGAGGTGGCTCAGGTCGCTGCTCTGGTTTTGGTTGTCGTTTCGGCTCACGTCTTGGTTCTCGCTTCGGCTCTCGCTTCGGTTCCCGCGGCGGTTCCCGTGGTTCTTGGGGTGGTTCTCGCGATGGTTCCTGCGGCGGTCGACGTCGAGGCTCTGGTGGTGGTTCTGGTGGCGCGCCCTTAGGCTCGTTGGCTTGCGCATGCTGTTGCCACGATTGCTTGGGCCGCTCCGCGCCAGGAGTTCCAGGTGCGGGCCCGTGCCGAGGAGGCGGCGGCGGCGAGGCGTGAGGCGGAGGAGGCGGAGGCGCATCATCATTAGGGGGTGGTCCAGCGTTGGGATTTGGGCCACTGGAATAGCCTCCAGCTCCGGGACCGTACCCCCAAGGATTCCCATTGCCTCCTGCCGGTGCCGGGCCGCCACCTTGTTGCGTTCTCCCCAGAGACCATGCCCCGATTCCGACTGCGATCACCAATAACACCATGCCCATATTCCCCATTCCTTGGAAGCTGCTCCACCACACTTGAAAAACAGGTGCCATGGTCTGACCGAGGACGACTAGAACCAGAGCGCTAGCAAATCCCGCTGCGAAGCTGTTCAGGTTTGGCTTCAGAGAAGGGAGATAGAGGAAACCGGATCCCGAGGAGTGCGGCGGTATAATGAATATGTCATATTTGCCCGGGGGTAAATTGGGATTCGCCGGCCGGGGAATATTGCCATGCGGCGGCGGAGGCGGAGGTTGATCCATCGCGACGGTCTAGCCGCCAAGCGGTGAACCTATCGGAATGGCGACCAAAAGGAAGAGGGTAGACGTTGAATGCAATTGAGAAAACGGAGGACTCGCGATTATAAAGAATACGGTGGTGAAAAGTGAGGGTATCTCGGAAAGGCCATGAAGGATCGTAACGTCGTAAAAGGTGCTGTCGCTAATACAGATTAGATTATTGTTATTGTCATCGTATTGATAGGGATTGGGGGGGTAGACGACGAAGGGCAGGTATCGAAAGTATGGGATGGAAAAAGAAGAAAAAAAAAGATTTCTGCCAAGTTCCAAGAGTCATCTAAGACGAACAGGGGACATATCATAACGGAAATAACGTACCGTAGACAGAAGGGAAAAGAAGGTAAAGGTCAGATAGCGCAACGCCCAAGTTCCATGCAGATAGATGAAGCAGCAAACAACAACGATGGAAAACAGGTATTCGATGGATCGCAAATCAATCACTTGAATGTAAAGATAAAATGCTATCCAAGGTATTTTACTATGTAGGTATGTAATGTAGGCTGTCATCAAAAAGAGGAGTCGGACAAAGTGGCGGTCATGAAATTTCATGAAGCTCTTTGTGCAAGTCCTTTTCTTTCGAGCTTGGCACTTCCCCCTGCCAATGTTTACTTGTGAATTGTTGATGCAGAGCTGCTAATCGAACCCGGGTTGACAGGTCACAACTTTGTGAAATGGTTGCATTACGCTAAAGGTACTTTAGCCAATGAGACTCGGAGGCTCACAGAGAAATGTCTGAGCGTGGCGTAATTGTTTCTTTTATCGGCATAGCACAAGTTTATAATAGGTATAGTTAACTCTATGTTTTCTAATTAAGCGTCCCCCCCGCAAATGCAAAATGCACAACTCGACATCTCTCTCATCCCTACCCATCCCTTGTACCACCGTAGTTGAAAGCAGTAAAATATTCCATTCTCTGTCGCAATTCACTTCTCATGTGCGACTTGTCCTTTTTTCTCTTATTTTATAGTCTTTTTCTATAATTCAAAGTCCAAGATGAGCATAGACAATTTATAACAAACTAGGTACCTAAGGTACTTGAATAATGGCAAGTCATTTGCTACCTCGGCTGTGCTGCTCCGCAACGGTCAACGGCCAAAATGAATCGACGTTAAAATGGCGCTCCGAAACATCACTTCCAGACGCTGTCAATTGGCTTGCGTTGCACGATAACGGTCAACAAACGCGCCAGGTCAAATTTCAAGAGAGTCCCCACTCCAACCATCAATACAATACTATAACGAATCACGGGTGGACAGGCGGATTGGCGGATTGGACATCTCGCTTGCAAATGTACCCCTAAACCGACTATCACCGGGGAGCTCCCCCGCTTCCGTGTTTGCGGTTGTCTGTCACATTCGATGAATAGCATTGTTCATCACTCTCACCGAGTTAAATGCTATTACCACATTACAATCTTCTACTAAGAGCTAGGATGTCAATTGCTGCCAGTCCTTAGTATAGGTATAGTAAATATCTAGCCTACCATTTACCAATACCTTAGGTAGGTAAGTAACCCAGGAACTTCCAATAAGGTAGCTTTAGTGTAACATTTTTCTATATTATACCAAGTTAGTAGGTACCTTAGGTACCTTAACTAGATAATCCTTTGGCTGCTTATGGCTACGAGCTGGTTGCTAGGCAACACCTTGGTAATTGGCAACTTGCGCTGTTGTCGGTGCGGGGTCGCCAAGCTGGTGAGTTGTCTCTCAGCGCATCATATCTACTATGTATCATCTCATTTATTCAGAACCAGTTGTTTTCCCTCTGAGGAGTTGTCTTAAGGCTGTTCGCGTGATGTTATGTGATTGCAATTAGAGTCTTACTACATAACTGAAAAGTTCAAGTCTTCCACTAGACTCATGAATTGCAACTGGTGTCTTCCGTCACGTTTCATCCTCGGGATCTTGCATTATGGGTGGACGCCACAAACCCCAAGTTGCACCCTGCATAAAGGGACGGTCCGCAATAGTCTTACCAGGCCAATCCGAGATCAAGCATGTGAAAGTCTAACAGGTATCTATTTAAGCTACATGAAGAAATCTGAGCTTCGGTAGTAAGCAAACCAAGTTAGGGGATTTTTACCATCTTAACGAAATATTAAGCTTTGAAAGGTGACTTGAACATTTACCTACCATACAAGCACCGTCCGCCAGTAAATGATTATACATTAACCAATAGTAAAAATCAAGTTCAGTTACAACCCCGAGCCAAAAATGGCCAAGATACAAAATACCATAGTTATTAGTAAGACTATTCTTTTGTTAGTCTTGTCATGATATAGTAACGCCCCTACCATCTTTGGCTATCTAGGTACCTCAGGTGTTTGACATACCTACTCAGTGTTAATACCTGCTCCTCATTTTAATAAATTCCGGTGACGCTATGTGTTCCTTTTTGGACGAATTGGGTCAAAGCCTCCATATGAAACTGTGATCTTCGGGAGCTACCTCGTGTCGAAGTAGTTGAGTGTTTCCTAATGTCAACAGAACTATTAGATCCTAAATTTATTTCCAACACTTATAGTTCCGTCTTATCAACAGTTTATAAAGCTTAGTCGAAATCCAGCGTATACTCTTGCACGGTTAGCCCAAATGTTTTCATTCAATTAGACCTAACTCCAACAAAACAATAACTGAGGGTATAGTTAAATAAGCGTGTTAGCTCAGCATTAATCCCATATAAACCTCACGAAGCTTGCTACGACTACTAACATTATGTCAGGTATATTTACAATTTCCCACCGAGACGACTAAGTATTATAGCCAGGTCAGTACTTCATTTTAGAGATACCTCTCGGGATCCGGAGTACGAATATGACTACACATTCCAGTTATCCGACGATAATTAAATCAAAATTAATTTCATGAATCCATTGGAGGATAGGGATAGGTCCAAGGGTGTTACAGGTCAGACTCTCAAAGCTACGTACGATTTGTCACTAGTCTCATCGGGTATACTATCAGGAGGCATTAGAGCTATCGGGTGCCTTCAGCCCTTGGGGCAACCGCGAGATTCTACATAAGGAGGATATTCTTCCTTTATCATTAGAAGTAACATAGGTTAAAAGAGTTACTGACACACCTATATATACTAGAAGTCAGGCCTTGCCTCTCATTCCGTGCAGACTTGTATTCTCCGAGGCACAATCACGCAATTGGCTATGTTCAACATTAGAAATACTTTCCATATTACTTGCAACCTTGATTTTAATAAAGTTCAGGCTATTTAATACCTAAGGAAGCGACATTCGTCAACCATTTGAATCTCGAATGCTCCTTGTCAGCTAAACATATTGATAACTGTGAATTGCTGTTTGGTATACGCTATCCGGTCTGTAAGATCTTTCGCAGTTATTACATCAAAAATATATCTTGTTTGCGTTACAGCAGTCAACTACTAAGGCAATACTTAGAAGCTCAATTTGTATTAGGATTCTAGATAAGAATAAGAATCTAGAGCACAGGATGCTTTCAGTAAGTATAGCAGTAGGGTCCTATAGCTAATTTAGAGTTCTTTGCGGAATAATGAAATTGCCTCCTTGCTTCTGGCTCTACCTCATGGCAATTCATGTTGGAGGACACCAAAGGGCAAGGGCTTAAGACGAGCCTATAATCGAGGTTGATATCTATTTTGCTGGATTATAAAGGGAAAGCGTCCATATAACTTTCAAGGCCTATCGGCTTATCGTTTAGAATATACGTGGTGTCTAGCTTTGGGGCAACTTCATCGCACCTACAACAGTTATAGACCTTATCAGCTTATGACTTAAGGGTTTACCATTGCTAACACATTATAATAGAACATACCGGACCTGCGATAGGTAATACGTAGTATTAACCGTGACTAACTCGTGGTCTAGACTTTTCTTCCGAAGCTAACACTACCTAGTCCAGTTACTGATAGCCGGCTTTGAATAGGTTATGCTTAAACTTCTTTGACCGTTTAAGCTAGTTAGTACGCTACGAAAGTTTTAGGGTTACCCATTAATCTACTAAGAAAGGGTCTTGTAGAAATGACACAGACTGGCCTCCCACAATCGGAGCAGAGTAGACAGGCGTAGTGTATAGCGTATTAGCAGCCATGACTATGCAAATACCTGGATGACTATTCTGCGTGCTTACTTGATTACTTTGTAGAATATTCTACACTTACGAAGCTTAACTTGTTTTAAATCATTTTGGTTGAAGGTTTCTTTATATATTAGAGTAAATATTTAAAATCTTTTAGTTCATTCTCACCCCCCTAAATCCCGTTAACGCGTGGAATGGGATTTTGGATGTTGTTAATACTTGCCTAAAATGACAGTTAACCTATAAGACTTTCAACTCTTAACTTGACTCTTATTATCTATAAGCCTTAAGACTAAGCCTGAAATTTACCTATCATTAAAAGATATATGCGTACTAGGCTATATTTTTAAACTACCTCCTTCTCGACACGGGGCTACACAAAATAGGGTAGGAAAGCTCAATAACCGCAAGAGAAACTCGACGAAGGCATTTTTGGCTTGTTATACAATATGAATCATCACTGGCCGAATTCGCTCGATAATCATATAAGCTTTTCCCTAGTTCGGAACCTCGGAGTGTTCGGCATATGTTCCCTGATGATTTGGACATTTAGTTTGCTCATATTTTAGCAATTGTCAAAATTCTAACCTAGTTAGATCCTGCGGGAACCGGCGCTAGGAATTGAATGCAATTTCGAATATCCAGTTCCAGTTTCAAACCCGACGCTAATAAGTCTCCGCAAACATGTCGTATTAATCAGCTTATTAGGCCTCTGTAATCGTACGTTAGCGGTCGAATGCGTGCGCGTTCTTCGAATTATCCAAATGGCTGGATGACTGGTGTGCCTTGAACAGTAGGCTGCTCTGAACAACAGGTGGGACTAGGTTACTGAAATAGTACAAATAACCTCGTACGCAATCATCCCTTTCCTAACAGAAATCCTGTGGGTATCTCAATAAAGCACATATCAAGAGTGGAGCCGCTGATAAAGGCCTTCTACATACATTTCCTGATTATTTGTTGACGCACATTTATTCGGGTCGATCTGGGTGACAGGGCTGAAAACTTGCAAATGTCAACTTAAGGTTCACGTTTTCGTTTGCATCATGCAGACAGACGGGTGTTTGTCGACGTACAGTACACGCCACCCGTCAACGCTAGGAATGAACCGCGTCTTTCGACCAATTGGGATAGCCGATCGAGCTCGGAACCATGCTCTTGGGACGATAAGGTGAGGGGAATGATACAATGAGAATACATCAGAGCATCAGAGCGGAGTCGACTAGAGAGTTAGACCTGTTGGGCGACGGAAGAGGCAAACCGAACTACGAGCAGAGGTTGGGGTTGACAGGATCCATGGGTATCACTGGCGATGCTTTTACGCCAGGCTAGGGATATTACCTGGCCGTCACGGTTACGTAGGTGCGTAGATGAAATTGTCGTTGGCCGTAGAGCCGTTTGTATTTGGCTGTGATCAAATAAGTTATAGATAGGTGCTGAAATACCAAGTTATCACAATCTCTGATAACTCCAAACTTTTTCTATTTTATCAATAGGTACCTATCTAAAATGATATCTGTGATGATAGACAGATCTATGATCTACATGAAGAGATGTGCCTACGCCTTATGTATAATATGATCGACGGCGTCGTTGATGCTATAAAATGGTATCGTGACGTTTACTTCAGTAAGATCTGACTCCTAAGCTTATTAAAGTGGATTATATAAATCTATTGGCCATTAGTAATTGACAAATCAGATGTCATAACGGGTAGTGAGGTTTAAAATCATGATGCGATATATACGCTTTGTTGCTTCCACTACAGCTACCTACTACAGTTACTTCCGTACCTAAGGTAAGGGGCCACGATGTCGCTTTTTAGATCCACGATCGCGTGCTTATGTATTTGTAGGTGTAATTCCAGATCAGACCCAATAATTTTCGGCCGTGGCTTCATATGCGAACTGTACATAGTATCCATGAGGAAAAGTCTTAGGTTTGATTGGATGACAGGTACGTCTGTACAACCATCTTATCTGCACGTAAATGAATTTATATGGTTTACAGGTGTTATACCTGCTATAGGTAATAGGGCCGAGTGGGCTCGCAGGTTATCCGACATCCCTTAAAGACCTACCTCTCGGCCATGTACCTACATTAGGTATCTAGGTACGTACCTAGATAAACTTAACTGCTCAGCTGCTTCACCTGGTTAGGGTGTCGATCGCGTGAACAAGAATGGTGAGGAAAACATGCAGAGAACAATTGCCTAATTTACCTGATCAAGAAAGTGTTCCGCTATACAACAGTATTATTGGATATGTCTAGCAGCATGCTTATATTAATTACTTTATGTATTTGACGTTTGCGATAGAAATTTGTTTGTAAGTTGTGCGGATGAGTTCCGGCTGGTTGGTACTTGTAATGAGCGGGATGCCTCAACTGCTTTCTCCTCGGTGGACTTCCATCGTCTGGGGAATTAATTTATTTCCGTTATCGGTACCATGTTACACTTACCGTGTTAGATGCATAGGTAGGTACTGCGCTAGGAACCGTGGTTGGACAGCGCTGGAGCTGAACAATTGGCATTCGCTACACTGTACCTCCCTGGGTATACTATCTATAACAAAGCATTTCATCATATCATATGACTATTCGCTTACGAACTCGATCGGAAATCGCTGAATCGAAATCTCGCGCTCAGGTAAAATAACCACGCGACCTTACCCGTAAAAATTACTCTAGGGGGAAGGATGATATAAAAGTCCCACAAATCTTAAAGTTGGAACCCGGAGACGGCTACTGAAAATGTCATAGCTTACATATGAGGTAGATCTTAAAATTCGGTGCTAGCCGCTAGTTATAAGGGTAGCTTGCGATAAGTACATAATAGCTTGGTACTGATACCAGCTTATCAGTTCTTTTTGTATGCCGATTCATGGAGTGTGGCAAAAGGAATGCCGCGACACCGATTGGAGATTGGAGATTTGGAAAAGATTTGGAATTTTGCCGAAAACAAGATCACGCCTATGCAAGCCTCATCGGCTGGGCAAAAGCTTGATGAATCAACGAAAAGAACCCGTTCAGCTTGGCTTGAAAGCTTGATCGAAGCTGATGGCCCTTTGCCGTCTTTGGCGAAAAATACACAGTAGCGTATCATGGCATCGAAAGCTTCGGTTCAGCTTCCATGCAGTGTCCCCCACGTATAGTCACATCGTCACATCCATGCATGTACCTAGTCTCATCCCTCCTCCCTCCTCCCTGATCCCTGCCAAGCCCGCCAATTGAAGCTTTGGACCCTTTGCCAACCCGCGCAACTCACGCATAACATACATAGTATCAGGTAATTATCTTGCTAATATACGCCAGGTGATTGGGCATTAGTTATTACCTACACACAGTAGGACCGCGATACAACGTAACAGTCCCTAGCAAAGTCCCAAGGGCTGGTTGCAGACAATCACCTTCCCCTTCCGGCAGAGAGATTCCCAGAATTACGAGCATGTTCCCCCAGCCGTGCTCGACGGATGTAACTCGGTGATATACGCTAGCTCGCTAGACCCAATCTGATCTCTTTCACGACTCGGCCGGCCTCGAGAAGCTTTTTTTGAGACTGCCCTTGTGAAAGACGAAAGATACCGGGACAGGGGTAACCCAAACAAACCCCATCGCTAGACCCGCATGGGTGGCACGAAGATAACGACTCTGTCCGCTCTTACTGGCTGCCGCTCCATGCTCGAGACCAAGAGAGGTAGAGATACGGAAAGTCCGACGATATGGTCTGGTCCCGTCGCTAGTGAAAATAGCTCCAAGAACCTATAAGATCCTCTCGTCTTTCGCCCCTCGAGCCTCGCCGCACGCCGAGAACCATCTATAAGCATGGTTGTTGCTTGATACGAGGCTCACCTAGAGACCCGATTCAGTAGGTTAGATACCTACTCGGTAGTATTTATCCGTGTCAAACCCCGTACATATCTAGCACGCATCTAGTACGCACGTACATAGCTCCCGATATTGCGGGCCACCCTGGGCTTTTTTAGCATAAATCCCACCGTCCCCTTCAATTCTTGCTTTCTTTGTTTTCTAGTATCGCAACCATCTGCGCAACTGCGAACCGTCTAGAGACAGGGATTAGCGATGGGTATGTTAAACACTAAGAGACATGACGATGATGACGACGACGATGACGACGTGGTTTGGCTATTTGAACGCCTGCTGACATGCCCTAGGTAACGCAGCAGACGCCGTCGAGCGTGCCTCGGGCACTAGCTCGCCTATCGACGAGGAGAAGATGTCCAAGACGCCTCCGGGTGATTCCCACAACCCGTACCTCGACCCCTCTATAATGGAGGCGGATTACGAGGGTAAACCGACAGAGGAGGAATTGAAGACTCTGCGCCGAGTTCCCGGCAGCTTACCCGTTGTCGCCTATCTAATCTGCATAGTAGAGTTCTGCGAGAGAGCTTCCTACTATGGTGTTCAGCCCCTGATTAGCAACTACGTTAATCGGCCTCTACCGGAAGGTGGAAACGGATACGGAGCTCCTCCGGAGGGGACCCAGCAGACGGCCGGCGCTCTAGGACTCGGAACCGTCACAGCGAATGCCATTACTCAGTCATTTAGCATGTTAGCGTACGCGCTGCCTATGCTTTTCGGCTGGCTCGCCGACGCGAAGACTGGACGTTTTACTCTTATCTGCTGGGGTGTCGTCGTATTCGGTGTTGCTCACGTTTTGATGGTTGCCGCAGGTGCCAAAGACCTTTTAGCAGCCGGCACCGCCAAGGTTCCCTACTTCCTTTCCGTGTATATTCTATCGATTGGTGCTGGTAAGTCTCTAGCATGGCGCATTTGTATGGAATGGTTAAGACTAACAGGTTCTTCTAAGCTATGTTCAAGCCCAACGTCTCTCCCCTTTTACTGGACCAAATGACCACGACCGTCCCTAAGGTCATGACGCTAGCCTCCGGCGAGCGTGTGATCCAAGATCCCGAGTCTACTACCGAACGAGTCATGCTTTGGTTTTATCTTCTGATTAACATTGGTGGTTTCATGGGAGTTGCTACATCATATTCAGAGAAGTACGTGGGATGGTGGCTTGCATTCCTCATCCCTCTTCTGCTCTACCTTCCCCTCCCAATCCTTCTCTGGTTCCTCTACAAACGATTGATCCTTCATCCTCCGGGTGGAAGTGATCTTGGCAACGTTTTCCGAGTCCTTGGCATTTGCCTCCGTCGTGGCGGTCTTAGGAAAATTGGTCGCTCCGGTTTCTGGGACCTGGCTAAGCCGTCGCACCTCGAAGCTGCAGGCCTCAACTACAGGACCGACTGGAACGATGAATTTGTTGACGATGTGCGACGAACATTCCAGGCTACCGGTATCTTTTGCTTTTTCCCGATCCAGTATATCAACGATAACGGTCTCGGCGCCGCTGCTAGCTTCCTATCAACTATGCTGACGACGAACGGTGTTCCCAACGACGTTATTAACAACTTTAACTCGCTCAGTATCATTGCTATGGCGCCGGTTTTGAACTACGGCCTCTATCCTCTTCTACGGAAGCTAAACATTCATTATGGCCCCGTTGCCCGTATTACCACCGGTCTCGCTATGTCGTCTCTGGGTGGTGCTGGTTATGCTATCTTGAACTACTACGCTTACCAGCAATCTCCCTGTGGCGAGTACGGTTCAAGCGACTGCACCAAGGGTACTGGTGTGGCCCCTATCAGCATCTGGTGGATGGCTATCCCATTTGCCGTTGGTGGTATTTCGGAGCTGTTCGTTAACGTGCCCGCCTACGGTATCGCATATTCGCGTGCTCCTGTTAACATGCGTGGTTTGGTATCCGCTCTGAATTTGTTTAACACGGCCGTGGCCTATGCTATCGGCTTGGCTTGCTCCTCCGTCATCACTGACCCGTACTTGACGTGGGATTTTGGCGGCCCGGCCATCGCCGGTGGTGTTCTTACCATCGTCTTCTATTTCACTTTCCGACACATCGACAAGGAAGAGTATGTTCTCAGCCAGAACAAGGACTACCACCTTAAGCTCGAGGGTACCGTTAGCGTTGTCGGCGAGAACGAGCTGAACAAATCCATTAACCGCCCCGCACCCATTGCCGAAAACGAGGAGCTGATGATCTCGCAAAAGCAATAAGCTTCTCTGTTTTGCTTGGGTGTTTCTCTCTTAACGTGCATGTTGTATGTGTATTACGAGTTAATGGTGTTGATATCTGGACGGCGGGTGCCGTTAAAAAAGGGAAGCAAAATGGCTGCCTGCTATATCTTTGGCGTCCGTAACAACTTCTGGCTTTGCTCTTAGATGGGAGTACAGTTACAGGCGGCTATGATATTGAATATAATATACTGTTGATACCACATTTCCGTCGAGCATTTTCTACTACTGGTGAATATTCCTGCATAACTAAAGGCCTAACTAAGAATACACCTGAAGACGATATGTTGAAGTATATCCTTGACCTTGATCTGGTGCGGTTACGTTACAGCTTTGTTGCGACATACATATGATCCGATAAATTTTGTTATTCAACTCTTCGCCGTCTCCTGGTCGAGCAAACCCCAATTATGGAACACTTCGGGCAGATTTCGTACGATTCTTCGAATATAATTCTTAATACATAATTCGTGATGATGAATGTTATGACATAGGGCATGTGTCATCATTTTGAATAAATGAGATGCTAACATGCTCAAATTCCTATATGCAGAGCACTCATAACCGTTCACACAGTTCAGTATTGGATCAACGTGGGCCCTACTCAAATCAACTTGGACGGCGCGCACTTAGGTGCACTCCACGAAGTTATTACCGCTTGCTCCGGTATGCGTGATAGCGCCTTGGTAGTCGCCAGCCTCATTGAAAACGACACGGTCCGCACCGGGGCTGCCTCCATCATAAGGGTCGAAGCTGCTTAGGATAGGAAATTCATAGTAAGGGGCCTGCCCGGGGAAGTCAAAACCCTCGCGGTTATTGTATTGGTGAGGATAGTCGTTCGAACCTGTTATATGGGAATAGGTTGTCAGGTATACAAGATAGATATAATAATCAGTAAATCAGCATCTAACGTACCGACAGTCTGACCGGACTGGTGTAAAGAATAACCCTGCTTTACGGCTTCATCAATATCTTCCTGCCAGTAGCAAACCTTGCCGCACGTAGCTACGCAAGTCTGATCTTGTCTCGTAGCAACTTTCTCTACTGCGAGGGCTGATACGTTTACGATGGCCAGGAAAATGGCAGGGAGGATCTAATAGAGAACGCACATAAGTGATCCTGCCCAATACGATGCATGGGGGATTCGGGAGGTAACTCATTGCCGTGGACATACCTTAGAGCCAAACATGGCGGGCGGCAATGGCGTACAGCTTGATCGGTCGAGAGATGGAGATGATTACAGCTTTGACCTTCAAAACCAAGAGCAAGTGCTGGTGACATGTCGATGGTAGCATCTTGCTTACTACTTATAACGGAGACCAAGCGATATACATAAATTCAGGTCGGCGTACGAATATCCAATCCAAGACCTTTGACGAGAGAAACGGGTCAAACCATTGGACAAGAAAGCCCATCTGAGATCTTCATGCAAGAATTCGGTATTACTGGCCCTGCGCGACATCGAACAAGACCGTTCAGCATGGATGAGAAACGGGTTGCGTAACGCAGATCCGAACGCATCGTGACAAGGGGTGTATACCTGCCTTCCCCTTTCGGATCTCGTATGTACATCTGATAGGACCGTAGATATATGCCATATCTACTTCATACTACCATTAGCAGGACCGAGGGAGCTTATTTCCTCAGCTGGTTCTCTTAGGTACGAAAGCCGCCGTCCGGGATGAGAGACACGGTATATGAAAGGGGAAACCGGGACTGCGGGTGGTCGCTTTGGTGCGGCACGACAACGGATTTAGCAGTGTGATTGGGCGGATAGCTCAGCTCACTAGGCGGCAGATCGACAATGCTGCACGGGCAGACGGGCATCACCTGCCTATCACCGCAAGATCTACTGCCCTGATTTTGTTAGTGAGCCGCTGCAATCGTATCACCACGAACTAACACATAGTGCAACTTGGCCTGGGATCTGTGTACATACCTAGGGTAGGTTAGCTACATACATACCGGACACTACTGGGAATAGCAGGCTTCGATCTCGGGATTACGAGGGTTGCAATCGCTACGTTTCGCATCTGCGGGCACTAGCATCGAATATCTGGGCGCGGACCACTTCGTTAAAGCAAGAACCATGTTATCGATATGACTTATTCTTGGAGTTAAATAAGTAAAAACGCGATCCGGCTCTTTTCCCCCTTCTTTTTATGGTTTCCTCTCCGGAGACACGTGGTAGATGTTAAAAAACTTCGTGATTAAAGTTATATCAGCCGATTTTCGAGAATTCAAGTTTTTTATTACCCTTAACTTTTAAAAATTTTATGTTACTTAAATAATTAAATTATCGAATTAAATTATTTATATTAAGTCGGTTACTTTTAAATTAAAAAAAAAGCCGCGTATTAAATATAATAATTATTTTAAAGTCGTATAAATTAAAAACTTTATATTATATTTTAACTTTTATTATTATAAAATTTAAATAATTAAAGTAAACATTTTTTTTTTTTAATAATTAATGTTAAATTTAAAGTAAATAATTAATTTATAAATTAAAACACCGTTATTAAAATTATTTATATAAAAGTTATTTTAAATTTTTAAATTTTTAAAATAAATATTTTAATTTTAAATTAATAATATTTAATTAAATAAAATTTAATTAATTTATAATTTATTATATTTTAATTATAATATAATTTTTTATTATTAATTTAATTAATAAAATATTATTTTTAAAATTAACGTTAAAATTATTAATTATAATTAAATCATTTAATTTTTAAACTTTTAATTATTTTTTTACTTTTATAATAATTTTAATATTTATAAACGTTATATTTAAGTTTAATAATATTTTACGTCGTTTTTATAACTTCGTATTTATTAATATTTTTTATAAATATTTAACGTAAACTTTTATTATTATTAATTTTATAATAACATTATTAAATGTTTTATTAATATTTTTAAATAAAAACTTTACCGTAAATTAATTAAACATTAAATTAATTTAAAATAACTTTTTTATTAAAATATTAATATTTTATAAACTTAAAAACGTTTTTAAAAACGTTAAAACTATTTTTTCGAAAAAATTAAACTTTTTAAAATTAATAATTAAACTTTAAATCGTTAAAATAATATTAAAAACCTTTTAAAATATAAATTAATAATTTAAAAATTTATTATAATTTTAAAAATAAATATTTATAACTTTTTAATTAATTAATATATTATTTTTAATTAATTGTTTATTTTATATTATTTAATAAATTATAATAAATTCTTTTTTATTAAAAAAAAAGTTATAATATAATTAATAAATTTTTATAAATTTATAATAATAATTTTATTTTATAAACGAAAATATATTTACGTTAATAATTTATAAAACGTATAATAAATGTAATAAAATAAATATAATATAAATTTTATTTATAAAATATTTTTAAAAAAATTTTAATATAATATAATTATTATAATTATTAAAAATTAATAATTATTATTATTATTTATTAAACGGTTTTATTTTTTTTAAAAAAATTATATAAAATTATCGAAAAACGATATTATTATTAATTTAATTATTAAAAAACGTAATAAATTATTAACTTTTAAATTTAATATTTTTTTTATTAAAAAATTATTATTATTATATGTTTTTATTTATATATATAATAAAAAAATTTAAAAATTAACCGTTTTTATTAATATATTTAATTATAAACATTTAAATTTTATTATTATAATTTTTATTAAATAAATAAAGTTTATATAATGTGTAACATTATATAAAATTACGTATAATTATACGATAAGTTAAAATATAAAATATATAATATTATAATTAATTAACTTTTTATTATAAAAAAAATATAACGTACGATTATATACGTTATATATAATTTTTATATATATGTAAATATTAAAGTTTAAAAACTTTAATGAATAATTATTAATTAAATTAATTATAAAAGTTATAAATAATTTTATACGATGTAATTATTAAGTTAAAATATATTATTTTAATATTAATAAATTTTTCTTTTTTAACGGTTATTATTATAATTTTTATTAATTTTCGAAATAACTTTTAAAATAATTTTTAAAATAATTTTATAATTTAATATATAATTTTACATTAATAATCTTTTTTTATATATATAAATAAACAATTAATAATATAAGTAATAAAAAGCTTTATATTTTTTTATTTTTTATTTAATGTAATTAATAAGTTTATATATTAATGTTATATAAATTATATACGGTTTTATAAACTTTATACGACTTTATAAACTTTATTTAACTTTACGATTATTATATAAAAAATAATTACATATAAGCCTTTTTTTTTAACGATTAAATAATTAATTCGTATAATTAATAAAGTTGTTTAATATTTTATCTTTTATTACTTAAAAGTACTTTATTAAAAATAATTATAACGGTTAACTTTTAAATTATTAATTTTTTATTAACTTCTTTTTTAACGATTACCTTTTTATATTTTTATACGATTAAAAAGTCGATATAAACGTTTTTATTATTAAACGCCGTTAATTTTTTAACGTTATAACGGTTTAAATTTTCGTAATAAACTTTATAATAATATAAATAATTAACGAAAATAATACGTAAATATAATAAAACCTTTATTTAATATATAACCGTTTATCATTTAAATAATTTTTAAAAATAATAATAAAAAAACCTTTTTATATAACTTTAATTAATAAAAAAAAAAAACCATATATTAATAAATAAATTAATATTTCTTTTATTAATTATTTTAATTTCGTTAAAGTTAAAGTTAAAGCCTTTTAAATCCTTATATTCGTTAACGATATAATTTTTAAATACGTTTTTTTAAATTTTAATTATATTAATTATTATATAAACAGGTAAAATATAAGTAAAAGTATAAACGAATAAAGTGTTATAAGTAATGTTATAATAATTAACGAGGTTTAATAAAACGGGTTTATTATTAATATAAAGTAATTACCGATAAAATTTAATAAAAAAAAAAAAGTCGGTTATTATCGTATATAATTATTTAAATATAATAAATTAATTAAAAAAATTATTTTTATAATTTATTAACGTTATAAATTCACCGGTTAAACTTTAAATAATAATAATTATAATAATAAATCTTTTATATATAATAAACGTAAGTGTTATAAACTTATAAATTAAACTTTAAATACTTTTAAAATTTTATAAGTTTATAAGTTTAAATTTTAAGTGTTTTATATTAATATAATAACTTTTTAATTAATTATAAAAGGTTATAAACTCGTTAATTTAAACTTTAAATACTTATAAAAGTTTAAAAACGTTTATTTTTTTTTATTTTAAACACTTTAAAAACGGGCGTATTTATTTTTAATAAAATTTTTAATTATTTATATTTACTTTTATTAAATAAACATTAATTAATATTAAATAAATAAAATTTATATAATACGTAATATTATATAAAATTACGTATAATTATATAATAAATTAAAATACAAAATATATAATATTATAATTAATTAACTTTTTATTATAAAAAAAATATAATATATAATTACGTATATTATATATAACCTTTATATATATATAAATATTAAAGCTTAAAAGTTTTAATAAATAATTATTAATTAAATTAATTATAAAAGTTATAAATAACTTTATATAATATAACCGTTAAATTAAAATATATTATTTTAATAATTTTTAATAATAATATATTTTTTATAAACTTTATCGATAATTATCCCGTTATTTTTAACCTTTTTTATTATTTTTATTTTATTAACATTATATATATATTTAAAAAATATATTAATAATATAAAAAATTTTAAATTAATTAAAAAAAATATTAATATTATCGGTTATAACGCCGTTAACACGTTTATAATTAATTAAATAAATTTTAATTATTTTAACATTAAAATAATAAATTATAAATTATATATATTAATATATATTAAAAATAAAAAATTAATAATTATAAATTAATAATTTTTTAATAATATTTTTAAATTAATATAAAAATAACGTATAATTAATACGATTTAACGTAATAATTTATTAAATTAAATCGTTTTTTTAATATTTAAATAATTTTTAATAATTTTTTAAATATTTTTCTTATATTTAACGGTTTAATATTTAATCCGTAAAATAATATTATAAAATAAAATATTTTTTAAACGTTTACCGTAAAAATATATTTTCGAAAATATCGTTTATTATTATAACGTAATATAATTAAATTAAAAAAGTAAACATTTTAAAATCGTTAAAAAATAAAAAATTTAATAATAAATTTTATTTTTTAATTAATTTAAAATTAATATAATTATATAATAATTTATATATAAACTTTATCGTAAACGTATTGCGTTTTTAAAGTAACTTTAATACGAATGGCTTTAATAATAATATTTTAACTTAATTCTTTAACCAACTAGTTTAACCTTCGGATATTGCTGGGATGTAAATTATAACATGTTATTATAAGATGATAAAATTTAGCTAAGCCATCTATTGTCAGCAATTGATTAAGAAAGCCGTATAGCTATGATCGTAGCTTGCGGGAAAGCATGGATTGCTTATTATGACTTAAACCCCTCCACGTGTAATTTCCGGCAACTTCAAAGAGTGATAATCTGCTTAACTAGTAAATGTAAAGGGTAGAATCTATGGAAAATGATTCCATTCTAGCTTCTCAGCCCTACGCGGCGCTACATCTAAACCGATTCACTACAAAGCAAGGAGAATGTTACGCAATAAATACCTTAGGTACCTAGCTTCCCCGCAATCCTATTAAGACAAGCCCCTAGACTAGACGATCCAAGGCGGCGAATGATATGCGATGGTGCTGAAAACGCCCGGGAATTCAGTTCTATCACGTCCTAGAACGGCAATCCGACGCGATGATTCGGTCCGTAGCGATATTTCTTGTCAGCCAGCATGGCTCTAAAGAATCCTCCTGTTCGATACGGTATGATATTTCATAAGTTTAACGTCGGCATTCCAGAGAGTCTATCCTAGCGTAGTCTTCTCATCGATGGGTTCTATCTTAATGGGAGTTTTTCATCGGCAATGAAACTAGCCATTCCTCTAATATTCATCGCTCTTGGTGCCAAGGCAGAAAGCGAAACCTTTGACTATGTGATCGCCGGCGCTGGTACATGCGGACTTGTGCTTGCAAATCGATTATCAGAAGACCCGAATGTCCAAGTCGTGGTTGTCGAGCCGGGCGATGATGTTCGTAACAACCCTAATGTCACAGACGTTGGCGCGTTCCTCCGCGCCTTAAATACCGAGATCGATTGGCAATATACCACGACGCCACAGCCGGGAGCTGATAATAAATCAATCCCTTTCCATGCTGGCAAGGCCATTGGAGGGACTAGTACAATCAATGGTAGGTCTAATACGGCCTCATCTCTTGGTCAAACCCGCTAATATGTAGTCTAGGTATGACTTACATCCGAGGCGACAAGGCTGAGTTTGACGCATGGGAATCTCTCGGGAACGACGACTGGAATTGGGACACATTATATCCATATTTCAAGCAAGTCGAACAGTTCTCTCCCCCCACTACAGTCCAGCAGGCCGCTGGTGCCACTTTCAATGCAGAATATCATGGTGAGGATGGATTGATGAAAACGGGCTTTCCATTCAGACTCCTTAACGGATCCTTCTACGAATTTGCTCAACAGGCTTGGGAAAGTTTGGGTTACCCCCTAAACCTAGACGTTAATGGTGGTGAAACACGCGGGTTTGATGTTTGGCCACAGACATTAGATAGGGACGCAAACATTCGGGAAGACGCCGCTCGAGCGTTCTACTATCCTATTGAGCAGAGACCTAACCTCAAGATTATTAAGGGAACAGTGACGAAATTAACTTGGGCGAATTCGTTAGCAAGTGACAACACGCTCTTGGCAGACGGTGTTGAATACCTGGATACTACCGACCAAACAGTCGCTATAAGCGCAGTGAAAGAAGTCGTACTGTCCGCCGGGTCTTTAAGAAGCCCCCTAATCCTTGAACGCTCAGGGGTTGGGAATCCAAAGTAAGTTGAAGCGTTAGCCAGTCATATACACATATTGACATAGTTAGTATCCTTAAAGAGCACGGCATAGAAACGAAGATCGACCTCCCCGGAGTGGGTGAACATTTGCAGGACCAGCCCAACGTAGCCCTCGAATACACTTCAAATATCAATCTGACAGGAACTGTGCCGTACGCAACATTTGCCACAGCTCAAGACCTATTCGGTAAACAGACTTCCGCAGTAGCAGAGGAGACATATACCAAACTATCCGAATGGGCCCAAAAGGTCTCGGATATTAATAACAGAGCCATTGATGCTCACCAATTAGAAAAAATATTCCGCATACAACACAACCTAATCTTCAAGGACAATGTTACAATTGCCGAAACCCTAACCTCAGCTTCCGGCAATATCCTCCTGTCAGCATTTTGGCCTTTGTTGCCTTTCTCTCGAGGTAGTGTCCACCTCAAATCAATCGAGGCTAGCGATCCCGCAATTGACCCAGAGTACTTCTTGATCGATTTCGATCTCTCAATCCAGACCGAGCTTGGGCGGCTCTCACAAGACCTCTGGTATACAAGCCCGATCAGCGATGTTGTAATTGGTAATTTAGTTCCTGGAGACGAAGCACTGCCTCGCAATGCTACTGATGCTCAATGGGCGACTTTCATTGCAAGAACCGGTAAGACCGTCACAATGGCAGACGAGACACTCCAGTGGTGCCAAACTGACCGCAATTAATAATAGTAACCCCTAATCACCATCCTATCGGGTCAGCTTCGATGATGTCCCGCGAGCTCGGAGGAGTCGTTGATCCTAAGTTCAAGGTATACGGGACATCTAATGTTCGTGTTGTCGACGCGTCCGTGCTACCAATGCAGATTAGCGGCCATTTAACTGCCACACTTTACGCCATATCCGAGAGGGCAGCCGAATTTATTAAAAGTCCATAGTATACGAAGGTCCGGGCCAAAAGTCTTGTACATCTAGTTTTGGCAAACCACGTGTGAGTAAAAAAAGGACCGCACGGTATTACTTAAGCTGTAGTGGCTAATGCCGCTATAAACATAATGGTAAACAGGTACCTAAACTTAACGTACGGGCCACTATTTAAATTTTAGCTTAGCAGGTAGCTAATATATAGTATTAATAGAAAAGGATGACGTTCGAATACGGTGCTAAGGACTTTTACACGTGCAAGAGTTTTGGCCCAAACCTTTGTACTTAAAATACCTATTTAGTTTATGCTTAACTTATTCTAATTCTACTTCATGCTCAAGCAAGACGTATCAGCCACACTTCCAGTAACTCCAAGAACATACCTAGATACTAGAAAACAAAACAGTCAGTCCTGGATCTTGGTGATAGAAAAGTAATAGCAAAGTCATGGTTGCGGTGGATCTATGCATACGTTATTGAGATCGCCGGATTCGTATGCCCCGTGCACACCGACACATTAAGAGCAATGGTTGTGAAATCAACAACATTAGCACAGGAAGAACTACGGTCGCAGTAGGACAGGATTACTTTGACTACCTAAGGCATCTAGATATTCATCTGCGTGCCGTTAGGTCAAGAATACTACCTAAGGTAATCTCGGGTCAAAAAATGTAAGATTGGCCGAGCTAAATATATACCTACATAAGCTCTATGGTATCGCCCCTATACTCCCTGATGCAAGTTGCCGCACTCCTAAATTCAACGTCATTCACCCCCCGGTCTTATGCACATCCCAAAATACCTTACCCAAACACCCGGAATGCGTCGTAAACTCATAAATGCTTAGGTAGTAATAAAATGCGGAAACGATCTTCTTTAAAAAAGGACATACGGCGACTGCTCCTCCCATTATAAACTTGGTACATAGTCCTGTACCAAAATTGAATTTAGTACCGCGGCATCGCTGGCTAAAGGGTTCCGATAGAAAAGATGCCCCCTTTCCACGAATGAATATTGGGTAAGTATCCATATAAGGTAGGTGTATATGTTTTAATACCCGGTGGATGGATTTGCACTTCGATGTGAGCTGATATGCAGCAGCGGTATATATTCGTATGAAACGGTTATCCGATATTCGGTTTTGTAGAAGAAGTCCAAATAGGGCGCCGAGAAGGGCTTGCTCGTTTCTGAGCTGTATAACTTATAGTATGGGGCGAGATTTTGAATCGGATATAAACCCGGAGAAGACGGACCCGAGCCTTCCCGGGTATAATGGTGATTCTATAGTGACCCACAGCAAGAGGTGGCTGGATTGCGCTGCTGGGACGTTCTTCGGAATTCCGTGATTACACGATGCTCGCGAGGATGTGGCGTTTGTACCTCGAGGCGCATCTCACGCATAAACAATTTGGTTCCGGTCGACTCCTTTCCCCATCTTTGGCACAGGCAGCGGTAGTGAGTCCCCTAGACAGCACTGTTCCTCTCTTGCCTCTGCTCTCTCGTCATGAGAATGATTCCGGCGCCGATGAAGAGCACCGCTAGAATGCACACCGCTGGGACTAGAGCGGCGGCATAAGTCCTTTGCAGTTCAGGTGAGACGCCGTTCCACGCTTTTGCCCATTCGGGAAGGGGAATCGACCCGCCTTCCACTAACCAGACGATGACGAAGATGGCAAACAGAGCAATGGCAAACACCGCCTGGAGAAACCCGAGGAGCGAACGTCGAAAGGATGAAGGTTGTTGTCTTAAGTTGGCCATCTTCGTCTTCCCCGACCTTGATGGAGGAAGATTCTTTTGTCACATATTATACTCTCGAAGCGAGAAAGTGGTGGATACAAGCAAGCGAGAGAAACCAAACGACCGAAATCAAACGAAAGAAATCGTAGGTAGGGCTGAGCGGGGGGCTTGGGAGTCTTTGGTAAGATCGAGTACATATACATAAGTTGGCCGGAGCCCGAAGGCTGGCCGAGAAGCTGAGCGGTGGGTAGCTTCGGGATCTTCGGACACTACGTGTTTGTCTTACTACGTAGGGCGGCCTTCTGTAGATGTGATTGGCCGGCTTAACTTATAAGTGGTGTAGGACTCTGTACTATTTCCATATATAGTACAAAGCCGTCGTGGGATTAGACGGATCCGGGCTTAGACGTGCAACCTATTAGAATTAAAACCGGTTTACCCGATATTGCCACCGCTTTAATATTATCGACGCCATAGGCATTCCGGCGGATGTCTTAAAACAACGCGACCAAGATCATCCGAATAGATACACCCTATCTTTTATAAGTCCAACTGCTTTTAAACTATGTATACCTTAATGATTTATATAGAACTATAACATGTACCTAACATGATCTTGATAATAATATTGATTAAAGACGGGAATATAAGCTCGACGATTATTGTATCCGGGCCCGTCCAAATCCAACAACCTAATAGGCAGCCGGCAAAACAAACCTTAACTTCAGCCCCAATTTTCCAATGTTAATATATAATCCTATACCTACGTCATTTCCTTTTTTTCGCGAGCTCTTAACTATAATAACACAACTCAAGGTCTAGGTACTCACCTCGTTGCTCAAGTGATGAGCGAATTAATTGTATTATTATGATACCGGCTTATGTAACCATGTGAAACCTAGGTACGTAACATGGAGGTATTGCATGTAGATCTACATTAATCCGTAGATTAGTGGAGCTGGATCCGTTCGGTTTCCGCTCGGCTGGCGGAGCACACAATCCCGAATCAAATCTCAGCCGTAAGGAAACAAACAGCATCACATGTACTACATTGTATGTAGATATAATTGATCGGCGTTAGGAGAGTCCTTATTATTGTTATTCCTAAAAGAAAAATTCAAAATGGATAGCCCATATTCTAAAGAGTTAAGAGTTGCAATTGCGGCGATCCAATCGGCAGCTAAACTCAGCCAAGCCGTGATCTCAGTTGAAGATAAAGGAGTCATCGAGAAAGATGACCTTAGTCCTGTCACGGTAGCCGACTTCGCCATTCAAGCATTGTTAACCGCTACTATTCACCATGCTTTCCCTCACGATAAATTTGTTGGGGAGGAATCGGCAGCAGATTTGCGGGCCAACCCCGTTTTGTTAGACCGGGTGTGGAGGTTGCTGCGAAGACTCGAGGACGACCAAGCAAAGTCTCTCTGTAAGCTACCAGAGACACCCGATCAAATGTGTGAGATGATCGATTGGTGCGGTTTTGGTGAACCCGGTGGCCCGCAAGCCGGGCGAGTCTGGGTTTTTGATCCGATCGACGGCACAAAAACGTTTGTCCGAGGCGAAGCATATGCGATAAACGTCGCGTTATTACAAGGAAGCAGTCAAGTCCTCAGCGTCGTCGGTTGTCCTACCATTTCTGCCAACGCTGTGGCACCCATTACAAATACCTCCGTAGATCCTACGGGTCGGGGATGCATCGTATTCGCCGTGAAAGGTCATGGCACCTACACTCGCGCGTTGATAGCGTCGTCGCTCGACGAAGCCCAAGTTCGTAGGATCGAGCCGCATACTGAAGCTGAATCATCACAGGCCTTACGGCCGGTATCTTGCTATAACATGTTAGACTCGGGAGTAGACGATGTCCATCAATTAATTATGGACAAGCTGAATATCGAAAACAGAGGCTGCGACTTGCTCGCATGGGTTCTTCGATGGGTAGCTCTTGGTATCGGACTCGCAAATATGACCATCTGGATTTACAAGCAGCGAAGTCGGACGGGGAAAATATGGGATCACGCAGGAGCCAGTACGTATTTAGTCTAACATCAAAGGCTCCCTTTCCACCATTTCTTAACCTATCCCTGGAATCAGTATTCCTCCGCCTGGCCGTTTAAAAGGTCTTATCAATCCCAAGGCATACTCAGTCCCCTAAAATTCACAACCAAATAAGCGATTACTAACTGTAGCTGCCTAAAGTGCTCCTGTTTGAAGAGGTTGGTGGTAAGATTACGGATATTGATGGGAAACCAATTGACCTTGGGGTGGGAAGAAAGATGAGCGCCAATCATGGCTTCGTTGCTGCCCCTAAGGCGCTTCATGCCACGGTCCTCGACACCGTACAAAAGGTTATACGCGAGCAGGGGAAAGGACATTTACTTGGTTAAGCTAATGACGAGCATGAACTGCGACCAGCGTGTTTATATATCTTCGAGGTGCCTAACGATAAAAGTTTCGGTGTCTACAGCTAGGATAGACCTCACACCCCCGAAGGTGTGACACAGCACGGCTTATAAGCGAACCAACGGCGCCTCAGTAGGCGACCCCCGAACACCAATTTTGCACCGAACACGAGCGCACCCGGAGGAGCCAACAAGAGCAGCTAGAACATCATCATGTATGCCTTTTAAGGTTAGATTTGCAGGATATTAAAAGACCAATACAGTATATATATAGACAGATATTTTATATATTAGTTTTTAGATAGCTCTGCATGCCGCATACCCCTAGGGAGGTCTGCGGGGGCTGGTCCTTCCCCCTCGCCCCGGCGTTAAATATACCAACCAACGATAAAAGTTTAACCCGACCTTTCTTAAGGCTATAAATTCGCCTTTCAAAGAGCTACTCGGCCCGTCTACAGAGTATGGTGCTCTCACAGACCCAACACAATGAGAACGGTGCTCTTCTATATCCATATCTGCTCTTATTATTATGATGTTTGGGTGTCTGCTGTTATGTCTTATAATTATACTAATATAAAAGCCAGCATTACTAATGTCGCTCATTCAACCCACCGGCCCGGATATTTCAGTATTCTTCGAAACTATCACCTCGTACTATAGCATTCTACCCTTTCGATTCCAAGAATGAGCCGTAGATAGAGAGATTTCTATGAGACGCCTAAGAAACCCCGAAGCCAAGACAAGTATCTCAGCGAGAAATATAATATATTAGCTAAGGCGTTCATGGTAAACGGCTTACATCAATGAAACTTATCTCTAGCATAATAGATACTAACCATAATAAACGTAAGCTGAGCATGAATTTTTAGACTCTTTCAACCTATGGTGCCATAGCATGGACTGGGTACTTCGATCTAATTAAACGGATAGTATTTAACATTTCTATACTACATGTTCTGGGAATTCTAGGTGGGGATAGGGGGAAAGTTATTTGAATAAACTTGATTTAATCTTAGAGAGGAGATGGGCATGCGTCGAGTATAATGAATACGAGGAACCCAAGGAAATCAAAGATGACTGTTAAGGCTATTTATGACACGCGATACGCGAAGGTCATGGCAAAAGATATCAGTATTTTAAGTACATTGTAAAGCTAACCTAATACATAAGAATCATACAATTTTAAACGTTAGGTATAGTACAGAGTAGATTAGGTCACTAGGTTATCCTATAATCTAACTTGGGGGATTTCTGGAGAGTCTAACTTAGGAGACTCGTAAATTACCGTTAAATACCTAGGTACCCCAAGACTAACTCGGTATTAGCACCTATTAACCATTCTACAGATAACGTAGGAATTCATAGAGGGCTTTAGTCGTAAAGATCGTCATGAGGTTGTTCCTCGTTAGCGACAGCACCACCCCCGTCATTGGGAGCAGGGGGGTCAGGCAGCGGAGGCAAAGGACCCGGCGGGTGCTTAACTGCTGGATCAGGAAAGTCATGCGGAGCATGAAATTCTGGACCGGGGTCAAAAAAGTCGGCGCCGTCGTCGTCTTCGTCGGCAGGCCCGTCTTCACCGTCGGCAGGCCCATCAAAAAGGGGATCGTTTTGAAGAATTACCGGTAGCTCTCCTGGTGGTACTTCTTCCATATGCTCTACCATTAGTGGTAGGTGTTCATCTGCGTCGTACATCATAAGCTGTAGGAAGGCTTTAACGGAGGCGTCCGTCTCTCGGGGTACTCCATTATAAAACGCCTCGTTCCTTGTCTCGACAGCCAGTTCTACTAGGGGGAGCACATGTCGTAAGTTAACCGGCAAGTTCGGGTCGTTGCTCATCCAGAAACCGATCAGATTCTTTAAATCCAAGTCAATCGTCTCATTTGCTTCATATAATAAGGTTGCAGTCGTCCAAATTCCATTATGAAATGATGGCTGCGCCATAGATTGAGTGAGGATTTGACGGGTGTAATCGTTCATAGCTAGGATGAAAAGTACCTTCGGGGGAAGGTCAGCATATCGCCTTCCATTTTTAATAGTATCCAAGGTATTCACTCACTTGTCCCATCCACCACGCATTTTCCTTTGGGCCCCGAGCATCCTCGATAATGTGTGCTTGCGAGAAACCGGCGAGCTTAAGAGGGGCCACGAGGTTATGTTCCGGGAAATCGTTTGGGGCACCAAATATAAAATTACGGTCGGAGATACTCCCATGGACTAAACCTCTTGGACCAACGTCACCCGGTGGAATGGTTTCTAATCTCGGCTCTGGAACTTCTCCCCTGCGTCCGGCGTCGCGGTCCTCCTGCGACGGCCTCCCGTATGCCATTCCTATACATGCCCTCACCACTTTGGGGGTTAGCATTCGAGAATTTACATTCTAAGATTAAAAATAAAAAAATAGGTGACATACTACAGAGGGTTATAGACCAGAGGACTCGGTTCGGGATGATTGTACGATGTCGAAAAGTTCTCTCTAACATCCTATTTAAAGTGCCATTCTCGAGATACTCCGATATCATATAGGGGTAGTCGTTTAGCGCCGTTAAGTTTAATTCCTTAATGACTCTTCTAGTAGTCATTCTGCGATCTTCCCTTCCCCTTCTTAGCCGAGAAGGGATGTGAGGATCCCTAATCACTTCCCTAGCTCCTACGGTTACCCGTCGAAATAGTCGTGTAAGCTCATCAGCCGCATTCTCAGCAGAGCCACCACCTCCTGCGCCTCCTGCGCCTCCAGCACCTCCAGCGGCTCCTGGTAGGGGCGGATATTCAAGTGTGACTATTGGGTGGATGATGTGCTCTGCGGGGTGCATGGACTACTCTGTTGTTAGCATAGCGAACTTGATATTCGAAATATTAATGACCTCGGACCTGGATTGTTTCGATCTCGTTCCTTAGCAAGTCCTCGGACTCGTCACTGAGGGCTCGCTTTATGACTAGTCTACGATACCGAGTCTTAGTTATATGACCCTCCTTGACTCCTAAGCGAACAACTATGTTTCTTATAGTGAAGCTTTCGAGTCCTTCATATTTCCATTTCGACACTACGTTATTAAAATTCAGCTTTAGTTCGTTCAAGTTTCTATGAACTTCGGTAGGCATAAATAAATGATGCCTCTGCCCGGGCGGGAGAGGAGGGACTTGTGCATATTGCGGTTCTGCCATTTTTTAAGCAAATGTTACGGTGTAAGAGTCGAAGGGTTCAATAGGGCAGCTAGATGGTAGCTTAGAGCTTGAGATAAAATACGTAGGACGCTTCTAGATGATCTACGAAACAATAAGAGCTTATGGTAGATATACAAATCTACAGGAAAAAGGATAGAGTTGATAATTTCTCGCTTCTTAAGATAAAGCAGGACGTTTACGGTCAACTCTCACAAAGAATTAATAACCAAGCCACGAGTCTCTGTTAATACCGTTGTCCTACATGTAAAAGAGAACTATCTTATATCTGTTTTCGTCCATGGGAAGCCATTCTGGCATGATGACTCTTAGAGCTATATAAGGTATGTTTCTCGTGCTGCAGTTGATGCATCGCTATTTTACTAACTCATGATAGTGGGCCATATTTAGATGAACAGCAGGATTTCTTTATATAGGTAACTAACTATAACTATATCTTAACGTACTTATATTTTGAAATTAAGTTGAAACGGACGTCCATGAGTCGTGGTGCGTTAAAGTAGGTGGTCGTAAGGAGCTTTTCAGTAGTTTATCAAATTGTGGAATTTATCAAGAATCGTGTGAAGCCTGGGAAGAATTATAGGTGATACATACATGGTGTACATACGTGCATGTATGTATGCATGTACCTACATACATGGGGTACATCTAAGGCACCTACTAAGGTACATACAGGAAGCCGTCTTCTAGCTTTGACCAATTGGAGGGGCGGTATAGTGGACCAACCCACCCGACTTTTCTCCCGGCCAACCAAGCATGAGGAAAGCTCGAATGACACTATCCTACCTACCCCTAGCTTGTAACTTTTTAGCTAGGAAGAACCGCGACAATATTCTTTTTTAATCGCATCTTGTGCTCACATACAGATCACAGATCAAATTATCATATACTCTCGTTCAGAAAGTCATTCATTGATTTTATCGTAATTTATCTACGTCCCGTACTTCAATTGCCTAGTCGCGATCTGTAATCTACAATTTACAATCCCACGCTTGCAGCAAAACAAAAACATTCTTTGATAGGTATTAGTTACAGCACATATTACCGTATTTGGGTACTCCCTACCATTATCAATACCTATCGCGTATCCAAAAAATATATACTCTCCTGACCGCGAATATGTCAGAGGAATTTGCCGAGGATGTCGTCGAGGAGCAGCAAGGCAATCCAGGTGCCGATATTGAAATGGCCGAGGGTGACGAGGCTGAGGGCACTGTTGCTAGAAATAGTAGCGGAGACCTGCCCTTCGCTGAGGGTGCTGACATCGAACCGCGTACTAGTTTTATAAGTTATCTTACCAGTCCTGTCGTGACTCTGGTTGTCGGCAACGGCGAAACGGAGACTATCCTCGCTGCTCACCAGGCCCTCCTCACCCAAAGCCCTTTCTTCTCCGATGCCTGCGCGGCCTTCACCGACGATGGAAGCGTAAGTCCCTTTAACACCATCCTGCTAGCAATTATAACTCTGTGTCTTGCCATCTTCTAATACCTTTCTGTAGCCGCGACAGATAGAGCTCGCGACCGAGGAGCTAGACGCCGTCGGTTGTTTCCTAGAATTCCTCTATACCGGCGACTACTTCCCTAGGAAGCTTCCTGGTCAGCGACTACTAGAACAAGACCCGTCTATCCCCGCCGTCGACGAGACCGGTGATCAGCTCCTGAAGCATGCGCGCGTCTATACCCTAGCCGAGAAGTTCGGGATGGACAAGCTGAAGAGCCTCGCGAGCAGTAAGATTCACTGCGTCAACTCGACAGCAAAGGGGGAGATCACGTATGCCCGTTACATTTACCAATACACCAACAAGGAGGATACGACGGTCCGTGCTCCCGTGGCCAACTTCTGGGCTACCCGCAGCCACACGCTACGTGCGGAGGCGGAGGAAGAATTTCGTTCTCTATGTTTGGAATTTCCGCAATTCGGTTATGATGTACTTAGTAAGTTTCCGAATTACTCAGATACCTGTACGAGGGAGATCGTGACCCTAACGCATTTTAGCTCGCGTGTTGGACGAGAAGCTCAAGCGAGAGCGGAACGAAAAGCTGCATCCGGCAACAGGAAGCGGACGCAAGCGAGCCCGCCACAGCAACGTCTAGCTGTGCTCTTATTTCTAATCAGAGCTATTCACCTTTTTATTTTTATTTTTAGTTGAGACGGCGCTGGAGTTGTACGAATGCTCTAGACTACGTGGTGTACTATCCTATCTATTTAAGGGGAGGCTTAAAATCGGGGCCTTTCAGCATGTTTGCTTTCGGTAGAGCCCAGGCAAGGTTATGGTGCTTACGAGCTCGACAGGAACAGGATGGGATTCTGTATAAAAAAAATATGTTACATATTAAGCTACGAATGCTAAACTAGACTCCCCCTTACGACTGGTTATAACCCTAGCAAGGTAAACTTAGGCGCTGTAAATCCTCAGTGGTATAGTATAGTTCGTTGGCATCCGATTGTGATGGAGGTATATATACGTAGTGCTCCCATTATTTCCACCTTTTTGCCATGCCCAAAAAAATCCTCCAACTTCATCTATTATTAATCTATAGCTGCAGGGCACCGATCGCCGTTGCTGAGAAGAGTAGGGCTACGATTGTACATCCTAGGGTGCTCACGGTAGTATATTCGGGTCGAAGGCCAGCAGCGGCGCCGGGAGATTCCGTTGAGCTTGGGTTGTCGTCGCTGTCGCCGTCGCCGCTGCTCTGGGTTGGATTCGAGCCACCGCTATGTGTGACAACGATGCTAGCGCTGGCCGAGGTAGGTAGAGGCGCCCCCGTATCGGTGGCTGTGGCTGTAGTGTTCTGGTTGCAGAAGATATTCCCAGGAGAGGCCCCCTTCTCGCCTAGACACTTGGTAAGGTCGCCAACGGTCTGGCCCGCGGCGAGGCAGTAGAGTCCGCATCCGTCATAGTAAGAGACTACGTCGGCAGCACCGCAGCACGCGCCCAAGATGTCGGTGTTGTTGCCCGTCGCAGGTAGCGCACACGCCGCGTCCTGCACTGGGATGACGTAGAGTAGCGCGCCGCAACCCGAGGAGGACGGCGTCGGTGTAGGTACGGATGAAGCCATTTTCGGGATTCGGGATTGGAGTGATTTCTGAAACGGCGTTGCGAGTATATAATAAATTGCTTTTGAGGAGGTAACGAATGTTATAGTTATGCAATGACGAGGTTACAATTTAGAGGGAATCCTAAGAAATGTCGAGTGCGTTCAGCTTTCGGGCTGAGAAAAGCTTTTAATACGGGCTTGTGAGACCGTTTCGACAAGGTCCCGGCCGCGAGTGGGCTGAGCTGATTCGAACCAACGCGACTTTTCGTTCTCCATCTCGTATCCGGGACGGGACCAGGAAAAACAAAGGCTTGCTAGGTAGCTTGGCTTGACAACGATTACTTAAGACGATGAAGACGATTGGACGACACGGTAATCGATGTCTGTGCACAAGTCATCAAGCAGACCAAACTCATCACTATGTATAATATACCTAGGTAATAATACAGTGGTAATAATAAGATTGTCCCTAAAATAGCAATTAGATATTGTAGTGTATTTCCATCAGTCTCATTATTTGTCTTGTCAATTCTACCAGTTCTGCTAAGTCGTAGGATTTCTTTACATAGCCTCACCACCGCTACAGTAGCAGCGCCGTTTGGGTTATATGTATGTTGTCATCTCGTTATCCTTTAAGGGCAGACGGGAAACCGGTTTTTGGCGGCGTGTTCCATTAACGGTGGCAACCATATGTAAGAGAACGAGCTATCAGTGATTAAGAATCCTTCGGAGGATTATGAAGTGATACATAAGCCACCATCTGCATCTCGAACATCCCCCGAGGGTTACAGTAGATGGAAGTTGCCCCTGAAATATATATTATAACGATATATGTACCTACAGCACACGTGTTGTAGGGGAGCGTGGCGTGGGGTCGTACAGAGTAGTTCAGCTGAAAGTTTTGGTGGTACTATAGGTGCGGAATCACGCGGTCTTACAGCGTTGTAGTCGTATAGAACTAGAGACGCAAAGTTATGCCGACTTTATGCTGACCTACATTTAGAAGGTTAGGTACTTAAGGTACATGTATTTAGGTACATAGCGCTGTCTATCGAATCCCGCACCATCGGAATAGCCCCGAGCCAATAAAAATATTATACGGGGCTTAAGAATTACTAGAAAGAGCGAAGATTTTAGCGGTGTTCGAAGATGAAATATACAGGCGTGAGATTCGACAGACTGCGCTACCTGATACCTCTTTGTAGGTATTAAACGTATATGTAGCAGTTCTTGCCGGAGACCGGCATAATCATTGTGGGGGTGGGCCTGAACTATATATGTACAATACATCCTAGAAAGATAGCTTAGGTAGGTACCTACTAACTCACCTAAGGCTACCTACTAACCTATCTAGACCTAAGGTTAGTATGTATGTACATACAACACCACGAGGCAGTGGATCCAGGGGCCGAAACGTCCAGCCCTATGTGTTACACTAGGTTCCTATATGCAGGTAGATATGGGTAATTTCCAAGGTATTCTTATCCTTCGACTCAGACCTATGTACATTCTTCTTACTTATACTCATCCCAAAGGGAGAAAAATAAGCCATATGCGTTAATTTACGCCCTGTGATACCCAAAGGATCCCTTTATAAGTATTTTAAACCGTTCGGTCTTAACAGTAAGGTGAGGCGGCTACCTATTATCGAGTCATAAAAAAATTAGAAATTTCCTCTATCACATTACGCAAACGTTGAACTATGCCTAGCTCAACGGGTACTTGTTGTTCTTTCGAGATTTCGGAACATAACATAGACCCAATTCACTATCTACCTACCCAGATAGAATATCGTGATCGGCCTGATATAATCGACTATCCCTTGGAGAGTCTAAACTAGATACGTTATTATACAATATCGAAGACTGAGTTTATAGTAAGCCGGGCCGCATTCAGTGGATTGACCAACGGTATCGGTATCGCGACTATCCAGTACCGGGGGCAGGGGTAACGTCGTATGCAACCCTTTTGCTGCAGATCTAGCGCACTCGTGATGTAGCAACGGGTTTGGATGGTCTAATCACTGACAGCTCACCTATTGGCTTATCTCGTTCTCGCTCGACTATTTTTGTCATCACCCTACCCGACCGGAATTGGTGTCCACGTCCGACTCTGTCGAGAGCTCCTGAAATGTGCCCGATTAAACGGGCACAGCCGCTTCTCTAATAAATGGCCACACCTGGAACTTTATATGAACTGCCACGCCTATTTTGCATGTTTCATTCTTGTGGCTATGCCTCTATATCATGGTATTCGTATGCGTCAAAAGGTGCAACTTAGCACGTTCTGAAGTCGCCAACGTTTCCCCGCTTCGGCCCGCGAGACTACCTACTTGATCATATCTTACACCATCTTAGCTAACTCATATATACAGCAGCACATCATGGTTGGAGTAGCTGGCAGGAGCAAGGGCTGCAATACGTGTCGTAAAAGGAGAGTCAAGTGCGGTAAGGACAAACCCTCTCTGTCGGATCGGTCTTATCTGATAAGTTCGCGTTATTAAACCTGGAAACAGACGAAGCAAAACCCCAATGCTACCGCTGTATTAAGGCAGGCTTCGAATGCCTAGGCTATCAGAGAGCTACGCAATGGCGACACACTTCTCTGGCCCCGGTTCCTGCATCTCGGCTGCATATGCCTGAATTCGTAGGTATTGTGCAGCCGGTGCCTGTAAGTTTCGTGCCGCCGCCGGAACTTAGTTTAGATGCTTTCGAAAGAGATATGTGTACTGCTCACATGTTCGGAAATTTCGTGTGGAGGTCCTACGGAACCATTTGGCTCAACCAAGCATCCGAGGGTAAACTGGGTGGCCTCTCTCTCGATGCCGTGACGGCCCTTTCTCAGTTGAGCTTCGGCTTGAATAATAGGATACAAGAACTCCAGATCAAGGGGGCGGCCCAGTACGGAAGATGTCTGAGGATCCTAGCAGAAGAGCTTCGCAGAGATAACGTTGCGGGCTACGACAACCGAAGGCTAGTGGTGCCTATTCTCGTCCTCATGATGGTTTCGGTAAGTCGTCGCCAAACCCAAGTTAAAGACCTCTAGTCTGATGATACTACCTAGGCAATTCAAACAGATAGAACTGCTGCGGTCTTTCATCTAAAAGCTATTGAAAAAGTATTAATGCTATGTGGTCCAAGGGCCTTTCAGCAGCAGCCCTTAAGGAACGCCTTCGAGGCTGCCAGGGCCACGCTAGTATGCAATTCAGCTGGACACCCACGAATTGAGTCGCTGACAGCTTATAGTTAATTGCCTCGTTATTCTCCAGGCGAAGAATATTTCTCGAAGATCCGTCCTGGCAAGACATACCATACGCATTAGACCCACACGCGAAGCCCCAGCAGTCGCGGCTCCTTGACATTTTAGTCGCCATACCAGGCTTGCTAGAAGAGAATGCTCATGTCGACAGCATGAGTTATTGTCCAGAGGACGACTCCGCTACACCTTCTCTCATTTCAGATAAGCGTTCGAGTTGCCAGGAGCATTTATGCGAACGCATCGGTGTTCAACTAGAGAAACTTTTTCGCTGGCGCTGGGACTGGCAACGCGAACACGGCCAATACGTCTCTGTAGACAAACACAAGTGGAAATCAAATACTCCTTCTCCCGCGGACTCAGAATTCAGCGGCAATCCGAAAGAACTCGGTCGCCTGCGGTTTGATCGTTCTGCGCATGCTAATGATATCATGCTCTATAATTCCGCCCTGATGTGGTTGATGACTCTCCTATGGAAGCTTAGACCGTTACAGGCGAAATCCATTATACAAGGATGCGCACGACGTGCTGCTACCTCGTCAGCTCTGTCGCCACAATCACCACCGTTATCACATAGCATCTCGTTCGAGCCGTTAGTTCAGCCTGGTGTCGCATTTTCCATCCGAGACCCCGCCATTGAAGTTTGTCGCGTTTTTGATTGGCAATGCCGACGCCATGAGCAGTGTAACGCTCTCGACGACCAAGCTTGCCTATATTTATTTCCGCTGGGAATGGCCCGCAGCGTCTTAGATGCCGAACCGCGGTACCAGAAGTGGATCGATGACATGCTGGATTCAAGCCCCATTACCGCAGGCTATGGCAGACACGGTGGGAGCGTAGTTGGCTTTAGCTCTTACATTACAAGATGTGCTCTCAATCCCGATATCCGATGCTGAAAGAAGATGTCCGGTGTCCAGGCGAAAGCATCATTAGCCCCTGGGTTTACACGATCCTACAATGAGAAATTATCTATTCGGATCTATAAGTAGGACCTCAGACAAGTACCATACACCTTAGAGTCATTTATGATAGTTAATGATGACGATGATGGGCGTAGATTTATGTGCAATCTTTTTCTGAGCTAAAAGGTCGTCCGTATAAATTAAATCTATGCCAGATCGAATAGGTTCATACACATGTTAGATATGCACTATTTAAATATTCTCGTACACCATAAGAAACCAAAGCCACAACACCGTGTCGCTTATAAAACCCAACCATTAAGAAGCAAGCGTTTTGTTGGCATCAATTATTGCGTATTTGACTGGTAAGGCACTTGGTACGGCTGCTCCGGAGCCGGTGTGCCTTGCATGTTATAAGGGGCAGGCGTACCCTGGGGGCTATATGGCTGAGCAGGCTGGCCAGTTTGCTGGGGGTATACGCCTGTCGTACCGGTATATCCAGCGTTCTGCGATGCGTAGGGATCATATGCCTGGCCCTGCTGATACTGTGGTTGGCCGACCTGAGGGTATGCCGTCTGCTGGGTCCATTGCTGATTAGGCTGCTGATGTAAAAGAGGTTGTGACTGGTTCGCCGCGTAGTTCTGCGGTGGGATTCCTGTTTGGAGCTCTGTAGCACCCGGGACACCGACGCCTGTATGATTTATTCCGGGGGTAGTGCCTGCAGCAGATGCTTTCTCGGGGTTGTCGGTTGAAGCACCGGCAAACGAGAGACGAAAATAGTGGCATACATAAGCGAACGTGGGGACGAATAATAGCATGACGAGGGCGCAGACGCCAGCTATCCCGCTTAGGATACTCAGAGCCCCATTCGTGGCCACACCAGCGCGCTTCCATACCGCACAATGGCCGCTGTTAATCGTACTACCGTCGCTGACGCAGCTAGCAGTAACGGGTACAGTGAACTTGCTCCGCCGATTCGCGGTGGCACCCATGGCTGCTAGCCAAAATATAATCATAAGCCCATCGAGCGTGAGGATCGCCCACGTATTGTAAGCGCGCCGGCAAGACGACACTTTCTCGGCCAAGAGTGCGTATACAGCGATGATCCAAGTGAATATACCCTGTTGGTTAAGAGAATAGCATTAGTTATGAACTTATCTGCTTTGGGAGAATGGGGGTAGAGGACGACAAGACGAGAAGGACTATAAAGAAGGAGAAGTCCTGAAAATAAAAAGTCGAAACCTACGCAGACGATAACAAAGCCGAGCTCGTCATAGTATAGTCCGTGGATCCACCAGCCTGTTAAAGCCACTGCGATGAGGGCTAAGACAATTTGGAAGACTCGAAGCGCGATGAACCATGCCGGGGTCGGGATGATAACCTCCCCTCTCTTATTTGCATTTGCCGTTTCCATTTGGGTGGTCGCTCCAAGTATTAATTCTGTTCTTTATCGTATAACCACGCAGAGGTTTCCTCGGTCGACCGCGTCTCTCCTATTCGAGGGTCGTCGCTCTCGAGATGCTAGATACTAAGCCGTGCGATGGACTGTTTGCTAGAATTTATAAGCCCTGCCAGATCTTCTGAGGAAATATCAGCACCGCCTTCTCGGGAGCGCAAGCCCGGTAGTTTTATAGACAGTTCCCTCCCATTCCCCTCCCCCCTCCCCCCCCGCATCAGCCCTAATCAGCCTTGATATATACGAAGGGTCTTTTAGTCACCCCCAACCCGCATCTGTGCCTAAATAAGTGCCATTTAGTATTGGGCTTTAGCCAAGGAACTAGGAATCAAGGTTGTTATCGCGAGGAGTCGCAAAGAGCTCACTGTCAAGTGCCTGTTCTAGCAGCTGTAGGGTCCTTTCAGCCGCACCAAGTTGGTTATTCGCATCTGATTGGCCTCGCCCACTTCGCTTCCTATACACGTAACCGACTATTGTTCAGCTGATTCCCAATTGAGAACCGACTTGGCTCAACCAGCCACTCGCAGCGTTTCCTCAAGCGAGCCGTTGCGCTAATTCCGTCTAGAGCTACGCTCAACTTTAGAAGCGCCTTGGCAAGGCGGAATCAATATTCTTCTTTGCGCAGTAAACGCCATGGCGGTGTGGAGCCCGTGTTCTGGGTAGACTTCATTTTAATGATTGTAACTGAAGTCTTGAGCTGGAACTCTTGTACAAGAACTACGCGATCAGCGTTTCATTATTGGACGCATTTGCGACTCCGCTAATTCAAATGAGATGACATTAGCAGGTATGCATAATATGCCTTTAGATCTCTAAAGAAGTTAAATGTAATCCAATGCTAGGCTAGACTTAACCTTCTCGAGGCACCAGATAGATATATACAAAATATTAAGGCACTTACTAATGATATAAGTGATTATAATCGTAGCTTAGACTAAGGTGTCAGCACGAACACGCTCAGACTAACGTAGATTGGCAGTATTTATCTAGGACAATGATATGTTCCAGATGCCTCCGTATTTTTATGGCAGGTTTCCCCTTGAGATACTTTGCCCATTCGGTATTGACTGTAGGAGCGCTAGGGCGTCTCTCTTCCGTAGGCGCAACCCGGGTTCCTACCACAAGAAAGCTCTCGTCTTCGACTATCATCTTGCCTCTGAATATTAGTTTTCCCTGGTCGTCTTTAGTGAACATAACTTCCGATCCTATAGCATCCTCTGCCATCGTTTGCAAGCTAGCGTCCGAGAACCCCCTCCAACGCATCTCCCAGTTTTGAGTTCCTCGCGGCTTGGGGCCAACCCATACCCCCGGCTTCAGGACGCAAGCTTTCTCGAAGACTTCTATGGAGTCTTCTAATATACTATTAGGCATAGGACTCGGTCGAAAGCGTGCGAGGGCGAGTAAATCACCAGCTTCGATTATAGCCCAGAGCTGTCGTCCAGCCTTTTGGTGCTTCGAATTGTTATCCATCTGGACCGTCATGGTCATAGCCACAGGCTCGCCTTCGGACACACCCAAAGCCTTAGTTAGTCCGATGGTACTAATCTCGTACTTTCCCATAACATTCCAAGCCCAATCAGGGCGCTCTTCAAGATAGCGTGACGTCGCACCCGCGTTGACGACGAATCCAGGGATCGGACCGGGTTTATTCTTTGTCGAAATGATCCTTCCCGTACGAGGATTCTCCCATTTGTTGTGAGGTTTGGGCAGGGGTCCGCCGGCATCCTGCAACGCCAACAACTCTCGCTCATCCTCCTCCGTATCGGAAGGAGGTTTCTGTTCCCACAGAGGCTCATAGAGCTGCTTCCAATCCTCTAGCATCCGGGACGCATCGGTTCGCGCCATCGGGTCTTCGGCGGCAACCTTATCCTCGTCGCTCTCGGGGCTCGTATCTTGCTGCATCCCCTCTAGGATCAAATGTTTTCCCTTATACACCATGGCGAACTTAACACATATCTTGGGGCCTTTATTATTTTCGCCTAGGTCATTTTCCTCTTCGAACAGGAACTGACCTTGTGCCCGAGTCTCCCCGCCTAACCTAAAGCCGTCTTCTTCGCCGCGCCACTACCCAAGAGATTAGTCAGAGACCTCATAATCAAGGGAAAAGATCAAATGAAGTTATCCCAAAGCGGGCACCGTTAGTAAGTCCGGCACACGGGGTAGGCCAAGATAAAGAGCCCTCGAAGCTACATACCCTCATCAACCACTCTTTTGACTTCGGGCCTGGTCTCACATCCTCGGCCAATTCGCATGCAGCCTCAAAATCAGAGAGAAATAGTTTGCCATTAGAACTTGAAGCGATCGCGTTCTTCGGGCATAGTCTCATTCTGCCAGTAAGATTTAGATTTGGGAAATTAAAGAAGGCATATAGCTGACACGTATGAGAGCTAGTATGCGTATAACGCATATCTAGAACATAGTCGTCAGCATCCACGGGCTGGTACTTATTTGCACAGCTAAGGGTGTAGCGGCCGGTCACATCCCAGACCGCCGTGCTCGTTTTGCTTGAGCTCTTATGCCTGACGCGTTTTACCGGCGCGTTCTGCGCTTGAGGATTGCCGCTGGACGCTTTGAGCGGCCGTTTTACGCCCGAAGGTGACGTCATCGTGTTCAAATTATATTTTAATTTTCCATAATATGAATTAATATAGAGTTGTAGTTGAAGGCATGACTACCTATGAGCTGGCAGAAACGGGAGCTGACTTGATTCACCTGCGTCGAAGAAAATGAGGCGAGCGCTTATCCCCTTGAGCCCAAACCAGGCCGATCAACGCTAAAAAGGGGCCCGGGTTTTGGGCTCCGGGGATAAACCGTGCCCAGAAGCCTCTGAAAGACGGGACCAAAACCAGGGGCTCAAAAGCTTAGACCAATGATGTCAATTTTCGAGGTCATGAAGTAACAAATGCATCCAGTCCGGGTCCACCGCTACTAAAAACAGAGTACGCCGCCAATGACTCTTAGATGATGAGTCTCGAGTAGGTCGTCGCGTGTGGGGAATGGAGGGAGCATCTAAGGCATTAGCAACGGCACAGCTATTAGACGATCAGATATCACAACTTGAGGAAATTCATAGATGATGTATACGAGTGGAAGATCTAGTTCTATCAGCGGCTCTACTTGGTGTCTTTATAACAGGGCTAAAATATCTGAAGGTGGGCAGTGAACATATCTATGATCCAAATAGCAAGACATTATTTTGCTAGCTATTTCCCTGCCGCCTTTCGTAAACCTCATAAGCTTAATGAAATAGAAATATCAGTTGCAACTCTGGATTATTAGGTAGAAAGCATCGCTACACGAACGGGACGCGTCGTAGTCAACTCAGGGTATTTCTTCGCGAATCTATCGTCATATGGGACATCTCAGGTGATATATAATTTAACACCAGCTACAAGAGATATGAGGGGACACTTGGGTAGGCAATAGAGCCTAAGGCGGCGGACGGCGTAGAACGAATAATACGAAGTTTCAAATGTAACATGTGATAAATTATCTCCTATACCCCCGATGAATCAAGAAATCGACCTACAATATATCTTCACTTCGTAATTATCCGATAACTACCCAATAATATCTCCGTTAGCCATTATATACCAACACGTAGAATATAGCTAGTCTACGTTGTCGCCCGTACTTAGTCTCATTCTAGCCGGCCACGAGCTCTTCAAGCCGCACAAAGTGGTCATCATTGCCCTCGAGACAACTCTCTTATCCGGATCAAGTATATTCATATCGTTGTCGAGCAGCGATCCATATACAATCCAGTTCTGCCAGGTTGACTGCTCGGTCTTGATCGATAGCCATGCGATGTATGAAACCCATAACGGCCAACAGATAGCGACGAACCATCTACAAGCGCTCTTAACCACCCAGTGCGCAACCATAATCCATAAGCCAGAACCCAAACACAGCTCTATGTTAATCTTCTTCATAAATATATGACCAAGTGAGGAATCATACAAATTATATATGCCAAACCGGAATAAAAGCGCTTGAGCAACGATCACGCAACTGCAGGCGATTTGGTAGGCCGTGTATGCTAACAGGTGCATAGCAGTCGCCCGGAGAAGCTGGAAAGCAAGTTTAGAAAAGGGATCTTGACCACCTAGCCCTAGGATGATTGGTTTTTCCGCTCTCGACATGAATAGGAAGACGGACAAGTATAAGAATGCCGCTGTCCACACCTGTATAAACGACGGGACTCCGTACTCCCAGAGCAAAGCCCTCGCGCCGAATGAATCATTCATCTCGGGCCTAGGCAGAGCGAAATAAGAAGGTAAGCCCGCAATAAACTTAGCTAGGTCTACTGATACTAGTTTCGTTAACTCAATAACAGCGGAGCCTACTATTAGTCGAATATATGACATTTTTACTGCAACTACATAGTGGAAAGTCAATATAGTAATGCCACTAACCATCTCAATAATAGGCTGATGGAAATACGCCGTATCGTGGTAGAATGGGACACCATTTTCCCAGTCGGCACGACCCTCGTCATCAACAGGTCCCCAACCAAGGCGCTCCACAAACAAAGCTTTTATCTGAAGTGATATAACGTCGATTATGACTTCCCTCGCCAGGTCAAGTATGTTGCCAATAATTTCGAACGCCAACGTGCTGAGGAAAGAGATAGCTACCGTGAGAATTATTCTAAAGGATATTCGTAAGAGGTAGCGCCGATATCCGTGTTGGAGCAACCATTCCGTATCTAACTCGGAGTGTACGAGAATTATCAGCATTAAAAGCGCGGCGCAGTACCATGTTTCGTTAAGGTTAAAGGGGAAAGGGGCCTCCTTGTCATCTAAACTCCAGGCTTCGTCTGGATATTCAGGCGGCTCGGCTTCTTGAACACCTCGGTTTCGATGTACAATGATCTGCCACCATGACTCCCAATCTATGCCACGATCCTCTTCTAATACCAAATTTTCAACTTCGAAGTCCAGCTCCGACTCTTCGGCTTGAGATCCCTGATCTTGATGATCACGCTCGCCCTGTAACTCGTTATCCATTATTGTGGGTATGAATGAACCAAATGAGTGTTTATGAGCACTTGTTTTCAGGCAGTAAATAATACTTCCGGGTGTTCTCCGTGGTTCTATACGCCGGCAATAGACAATGATGATTATAAGTGCGCATATATTTCATGGGTTTCCAATAATAGATTCCCTTATCTTTTACACGATTCAAGAAATTGTTTCATTAGACAAAGAAGATACGTATGTTCACTCCAACTTGGAGCATACACATCTATGTACATATACTATATGGCTACATTAATACAAAAAGATATAAAGATAATGAGTCTTGTTAATGTAACTGTAGGGGTATAAAGGACCAATGTTATAAGTGCTATGCATGTTAGCAATACAAAGAAATGGGAGAGAAAGAAGGCATGTTCACAGATGCATAGCGAGCGCAACAAGTGGGTTCGAAGTATGATTTACGAGTGGGAAATCCTTAGCCATGTAAATATAGTATATTGGTGGCCGTCAGGAATGGCTAGCATTGCTTCACCTCGGTTACTTATGTTAGCCATGATACCACAATATCTACCTTTCTTTTATAACCGCTCGTAGGAACAAAAATGCTGGATAGTATATGTTGAACAGCAAGTATTTCTATATTGTAATTTGATGTTTTCATGACTTAAATAAAATTTGTAGAATAAGTCAAAAGGGGTGTAGGTTCATAGGATGTTGAAAAGGGGGGGCTATCACACTACATAGTAACATTGTATCCGCTTGGCTGGCATAAAACAGCAAACCCACTATTTTCAGTATCGATACATCAAGATTGGCTAAAGGATATAGACTGGTTGCGTTGAACTTACGTACTCTACCGATTATAAAGGGTTTGCTGTTTTATCCAGTCAAGCGGATAAGGGAAGATAGGTCAAGCTAGTATAGTCAATTTTACTTCGCGCTCATCAATGACCCATTTTGTGAATCTTGAGACGTTTATTCACTATCATAGGGGTCTCCAAGGCTGGCCTAAACTATCTAAGCTTTCTCATACATGACGTCTGTCCTCATGGTGTACTTTGTTCCCTTTGTCACTATAACCCCTTCGTGATACATGTCCCTTTGTTGAAAAATTACTAAGCTTCCCGCCGTAGGATTAATATCTAATTTTCCTTCCCGAGGATGCTCAAAGTCCACTCCGAATCTCGTTGCGCCCCATTCTACGTCCTCATCACCATTCAGATATAAATGAGCAGTCAGATAGCTTCTAGCCCCGTCCTCGTCAACAAATTGCCCATCGCAATGCGGCCTAAAGCATTGAGCTGGACCGTACTTTAAAAATCCCAGCTCGTGTCTTAGCTGAGAGACTCGCCACGTCTCATTATGGATTATGGGGAACTGACCAGCAATGTCAAGAGCGTCATTCAAAATGACTACATTAGGAGGTATATGTGGGAGTATCCGCTCAGAAGACAATTAGCGAGAGCTCGGGATGTGTAAAATATCCGATCACAGAAACGGGAATTGAGGTCTAGGATCTGGTAGCTATCGTAAGTAGTCACTGTAGCGGCAGGCCAGGGGGCACCATTAGGTGGGCTGACGAGTTTAAGCAGGTCTGCACATTCACCTGGTGTGAGGATATCTTTATTGGTCATCACGAAGTAGCTCGCATACTCTTTTACTTCGGTATCGTTGAAGTCAACGATATGCGCTGAGATAGAGGCCGGAGCTGCTCGGTTGAAGATGTCTCCATCCTGACCATTATCCGATGCCATTTTGGGGTATGCGGCCTCTATGTATAGAAGCCAGCGTATGTAATTTCGAGAGTAGTATAGTAGGTTGATGTTAAAATTGGAGTAACAAGTGTGGATGTGAGATGAAGGCCGGCCTGGGCTAGACTTTCTACATTGCTACCTGTTAAGTCTATTCCTGAAATGCGCATATTGTCGGCACGTTTAGTGGGTTGGTTAGTGGGCTGGTGGGCTGGTGGGCTGGTGGGGTGGATTCGCAAATTCTCGCCTCATGCCGACTGCAATGGCGAGATTCCGTCTGACCTGAACAAAACTTTAAATTCTTCTGTATTTTAGGTAGTTATTCCTTCCCTCTTTTGCCCAAAAGATATTATATTTGGCTTTAGCATTTCTTCATATTCCTCCAAGAGGTCATCCCCGTCATCTAATCCTAGCTAATAACTAATATCTCCCGTCTTAAAACTGCCCGTCATGACTACCACGAACGGCACAGTACCTCATAACCCGCCGCATGCCTCGACGGTCATATCCGCGACCGAACTGATCGGCAACACGCCTTTAGTACGCCTGAACAAGATCCCGCAGTCTTTCGGCGTCGAGAGCGAAGTATATGCCAAAGTAGAACTCTTCAACGCTGGCGGTTCTGTCAAGGACCGCATTGCCTTGCGGATGATCGAAGAGGCCGAGCGAAGCGGCCGTATCAAGCCTGGCGATACCCTAATCGAGCCCACCAGTGGAAACACCGGCATTGGTCTAGCACTGGTAGGCGCGATCAAGGGATATAAGACTATTATTACTTTACCTGAAAAGATGTCTGCCGAAAAGGTTTCTGTGTTGAAAGCCCTAGGCGCAACCATCATCCGCACACCGACCCAAGCGGCGTGGGATAGCCCCGAGAGTCATATCGGCGTGGCGCGGAGGTTGGTTAAGGAAATCCCCAACGCGCACATATTGGATCAATACTCAAACGAGAATAACCCGCTCGCCCACGAATTTGGCACGGCCGAGGAGATCTGGGAACAAACCGGCGGCAAGATCACATGTATAGTAGCCGGTGCCGGAACAGGTGGCACCATTACGGGGTTGGCAAAGGGGCTGAAGAAACATAACAAGGATATCAAAGTCGTGGCTGCCGATCCCCAAGGGAGTATATTGGCTTTGCCCGAGGCGCTCAATGACGAGCACCGCGACGAGCCGTACAAAGTCGAAGGAATCGGTTACGACTTCATACCTGACGTGCTCGATCGAGAAAAAGTTGACAAGTGGTACAAGACGGATGATAAAGAATCATTCAAGCTTGCGCGACGGTTGATTGCCGAAGAGGGGCTGCTCGTTGGCGGAAGCTCTGGCAGTGCTATGAGTGCTGCGTTGAAAGCAGTCAAGGATCTCGGGTTGGGTAAGAATGACGTTGTCGTTGTCATCTTACCGGACAGCATCCGAAGCTATCTGACAAAGTTCGCGGATGACGACTGGCTTGCAGCCAATGACCTTTTGCCGCCTGCCGACTCGGCAGCAAAAGAAGCAGTGGCTGATATCGTTTCCGAGAAGAAGTCTGAGGACCCTTACTCCGGAGCAACAGTTCGTTCACTGAGACTGAAGCCGGTCCTCTCAGTTCTTGCCACCAGCCCGTGCGCCGAGGCTATCGAGACCATGCGCGATAAGGGCTACGATCAACTCCCGGTCCTTGCCAGCGCAGGAGGCAAGCTCGTGGGTCTCGTCACCCTCGGCAATCTCCTCAGCTACGTATCACGCGGACGAGCTAGCGGGCAAAGCCCGGTTAAGGATGTCATGTTCGATTTTGGCAAGATAGACGAGGTGGTTACCGACCCTAGAGAAGGAAAAGGAAGCAAGCGCCGCAAGTTTGTCGAGATCACGCTTGACACGCCTATCACGGAACTCAGCAGGTTCTTCGAGTGGAACAGCGCTGCCGTCGTCACCGAGCCTAGCCAAGGGAAAGCAAAAGCGCTCAGCAAGCCCCTCGCTGTGGTCACCAAGGTTGACTTGCTGACCTGGATGGTGAAGCAGGTTAAAGCTTGATCGAGGTTATATTTCTTACGGCAGTTATTTTTGTTGTCCGCTACTAAGCGACTGAAGGCAAGTCGTCGCATGGCGCTAATGTGGAATTTCATCTGGATCATAGACAGACCAACTCAATAATCTAGACTTGGGTGGGTTATACATGGTGGACTCAACATCTACAGACGGAATCGGTTATCCACTTTGGTTATTTACATAGGCATCGTTTGTAGAATACGGTGTCGTAATGAGATTACGTGTTATGGTACTAAAGTCATCTTTACACGATAAGCTGCGACATTGGGATGTTGTATCATATATCGATGCTTGGCATTAATACATATCCAATATATCGGGGATACGGACTCTGCTGCCGAGGTTTTAATAGGAGGTAGGTACGTTAGGCACCTCAGCTATTAATGATGATATGGAAAGCCCACCTCGTATAGCCGCAAGCTCGACTAACGAGGGATAATCTCACGTGAATACTCAATATGATATTAATGCTAGACCCTCGGCGGAATCTATAAGATATACATGAAGAGAACTTGGGGAAAGACATGGTCAAGCGAACTGCTAGCAACCAGCAATTTTGCTTCGCCCACCGAACCCAGGATTATTACATATTAAAGCGACGTTTAGATTCTTTCTGATATCCAATCCCACCACTTGTCTACCTTGCCATCAAGGACGCTCCCGCCGATCACGTCAACTTCGATATCGAACTCCCTCATCTGACCGAAGGAAAACTTCTCGGAGCCGTACTGACCCAGCCAATCGTCCTGTTCCTCGGACCCGACCTCATCCACGCCAACCCCCGAATCTAGCAGCCCTTTGCTTCGAGACCGTCTTATCCGGCCAAGTTCTGCCTCGAGGTTGCTCTTGACGAGGGAGGCGGGCAAAGCGGTGAATAGGTCTAACTTGTTCGCAGCGATAAGGACATGGATCGCGGTGGGTGCTTTAGAAGTCTTCCCGGCGCCCGTGCGTTTCTGCAGTGCGAGGAGCACATCGTATAAGAAGGATGCAGCGTCCGCTAAGCCATCATCCAGGCTAGCGGCGTCCAGCACATATATGATGCCCCGCAGCGTATTCGAGGCGATATGGGTCATAGCATGCTGATTTCGCAGCTTTCCATGCCCCGGAGTGTCGACGAGTAAAAACTTGCGGTGGGATCCTGGGGCATCGATACGTGCAGCTTCTCGAAAGGTAGTAGCGCCGTGATCATCGGAAACGGTTAGTTCGACAGACTGGGGAACCTGCGAGGTGTGCGTAGCGGCAGCGGAGTCGCCACGCTCAAGTAGGGTGAGGAGAGAGGTCTTGCCACCGGCGGGAGGTCCTGCGAGCAATATAGACGGGAGAGAAGTATAGGGCGTAGTTTTGACGATGTAGAAGTGTACGATAGTCGGTAGGAGGAAGACGATGAGGGCGCCGACGATGAAGATTTCGGTCGAAGGCGTGAGGAGGTACTCGAGGAGTTGCTTGAGAACCTCCATTTTCGCTGCGGTGCTGCGTCGCAATGGCAGCGAAAAGGAAAAGAGATGGGGGAAAGAAGAGTTGTTATTTAAAACAAGAGCAGCTTCTAGGTAAAGTTTAAATTTGCCAGGTCGTATACACGTAGGGAGGTTAGGTTACCTAAGGTTATCGTGCCATGTTGAAATTTGTACCTGCGGTATGTACGATCAACTTCGTTGGGTTACAGTGTCATCATTCGATGCCAAGTCTTAAACTTAGAGGGTCCCACTTTAGCTTAACGCATGTACCGTCCCATCGGGAGAGGTACGTACTCGACAAGCCGGGGTATCACCAGCCAGATATTGAACGTACGGTGGCTAGAGATTGCTAATGCCGCAATTAGAGAAAGTGGCTTAGCACTGACGACGGCTGGAACGGCAAGGCGGCACCACCAAATGTCACGGGCGCTTTTACGTAGCAGTGTAGCAAGTTGACGCGGATTGCTGACCTGATCTGATATATGATAATTCGAGGCAACCAACTCATTACCTACCTAATACATTAATGAAGTATCTTACCAAGTTACTCGAGCATCCTCGTCTAAGACTAAAGACTAATATGATGATGATGTTGTCTTTTTGAATTGGGCATCAAATTTGTAAGGAACCTTATTATCCATTCTGTTTGAATTGTATGAAATACAAGTGCCTAACTCTTCTTCTCAGCCAATTCCTTCTCCTTGGCGATCTCTCGCGATACTTCGATTCAGCTAGACTTTTTTTTTTTTTTTCGTTCCTTTGTTAATTAATAGCTCGGAAGACCTGCGAACCGACCGTCCTCCTTATTAACTCTTCAGGACTAGCCACGCGCGATGGCCCAAGATACATTATCAAATGCGAATTCCGCCGGCGCTCCGATACAGCCGTCTTCGAAAGGCCCTGCCGCCGCTCCGAAGCTCAACTCGCAAGAGATGGAGATGGGTAACCTTCCTAGCGGCGATCCGCCCCCGTCCGAACCGGATATTATGCAGATTGCTAGAGTAGGGGATATAGTAGCTATGGAAAAGCTTTTTGAGACGTCGGATTTTGACGCGACTTATACAGACGACGAGGGCATCACGCCGCTACACGTATGCGCTGGTCCACCCGTCTTCCTCTGATACCCTACTAACGATCCTTCGTAGTGGGCAGCTATTAACAACCAGTACGCGATGTGCAAGTTCCTCATCGAGAAAGGCGCCGACATAAACAAGAAAGGAGGCGAGAGCGTCGCGACGCCGTTACAATGGGCTGCCCAACGATCAAACTACTACACCGTCAACCTTCTCCTCCAACACGGCGCCGATCCTCTCATTACCGACGCACAAGGTTACAATACTCTTCACATCTCGACATTTAGCGGAAACGTCTTGTTGGTAGTATTATTGCTACACCAAGGCATTCCCGTCGACGTAGCCGATTCTTACGGGCATACGTGTCTCATGTGGGCTGCATACAAGGGCTTTCCTCAATGCGTAGACCTCTTCCTGCGATGGGGTGCGAGCGTGCACGCGACCGACGAACAAGGCTTCACAGCGTTACATTGGGGTCTAGTCAAAGGTTCACCGCTATGTATACTTAAGCTTCTGGAATACGGCTCGGACCGCTTCGCGAAGACGGGCACGGGGAAGACTCCCGCGATAACAGCGAAGGATCTCAATACCGTCAACGCCTGGCATAGAGCCTTGAAAGAATGCGGCTATGACGAGGACGGGCACGTCGTAACTCCCTGGTGGCCCGGCTCGTCTTTCTTTCTCAAGGACAAGCGCGGGTTTATGAATAAAGCCTTGTTTCTCTTGCCCATCCCGCTACTATTCACCGAGCTAGTAGTCATGGCTCACTTGCCTGTAATATTGTCGATACCAATCGCGCTCCTGATCGGGTTCGGCTTCCAGTGGGCTACCAATCAGATTCTCGAGTATGCCCCCCCAGATATGAGACATCTGCATAAGACGGTACGTATTCTCGGCCCGGGGAGAATGGTATATCACTAATAGGCCTCAGCCTTGGCTAGCAGGAATCTTTGCGGCATCTTTATTTTTGGTAGGCGTAAGGTGGATTTTGACGATATTCCCTGGTGAGTTTTTTCGATTTCTTGGCAACCCGATATTCGACACGCCAAGTTAACCAGTTTAAGCGACGTTTTCGCAACATCCGCTCCTCAACTTCACATTTCTCTTCTTCTACAGCCTGACGGCTTACTTTTATGCGGCGTGCATGGTCTTCGACCCCGGATACGTTCCCAAGCTCAACGGGATCGCGGAACAGAAAGCCGCAATCGACGAGTTGTTAAGCTTGTGGAAATTCGACGAGTCTAACTTTTGCGTCACATGCATGATTCGGACTCCTCTGAGGAGTAAACACTGCAGGCGATGTCAACGGTGCGTTGCGAAGCATGACCAGTAAGTACCACATCCAAAAGTCTACGTAATACGCGTCGGCGCCAACTCACACGATATAGTCACTGCCCCTGGGTAAATAACTGCGTCGGCGTTAATAATCACCGGCACTTCTTCCTCTACCTCGCCAACCTCGTCTTCGGTATCGTTTTCATCGATTGGCTGTTGTATTATTACTTTTCCGAGCTCCCCAAATCGGCCTCGAAGGGAGAATGCTTCATCTTGGCCGAATCTATATGTGCGGTCGTCAATGGCGATCCGTATACGGTACTACTCGGCATATGGACAACGCTGCAGCTTACGTGGGTGGGTATGCTTATTTTCGTACATTTTGTTCAGGTCGCACGTGCTATGACAACGTACGAAAATATGTACGGTATTCAAGACGGCTCGGCGTCATCGCTAGTGTCGGCTTTCACGAGCACCGGAGCACCCCTCGACCCGAACCATCCCGATGCTGCGGCTCCCCCGTCCGCGGCTGACGATCCCCTGGGAACCGGCAAAGGTGCGCACGCGCATAAGCACAAGGGGTTTCTAAAGCAGTGGGGTAGGCTCCTCGGTGTCGACACGTTCATCGAGACGGCCACAGGTCGGGGCGCCGCTACCGGGAAGACGATGCGGAAGAAGCGTAACCCCTATAACAAGGGCTTGGTACAGAACTGTCGCGACTTCTGGTGCGACCCGGCACCCATATTTGGGCGCAGGGAGACGGGCGACGCGATGTTAAACGGCGAGAGGATTAACTACACGGAGATTTATGAGAGCCCGGCCGCAATGAGCCTGGGGCTAGGCGGCGCAGTTTCAAGCGGGCGGAGGAGAGGCGGGTACGAAAGCGTAGCCGGTGACGAGGTGTAACGAGCGATTGTTTTAAATGGCGACATGATAGATCACTGAGGTTTATGACTTGGCGACGCCGAATATCGGGTTGAAGACTCGATGGCAAGTAACGAGTTACTTATTCCTAACGGCTCAGGGAATAAGGAATCAGCGTGTACATTATTGACTTGCGATATCTAACAATCCTAGTGATGTACAATGAAAGCGCAGACATTTCGGAGATGTTGTCAGCATTCAATTGTCTTCCGTGCTCCCGTATGATAAGTTCAATATCAGATTTGTGTTTACTATGTACATATGGTAAGTAACTCTTATTCATATTGCTTAATAAGGTCAAAAGAAAGTCCACCGTAAGAAGTTCTAACTATGTAATCTTGTTTGAACGAGAGACTAAGAAATAAATGCCGAAATGTACGTCCACGTGGTTCAAGATAGCCCACTCGTAACGATCTATAAAGTATCCCCTAAGGCTTCACGGAAACCCAGCAGGACGCCGATACGAGATCCAAGAAATCCGGTCTATCCGATGACCTTTGACCAATCCTGTAGGGCATTGGCGTCAGAAGCGCCCTTCACGACCGAAGCAATATCCACATCGCCCTCGACGAAGATACCGAAGGGGTCGCCGGAATCCTGTCTAGGGTCGTAGGAACAGGTCTTCTTAGGAAGAAACTGCCAGTACAGGTTTGGCAGACCAACTTTGTTGATATCGTTGGCTTGAGCGGGCAGCTCGCTCTTAGCGCTGTTGGCGGTAGTGTTAACCCCCCATTCCTCGACAAAGATGAGCTTGCCACCGGCCTGCTGAACCCATTTTTTGGCACCGCCAGACCATTGACCTAATGATGCGTTTAGCTGCTTATATTAAGCCAGGAGACAGATGTATTTCCAACACAGGAATGAACTTACCGGGGTTGTTAGACTGGCTACCAGCATACCGATGAATGGCGATCAGGTCGATCTCAGGGCACTGCGTAGCAGCCTCGATGAAGGTGCAGTCATGCGAAATGTCACCGCCGATACCTCCAGTCGCAATTTGGATCTTGTTGTTAGCACCCAGGACGTTGCGAAACTTCTTGGCGCGCCCGCAGAGCCAGTTCTTCTGGTCGTTGTTCTTGCAGACCGAAAGGTCTGGCGACATGGGTTCGTTCTACGTTTTTCGACAATGAGCATTCATAGATGCGGACTCGAAGAGATAGAACCTACCTGGAGGTCAAATGCCATGATTGCGTCGCTCCAGCTCTTCCATACCTTGCCGGAGTGGGCCCCCTTGTAGTTGAGAATATGATCGATTCGATTATCGTAGGCTTTGATGGCATCGTCCGAAGAATAGAATCCCGACTTACCAAACTTGGTGTACACATCCCTATATATTTTTAACCGTCCATTGTCAGTCCGAGTATAGTAGCTATGGACACCCGAGTAGCGGAGTACTTACTTTCGATAGTCATCAAGAAGCGAGTTTGCATCGTGAGGCGATATAATCGCCTTGATACCTTTCTGAGCTAGCTTGTTGACAACTTTATCAACGGCGTCCAGCGTTTTGTCATCGAACTTGCCCAACTCGGACTCCAGTGGCCCTACGTTAACCGCGAGATTACTGCCTTTTTCACAGTTGCCAGCGGCTTGTCGGTTTACCCACACACGCACGACTTTGACGCCATAGTTGGAAAGGTCCTTGATGTATCGATCTTGGTCTTGGTCAGACAAACCCGGGAGGAAGTCTAAAATACTAAGAGTTAGTGTTTAATTCAGACCGAGAACTTCGTCACACTTCTGGCCGCTAGTCCTATGCCGTTTTGAATTAAAGGAATATTCTTCGATATCACATACACAAGTTGGGGCCCATGAATGAATGGGAGCCTTCTCTCGGTTCGACTTCGTGTAGGGGAGATGCCATAACTCCCGGGAGCGCTAAAGCGCCAAGGCTGAGAAGCAGCGATGTCTTCATTTTTGCCAGCCGTATTGTTGTCTTCGTTATAATATGAGCAAGTTGTTTAATGTTAAAATCAGTGGTTGCTCTTGGATATTTATGCGAAAGCGCGGGGTAGCGTAAAGCTTTTATCACTTCCACTCTGGCCTGACTGTCAGGATTCTAGACGAGACATTCGGGACCAAAGACGTGTCCCATATGCATAGCCGTAGGCTTCCATAGCTAGGCTAGACTTCCTTGCTGAACAACTAAGTTGTCTCCACGATGTTTGGTCCCACCCTGTGATACTTCCACACCGTAGATCATAGTCCTACGGACCAAAAGGAATATACCGTTGCCATCCTATTTCCGGGCACGATTCGATCCGGTGCTAAGATTTAATTTCAGCTCGCAACATGAAGCTTAATAACTCCCTTTGAGGTTAAACTATGACATCAACCCCTAAGCTGACACATGAATAGGACTCTCCTATTTAATACTTATTGGCAAGATGACATAACCCACGATTCAAAGGGGGAATATCGTATATATTGCGGGAACAGACTAAGCTTCCTCGAATGCACGTGGTGACTCAGGTTTTAGACGGTGGCTGAGGATAATGGTGGTAATTTCGCACCATCAGGACCAATTGAGATAAACCCTCATGAAGGCCGCAGCGAACGTGTCGTTAACTCACCATTAGAACCATAGAAACTATTAAGATCAGCAGCTAGGAATACCGCTTCTTAATACCACAATATCCAAAAATATGTTGGAGTTAAATAAGCCTAAGTATCTTACATATCTAAATTTAAGGACGCATATGCTTCAACCTTGATCTGTCAGCCCCTTTCATGTTCGTTAAACTACAACCGAGCCCTTCTAAGCAATCCATATATTACAATCCCCGCCTTAACCCCAACCCAACCCCAACCCTGAGAACTGCAACCCCGTAAGCCCGAGTCAACCCGTCCAGTAACCGCCACCCGTAAGGGCTCGTGGCGGCCAGGGGCCACGCTGGGTTGGCTGTGCGTGGGGACCGGCCTGGTTGCCATGTGCGGCGGATAGCACGGCGCTCATGAACGCGCATGTGGAAGCCGAAGCCGTAACACCCGTCGTTACCCCCCGGCGGCCGTCAACGTGCGGGAAAAGACAGGGTTAGGGTAGGGTTAGGGGTAAGGGTTAGGGTTAGGGTAGGGTTAGGGTTAGGGTTAGGGTAGGGTTAGGGTTAGGGTTAGGGTTAGGGTTAGGGTAGGGTTAGGGTTAGGGTAGGGTTAGGGTTAGGGTTAGGGTAGGGTTAGGGTAGGGTTAGGGTTAGGGTAGGGTTAGG